TACCCTTTGAGGTGGCATAAAAGAGTCTGGCCTGAGTTTACACACACACACACACACACACACACTCACCATTTATTCTTTCATTTTTCTAGAATTCAGTCACTCAGCAGATGTTGATTGAATATTGCTATGTTAGGAACTGTATCATGCCCCGGGGAATTAGAAGTTAGTAACATAAACGAAAGCCCCTGCCTCCCGCATCTAGCCCTCTAGTGCAAGCCAGTGGGTGGTGAGCAGAGGATTCACCTGGTGAAAATCGCCAGGTGGAAATGGATGTGGAGCAGCATGATTGTGAGAAGTGGTCGGTGAAAGTGTCTCTATTTTAGTCACATGAGGACAAAGTTTAAAGAGAGAAAGGAAGATAGGTTTCAAGAAGGCAAGGGAGAGTAAAACATCTAGATAGAACCTGAAGTTTCAGCCACGTTATCGAATGTTACACTGTCAACCACTTCAGAGCTAAGTTGGTTAGAGAATAGGAGAGACTATGCTCAGGGTTAGGGTGTAGGCAGGTTTGATTTTTCAAAGCGTATTATGAAAAAGTGGAGAGATGGGGATTCGTATTTTTTTGGGAGGTGAAAATGGCAGCGTAGCCGGGTAGCATAACAAACCGGGCACCTGAGTTTTAAGCAGAGGAGAGGAACTACTATTTATATGCAGCCAAAAATATGAACAGGTTAAAATGTGGGGCTGAAGTTTATTAACCAACGTTAGAGACCGTTGAAGGTTATAGTCAAAACGTTTAATATCAAATCATTTGAAGACACGTGGGTGTTTTCAGAATCCATCAACAACTGTGTATTGAACACCCACTGCCGTGCAGGTCTAGGTGTCCACATCTGTCTCCTTCCAATTCGGTATATTTTTCCTCCTGTAGCCAGAATTCTTTTTTTAAAGGAGAAATCTGATCACGTTATTCCCAGACTTAAAACCCTTCACAGATTCCCCACTGGCCTCAAATTAAAATCAACCCGAGTCCAGCGCACAGACCTCTGCTGGGTTTCGCCCTAGCTTACCTCTTTTTCGGATTCCTGTCTCTCTCCTCAAGGTTCTCTCTCACCCGGCCCCTCTGGCCTTTCTCTTTGCTGGTTGTAAACTTGCTGAATCCTTTGCACACAGTGGATTTGTGTAAATGCTGTCTTCATTCCCTTCACCATTTCACTTGTGGGGTTGTACCAGAGAAACACAGAAGCCTGTAGGCCAGTTTAATACTACAGGAGTTTTGGTTTCCTAGGGTTACTCTAATGAAATACTGCAAATGGGTAGTTAGAAAATCAGAAATTTTTCTCTCTCACAATTTTGGAGGCTAGAAAAATGAAATCAGTCTATCGAGAGGATCATGCACTCTCTGAAGTTAATAAACTAGCTTCTGCTGGTAGCCAGACAACACTGGCATTTCTTAACTTGCTGATAGATCACCCCAATCTCTAACCCCATCATCACATCTTCCCTGTGGGTCTAACTCTATCTCTTCTCTTTTCACAAGGACAGCAGTCATACTGGCTTAAGGGCTCACCTTAATTCAGTGTGACCTCAGCCTCGCTTATGAATCTGAAACAACTCGATTTTCAAGTAACATTCTGAGATTTCAAGAAAGACATACATTTGGGGGGACACTATTCAGCTCAGCACAACTTGTATGAAATGACCGGCGTTCCCGCGGAGATGATGCAGCAAGAATGAAAAGACATTGGACAAATTTTAGACTTATTTTTAACAAACAAACTAGTAAAACTTGACAAAGATTGAAAAACAGAAATGTCGGAAGCTGTTTATGATTTAACCTTCTGTACCTTTTTGCCTTTAAGAGTCTAAAGGAAAAGAGATACAGGGGGTGTTTTTGGTTTTTGTTTGTTTGTTTGTTTGCTTGTTTCACTATCCCCTTCTCCTTTATATTGTAATCAGAGTTTTATGGTTGAACCCTGAAAAGCATCTTGGGCAGGTCCTATTTAGATCCCAATCTCTAGCCCTCTGACCCCAAATTGCCCCCATGTCATCCCCATGTGCAGTTTTAGAGGTGAGAGTTATCCTAGCTAAGACTGTTTAGAGAATATCCTGAGGAAACCTGTGTTTTGTATGTTATTTGGCAAATATTTTTTGGATTACAAGCATAGTGATAGAAGCTAATTACTTAATTGTGAAAAGGTCTCCTCTCTCATGTTACTTAAAATCTAGATAGAGACACAAACAATAAACAGATAATCCAATAGGTGAACAGTGATAGATTTGGAAACAAGTCATGATTTCATGTACCATAAAAGAGTTCTATGATTAGAAAATAACAGTGGGAGGTAAAGGGGGAGGTAAGCAGTCAAGAGCTCAGAAGAAATCTTTATCCTGGTACTATAATCTTGGGATTCGAAACATGAAGTCAGACTTGAAGTCAAAGGACTCCATGAAATCACTGAGGTGGAGACTGTAGACAATTTGTTCGAAGGAAAATTTATTCAGAATTCAAAACTATAAAAGTGATCAAAATAGAAATGCTTTTACTAAAGTAGAGGTGGGAGGAAATAATATTATGTCTCCTTAGACGTCCCCATGATCCCAAGGTAATTTCTTGGCTCTAGAGACAGTTTGTAAAAGTGTTGATCATGGTAAATGACAGGAAATATGAAATAATTTAGCTCACAGTGTCCAGGTGGTCTTAGAAAAATAACATATCTTTGAGCATCATATTCCTCATTAATAATTTACAAACTCCAGTCTTTTAAATTCTACAAATGAGTTATCTAAGTCATTCTAAGCATGTTCTACAGATACACTAGTCGTAGATTCCTCAATGATAAAAACTGTGCTTCTTTTAAAATAAGAAAATAACACAAAGATGAAAAGTAGCTTTATAGGCAAATAAAATTAAATTAATACACATACGTGTATCTCTACACTTCTCTAACTTCTGAGTTGAACTCTATACTCCTTTAAGATTAGACAAAATGCCTTTCTCAAAAGCATAGTTTTATAAGGATTTCTCTGTGGTTAGTTTCTCTGTATCTCCTCCCCTTTCTCTTACCCCTTTGGTATTTCTAAGGTCTAAGTTCAAGAAAATGATTTTCAAAATTCCTTATAGTACTCTCACCTAAATATTGTCTCAAAAGTCTAGGCTGTACTTCTCTGCGCTTGGCTTTTTTCCCAGTGAGTTTTCCCCTTTCCAGGGGTAACTCTTCTGTGCAGCAAGGGCTTTTATAAACAGGGTAAAGTATGCAAGGAAGACCTCTGAAGAGAGAAGACAATTCACAGCAGGATATTGAAACACATTTTTCTTGATTTAACCCTCTTTACCTGCATTTTGAATTTTTTTAGATTTTCTTTGTCCTTAATAACCTGGAAGTTTATTAGACTGTTAACCTCTTATAAATGGATTTTTGTTATCTAATGATGAATCAGTAGTCAAATTTTTGCTTTTCTCCTCCATCTGAAAGGCTCTTAGGCCCATGATTACCCTTCAGAACTGGAAGTATCATACTCATTTTTTAAAATGTATCTCATTCATCTTTTATTGGAGTCTTCATTAACGGGTCTAATTGATGGGCCTCCATACTCGCACAACACTCTAATGATGGGTCAAACACTGACGGTGTGGGCTTTGAAGGTAGGGGACCTGTGACGGAGTCCTGGCTAGCTCTGTACTTGTGTGAACTCAGAGGATTCACTACGTCTTTTCAGTCTTATTCTCTTATATCTGAGCACTGAGGTACATACATAACTTAACTCCTAAGTTTAAGTAATAAAATTAGGCATATAGAACGCCTTTTTAGTCAAATGTTATTATAGTTTAAAATGAACTTATAGAAATTGTTCATTTCTTAAATGAACAAGAGTATATTTTTTAAATACTCTTAGTGAAAACAGGTTTTAATCAAGCAAATGGTTGTGACGTAGATATCAGATTGGGCCAGTAGTCATGATGCTTAGATTCACAGAGATCTTTTTTTATGGGGGGTGGGCATGATTTTTGAATTATTCCAAATAAGAATCTATTTAATCTGATAAGATGACCTGTTTAAATGATATCAATAATTAGAAACATGACATTTAAAATATGTATATTTTGCCCATCCAGTGTGGCTCGGTGGTTGAGTGTCAACCCATACACCAAGCGGTCGTCAGTTCAATTTCCAGTCAGGGCACAAGCCCAGGTTTGGGCCAAATCCCCAGTGGAGGGCATGCAGGAGGCGGCCAATCAGTGTTCTTTCTCATTGATTTTTCTGTCTCTCTTTTTCTCTCCCTTCCTCTCTCTCTAAAAATCAATAAAGAAAAATTTTTTTTGATAAAAAATAAATAAAACATGGACATTTTGTCAATTTACTAATGCGTCGTGGTTAGAGGCTTTAGGACCAGATTATCTAGGTTCACATTCCAGCTGCACCTCATTATCGCTGTGTGATTTAGACCAAATTTTCAACTCTCTTTAACAGTTTTTTTTTTTTTTAATATAAAGTGGGGATAATTATTTAAAAAGTTACATAAACCGAGTAATAGAATAAATAAAAACTGAATAAGGACTAATATAATTAATATAAGTAAAGTGTTTCTAATATTTCCTGGACTAGTGTAAGCAGGGGATATTGTGTGCAATGACGACGGAATGAAGCCTGGTGCTTCTCTGGGTGCAGAGGTTCACTGATGAACTTGAGGAAGCTGGCACTGAGTGCACAAACACGCGTGAACACATAATCCACAGTGTGATTGCTCCAATAAAAAATAAAGCAGGTGTTATGAAGCCCATACATAGCAAGAAGGAATAGAACAGGTGTAAAAATCAAGGAGTTTAAATGTAAGCATTCTTACCATGGAGAAATATTTTGGCACTTAAGGAATGATTTATTTTTCCTCAATGTTATGGAATATTTTAAAATAAAGAAAGAATTGAAACCTGACCAATTCTACCATTTGTTTTTATTTTTATATATAACCCTTGCATGTTTTTTTTTTTCCTTCTCACATACGTGAGTATAGATAGCTGCTCAGAGAAGGAATAAACTCATTGTCTGTTTTCATAGCTTATCAGCTACGAGTGTGCCAGCCTCCACCACCCGTACCCAATGCTGAAATTCTGACGGAAGATGATGAATTTGAAATAGGTAAAGTCTTTTAAGTTACTTTTAAGGAAAGCAGAATGTTAACAGAGGTATTGGCTTAAAAAGAAACAAAAATAGAGATAGAAACAGCCTGGCGTAGACGCTCCTCCCTCCTTGAGGGGGTTGTTAGAACTCCATCGTTAAGAATGGACGGCAGTAAAAAGAGGAAAGGGGGTATTAGGCACGGAGAAGGAATCTCTGTGTTCAGGCTGTGCAGTTAGAAACCAGTGTGGGGATTTGAACTGTATAATGTTTGCCATAATGAACTTTATTACGATCCTATTGGTTTGGATTGAGAAATGTAAGGAAATAGCAGTGACCAATATGAATCTAATCTTGATATATAAGTAATAACTAGGAATAATTTCAGTTGCTTGATACATTTTGAAGGAATGCCTTACCTGGACCAACCAGATTATTTCTTTACTACTGTTGCTTATATCCAGCTGGTATGCAATTCTGATTGGTCGGTGTCCATGAAGTGCTAGTAGTTCAATATTTTGAATATCAGCCCTGCTTACAATTAAAGGGATTTTTGTACTGATTAAAAATTAACAGATGTTTCTGTTGCTTTAGAAACATCTGTTGATTTTCATCTTGTTGTTGATCTGAAGTCCCCTCTGCCTGTTCTTTTTCTAACAGGTGATATTATTAGGTACCAGTGTCTTCCAGGATTTACTTTGGTGGGTAATGCAATTTTGACATGCAGATTAGGAGAACGTCTCCAGATGGATGGAGCACCTCCAGTTTGTCAAGGTACCAATTATTTTGATTATTTCCAAATATCTGTTTTATGTTTAACTCAATAATAGGAATAATTGTAAAAATTTAATATTTTAACTGGAGTAATATTAAAAGTTATACAACTCATTTATGGTATTTTTTTAAAAATCCATTATTTCTCAGATTTAACTTTAAACATTTTTTATTCTTCTAGATTTTAATTTTTCTAGTTTATCCCAAAGTCAGTTCAACTTAAGTTACTTTTTGCCAAGAGGTGGAAAATAAGATAATCACTTTCGATAAAGACTCCAGTGTTGATTGCCTTCACTTGGAAGTAGTTTCTGATGTAACCACTAGGTGCATTAAACTTTATTGAGCACCTGTCAGATATGAGGATCTGAGGAAAAAACAAAATAAAGAAAGAAAGAAAAAATTATAGATGGCCACTGCTGTGAAGGCAGTCTAGCTTAAGTCATAAGAAAGAGGGCTATAGGATCATCTAATGAGCAGCTGTTTATGGGGCAGGGAAAGCTTAATGGGAGGCATTGCTCCCTGGGTCATGGGTTCCAAATTCCAAGAAAGACTTACTCTGTTAGAATAGAGATAGAGAAAGCATGGTCCAGTTGTCGGATGTATATGTAAAGACACAAATGAAAAACCGTAGGGTATGGACTTTAAGGAATCCACTATGCTGAAAGGGCAAGACCGTGGTGGACCTTGAATGATGTGGCACAGTTCAGATGTTGAGGAATGGTGTGTTGTTCATTTGTGTAGCTTCTGGGGTCCAGAATAAGATCTAACACACAGTAACTAATTATTATAAATATTGGTTAATTCAAATAAAAGTATAATTGAACTTAAATATCTTTTTCCAGATTTGGGGGGATGATTTTTTTCATTGAGGTTCATTCTGAGAGACAGAAACGTGTTTCCTGTGCACAATCTTTACTGTTAGTATAATCCTAGAACAAAAGTTCTGTTCATTATTCCATACATGCTCTAAGTAGGAATTAACATTTAATTTTCTGTATCATTGGAAGGATTTCTGTATCAGATGGAAGGATTTTCCCAGGGGGCTCTTACATAGCAAAAGGAAAACATGTTTGGAGGTATGAACCGTGCCAGCGTGAGGATTTTCCTAGGACTTTCCTTAGTCTTAAAACATTTTAAAGTTGGTTTGGCATTTTGAAGTCTATCATGTATATTTCAGATAATTAGATGTCACTTATTTAACTTCCTTCTTTATATACAAGTGTATTTTTTGTTTTATATATATTTGGATCCCAATTCAATAATTTTTAAAAATTAAAATTAAACAATTTGGATGACCTAGTTCTTTCACAATCCCTCCTCTTTTAGACTTCAAAGGTCTTATTTGTAATATCAGAATTTTCTATGGATAAGTAATTGATCTCTTTTTATTCTATCTGCTGTGGAGAATACCAAAAAAAGGCAATACATTTTTTCTCATAATAACATCAGATACTAGCTAAAAGTTAATAAATCATTCCTCAGAAAGAGTTCCTGCTAAGTTACTATATTAATTAATTGACCAGATACGAAAGCTAAATAGCTGACTTTACATTTTCATTTGAGTTACTTAATAAGCTTGCTGAAACAGTGATTCGTTTGGGATATTTCTTAACTAATCTACATTGTTTTTAGTCTATTTCAAATTATTTGATTACATATATACATTTTTTTTTGTACTTTTTCTAAATGGGCCTGCATCATTTTTGTTATTATTCTCTGGATCCTCTTTAATTTTTTATTTCACAGTTAAAATATGGAAAGCAATTCTAAATGTGGAACATTTTAAAGAGTTTAATATAAGTAAAATATAATGGGTGATTACATTTGGTTGTTAAAAATATGGGTTCCATCCAGTTGAATCTGTGACTTTATGCACTTTAAACTTTCTGAGCATCATTTTCCTCATATGAATAATGGGGATAAAAACTGTACACACTTCTTAGAGCTGTGATGAATAAGTGAGATACTGCACAAAAGGTGTTTAACAGTGTCAAGCATGGAGCCACAATAAAAAGTGTTTACTTTTACTCTTAATGGTTACCAGGGTTCTTGCTATATGTTGGATTGTAGGAGAATAGGTTATTTGGTGTATTTTCAATAAATTATGGTGGATCATATCAGTTTCTTTTTTAAGTAATATGGAATATTTACTAAGTTCAGAATATTGGGGCCGAAACAGTACATAGGACATGACACTTGCTATTCAATAATCATAACCAAGGAAATAGTAGACGTAAAATTGCTAACTACAATAATAGAAGCAGACATTACACACTGAGAAGGGAATCTGCAATTCTGATTTGGTTGATGGAGAAGTTCAGGGAGTGTTTCAAAGAGGACGAAATACTTAGCCTGGGCCTTGAAATGCAGCACCATTTCAAATGCAGCAGACAGAAGAATGACATTTGAAACAGAAGCATGAAGGAAGGTGCTGAGTTCAAAAAGCTGTAGGCGTCCATTCAATATGTTCAGAGCATTCTGTTTCTGACCAGGAGCAGCAGGAAGCGAAGTTGGGGAGGTGGGCAAGGACTGAACGTGGAAGGCTTTGGGTCAAGCTACGAAGCTGCTGAATGGTGTCTAGTAAGGGAGCAACAAGCTCGGTAGCCCAAAGAGTTACTTACCTCCTAAATATTCCAGAAATATTAAATAGCTAGGCATATACTAAATAAATCCTTCCTTAAAAACTTGCTTCACAGCCCAAGTGCCCATCAGTAGATGAGTGGATAAGAAAGCTGTGGTACATTTACACTATGGAATACTCTGCAGCTGTAAAAAAAGAAGGCTCTCTTATCCTTTGAGACAGCATGGATGGACCTGGGGATTATTATGCTAAGTGAAATAAGTCGGTCAGAGAAAGACAAATATCACAAGATCTCATTTGTATATGAATCAAATGAACAAAATAAACTGACAAACAAAATAGGTCCAGATACATAGACGCATGACTCAGAGAGATCTCAGAGGGAAGTGGGGGAGGGGGGGGCAGGAAGAGATTAACTAAAGAATTTGTATGTGTATATGCATAGCCCAAGGATATAGACCATAGTGCGGTGAAGGCCAGGGGTGGGGCAGGGACTCGGTGGAGGGGGACGAAGGGGGAAAAATGGAGGACATCTGTAATACTCTCAAAAATAAAAGTAAGTTAAAATAAAAACTTGCTTCAGTTTGTCATAGACACCTTTCATTTCAATATGCCATAACTATATATTCACTAACGTTCTTTATCTTGGACTAAAATTCTCCATTTCATTTCCAACCTCAGGTTCATTTATTTAGATATTTATTTATTTTACATAGTTTTTTATTTTGTGAAAAGCAAAGATCAGGCTTCACTTTTCAGACTGAGATTGAATTTATACCATTTACTCTATTATTTTTTAAAGACCTTAAAATCATATTTAAGAAGCAAATATCTCAGGTTGAAGTAAAAGAAACAGAAGTAAAAGGTCCTACTCCAAAAATAGAAAACAATTCTTTGATTTTGCTGTACTATATTCTATAGTCAGTTTTTTCAAATATCTATGTATTAGTTATAACAGATTTTATTTTTAAGTTATTAACTTTATTAGATTGTTGTTGCCATAATTCACTGATTTACTTACTCTTTTTCATTTCTACACTACTTAGAGACTGTAATTCAAACTATTTCATTGTCTTTGTACCCAGAAAATGACAAAGAAATAAATAAATTTTTCATCTCGTTATCTATATTCCTGCAATTATATTTGGTGATGATTATGCTCTAATTATTTTGAGATACAACACTAGCATCAAGATGGAAGCTGCATGGTAATTGGATTATAAGCGGGGTGGAGCGTATATCCAACTCACCGACCCTCAGAAGGTATCTACTCCACCCACCACTCCAGATGTTTGAAGTCCCTTGTAATAACAGTCCAAAATTGGCCCATCCTAGGTTTAAATCTCTTTAGTCATGCAGTACATAGGACATTTTGCTGTACCCACTTTCACTATTTTGACAAGTGGAGAGTTCTTTATTATACTGAATTAAATCCTGTTTGGTATATATTGGTTTATTTCTGTACAATGTGAGTTATACTGACTAATCCCAATCCTCTTCCCACATTATACAACCTCAGATTTTTAATAAAAACAAAACAAAACAAAAGGCTGAAATGGCATCCCTTGAATGATAACAATTGGATCATCTTGGTTACGCCATCTTTCCAGAGGCAAATTTAAGTCAATGTTTGTATTATTTGGTACAATGCATAATGCTGCTGATGTTAACCATTAAATTTTACTGGATTTTGGAAGCCATTTGATCATAACTATGTTTTTGTCGAAATGTAACACATTTTCTATACTTTGTATGTATATATACAAAATTTACATATACACACAAATATATATGCAAATATATATATACACACACACACACACACACACACAAGTATATACCCTCATACATGTACACACAAATATATATATTTGCAGGATGTGTAGCAGAGGTATTGTTATCAAATAAGAAGAGTTTGTGCTTTGACTTACATTTATGGTCTGGCGATAGTATAAAGAACTGAAAGGTAACCACTGTTTTAAATCGTATTAAATCCCCATGGCTGAGCACATTCCTGAGTCTAGAAGTGGCTTTTCCTGGGTGAGCACTCTGAGCAGGCTCAGTTTCCCATCCGGCCTCATGCACCCGAGCGAGCGCAGGTTTGAGAGGGGAAGACACTAAGAGAGGAAGGGAAGGGGGGCAAAGACATAGACGAGAGAGGCGGGAGGCAGAGGACGAGTCCATGAGGAGAGGCAGGGAAATAGTACAAAGAAATAGAAGAACATAAATGTCTCATCTTTTAATTACTTATCTGTTTTTTTGTCCAGAAAAGTTGAGCTTCATCCTTGTAATATAAAACCTGGAAATCAATACCATACATTTCTGGGTCATCCCTCCATTATTTGAACCGAAGGTTAATAATACAAGTTGTCTCTTCTAACACATAATTCAAGGTATTGTCTCCTTTCTAGCACTGAACATGCAAGCAGAGTATCCGGTGTTGAAAAGGCACTTTTCATGTAAGCCTAAGACACTGGCATTAGTTAACAATCTCTTTCTTTGACAGTGCTCTGTCCTGCCAATGAATTACGGCTGGATTCCACGGGAGTCATACTGAGTCCTGGCTACCCCGACAGTTACCCAAATCTTCAGATGTGTGCCTGGAGCATTTCCGTAGAAAAGGGATATAACATCAGCATGTTTGTAGAATTCTTCCAGACAGAAAAGGAATTTGATGTTCTTCAGGTGTATGATGGTAACCATGGGTTATACTTATTGCATATTCATACATTCCACTCCAATACTCTATTTATTACACATGCAGACCTTTAGTATAAAAGAACTACTTATATGATTTTATATTATAGATATTCTTAGAGTATCGACATCAAATTTACCTATATACCATATAAATATTGTAGTTAATTTGGGTATTATCTTAAAAATTATAGATCCTTTTGCTATAAAATTAAAATGTGTAAAGCAGAGATTTTATATTATATTTTAAGTTATTGCTAATGAGGTAGATTGCTTGTGTAGCTACATGATAAAATAATTATTAAGTTGTATCTAAATTGTCTTATTTTCTTCCCAAAGGACCAAATATTCAAAGTCCAGTGCTTATTTCCCTCAGTGGAGATTATTCTTCTACTTTTAATGTAACAAGCAATGGTCATGAAGTATTTCTTCAGTGGTCAGCAGATCATGGCAATAACAAAAAAGGCTTCCGGATAAGATATATAGGTACGTGGTACTTACTACTTTAGTGCAGGTCTTACCTCCAGCATTAGTACGGTTGTGATTAAAGGGCACAGGCACCGACACTGATGAATGAGACGTGAAGTGGAATCACAGTTCCTCCACTGATGATTCTTGAGCCATTTATGCAGCCTCTCTCTGTCTCAGTTTCCTCATCATAAGGATAACAATTCTACTGCTTGGATATTTATGACCTATAAGTTCATTGTAAATTAAACTCTGATATTTTTAATGTTTCTTTTCCCCAATAGATTTGTTTCTTCTGAACTCTCACAAGACATTAATAGTGTTGCTCAAATGTGTGTATCTGATCTATTTAGAAACTCCTTTAAATGACAATTTTAAGCAAAAGATAAACACACAATGGTAACAATCTTTGTTTTCATTATTATTCATTGATTTGTGACACTTGCTAAATACATTAAATATTGAAAGAGAAAATGAGGAACCCATCATTTAAACATTTTTTAAAATATATATTTTTTGTCATTACTTCTTTTGATTCAGTAATATTTAGAAAGAAGTGGGTTGAAAATACTTGATATCAACATGATATAACTTTTTTATACACATCAGTCCTGAGATTTTTTATATTTAACTCTATGTTTCTATCGTATGAACAATGTAAATGCCTTTTCATTAAAGTTATGCCAAAGATGGCATTTAAAAGTCACACATTAAATTGTATTTTTGTTTGTTTGTTTTTAATTTATTTTTTTTGTTGAGAGTATTACAGATGTCCCTCCTTGTAAAAACCAGAATAACTTAAAGAGAAACCAACCATTCCAATCAAACAATTATAAGCATAAGATTATGCTCTAGACTAAATCCTTATTTTTGTTGATATTTATGACAAATTTAGATATAAATATTGTGAGAGCATCACATTTAACCCCCAAAACAGCTTGACATATTGAATAATTATATATTTTTCCTTTAGAAGTGACAGGTTATGACATATATATTCCACGTCCAATCTATTTCCTACCATTTACCCCTAAAGTCTCACTTTTCTCAGATGAATACATTGAAGTTTCAAAGGGTAAATGGATTCAACCAGCTGAATAGTCTCAAAGCATATATATGAAAAGGCCATTTGACATTATCTTGTGACATTTCAGACTTCAAGAGATGAAAAAGTTTTATTTTATTGGCATTTTTTATCACCATATGTAAGCACTCTTGACAGCACGGAAACTCTTTAATAAACTGGGAGAAAGGATTATGGAATGTGGCGAATCTTTTTTAGACATCAACCAAAATTAAATGCATGATCTAACATGATATAAGTGTCTGAAGATAACTTCAAAGTGCCATGTAAGCAACATCTCTAAACTATGCCTACCAAGGCGGTGACATTTAGGCCCTTTGAATGACAGGAAATACAGCTTCCAAAATTCACTCAAATATCTGTGGGACTTGTGAACCCCTAGGGTGTTAAGAAAATATACTTTAATTTAGAAAGCGACTTTGGTGACAATAAGAATTAAAAGATGAAACTCCAGAGATAGTTACGTCTTATAAAAGTTATATCAATAGATTGTCAAGAGGATAGGAAATAATATATTGTTCATATGAAATAAAATTTCCATAGATGGCCTATTTTTAAGTACTGGTATTCACTTATGAGTTTCTGTTACTCTGGGTTGTAAAGAATTGCCGATTCATTAATTACACAGTGATCCTTTTTTCTTTTGAAAAGCTTTCTACTGTAGTACACCAGAATCCCCACCTCATGGATACATTATCAGTCAGACAGGTGGACAGCTGAACAGTGTGGTCCGCTGGGCCTGTGACCGAGGATTCCGACTCGTTGGCAAAAGCAGTGCTGTGTGCAGGAAGTCTTCCTACGGGTATCATGCCTGGGATGCACCCATCCCTGCTTGTCAAGGTAAAGTATTCTATCAAGAAAGGATAAACATGCCCTGGCCGAGTTTCTCAGTGGTTAGAGCATTGGCCTGCAGTCCAGAGAGACCCGGGTTCGGTTCCCGCTCAGGGCACGTACCTCAGTTGCAGTTTGTCCCCGGCCCTGGTTGGGTCGTGTGGGTGGCAGCCACTCGATGTATCCCTTTCATGTTGATGTTTCTCTCTCTCTCTCTCTCTCTCCCTCCCACTCTATCTGAACAAAAAATGGAAAAATGTCCTTGGGTGAGGATAAAAAAAAAAGGATAAACACATTACCTTTTTACTTTTTAATTTGGATCACTGTGATTTCCAAAGGTGAAGATAGCAGAAGCATATTAGAGATGTCTCTCATGAAGCTAAAACTGAAACACACAGAATGATACATTTCAGGAGAACTTGACACATTGTTTTAAATTCTTTATTTGTTGTTATGTGACTTATGCCTTTATCTACTGTTGTACATACTCTGCCGTTTCCATTACATGGCTGTCAGCAAATGACTGACCTGAGCAGGAGTCTGTGTTACTGTGGAGTCTGCAGAAGGAACAGAGAGTACAAGAGAGGCCAAGTGCACTGTGGACTTTCTCTCTGAGTGGACAAAAATGTACTCGAAGAGCAGCACATTTAAAAGTGGAAAATGGAACGAAACACCACATTATTTCTTCTTCACTGCTTCGCTAACTCAACAGAGATATGCCTTTTATTTTCATTTGTATTTTGTTAGAAAGCAAGGCATGGTCTGAGCATTGCATCCTGCTATTGCAAACGAAATGAAAAGCTACTTAATCAACAAACGGCACATTTTCAGAGCTTTGGACCAGGTCTTGTTTTAAAAAGTAATTGAGTCTCTTAGCTAGGCATAGTCATAAAGACAGAGTGAGCATCAAAAAAACGTTGTCACTGGAATTTGAAAATTTAAGTATTTCACATATCACATTATTTTATCAATTTGAAATTTAATTTTGTATTTGATTTATTCTACCCAGAATGTGGAGTGTCTATCACAACTATAAACCCTTACATTAAAAAAATAAAAAAGAGCATGACTCTCTTAGTTATTAATGGTTCTTACCTATAATCTATTTGATGGAGCAGATTTTAATAAAGTAAATAAAATGTACAATAAGTCAATTAAAATTTAAAATTGAACAACAGCAAGTTAAAATGAGCAGAAAATAGATATTACCTGATATAACTCTCACAGCTGTCTATAAATAAATGAGAAATGAAAGAACTATTGTTTCTTTGTTCTACTGATGCAGAAACATTAATCACTTCTTAGAATTCTGGGAAGTGTCATAACCTTACTGGGTTGCAAACATTGAAGGTGATTATGTAGAATAAATATATTTTAATAAATGTGAAAATCTCTGCTTTCCTTTGACCAATGAATAGCAGGAGTATTTACCAATGCTTAGTATTAAATAATTTCTAGGAACTAGTTTGGGGAAAAAAAAAATCTTTGATCTCTAATTTCAGAATCATAGGCATTTAAAATATATATAATCTCTAAATCATATATAATTTAAATAAACATTAAAATGCTCTGAACTTTGAATGACTTACATTTAGTTATGTAAGAATTATTTATATATATTAAATATGCATGATATATTTATTATATATAATATATCCTGAATTTTCTGAAAGTTTCAAATTGCTTGGTAGAGTCAGCTCTAAAATTTCATTGATTTTTTTGTATATAATATGACATTTAAATATGGAGTTTTTTTTTTTTTTCTTTATTAATTTTAATGAGAGAGAAAGGGAGAGGAAGAGAGGTATTGAAACTTCGATGAGAGAGAACATCAATTGGCCGCCTCCTGCATGCCCCCATTGGGGATTAGGCCCACAACCTGGGCATGTACCCTGACCGGGAATTAAACCTGTGACCTATTGGTACATGAGTCGATGCTCAACCAGTGAGCCACACTGGCTGGGCTATGTTTTTTAATTTTTTAAAATTTTAAATAGTTCTACAATTAGAATAAATAAATTGAAATGCTGTTTAAAAAGAAGATACTTGGTCCTGGCCAGTTTGGTTCAGTTTGTTGAGCATCATCACATGCACCCAGAGGTCACTGTTAGATTCCCAGACAGGGCACATGCCTGGGTTTCAGGCTCAATTCCCAGAAGGGGGCGTGCATGAGGCAGCCAATGGATGATTCTCTCTGATCAATGTTTCTCTCTCTCCTTCTCCTTTACCCACTCTCTCTAAAATCAATTTTAAAAAGCATTTATTTTTTTTAATTGAAGATACTTGACATAGTAAAATGATAAAACATCTCTAATTTAAGGACTCATTTCCAAAATTGATTTTTATTATCATTGAACAATTTTTTACACATTAAATATCCATTCATTAATTCCCCACCCTCCCCTTTCAGAAATTGAACCATTTTTATCCCACTATACAACTGAGTATTATACAGTGTTATATGGAAACTGTCTCTTTGTATTTTCTGCCTCACTCTTAATTTGTGCTTTTCTTGAGAGTTCTATAGAGAAACCACTTTGTCATGCACTCAGTGATGATGCTTCTTCTGAACTTGGTTCTTTTTCTTTTTTGTTGGTTGACAAGTTAAACTGTAAGCTATCCACAGTCACAGTTGTCTTCTCATTTTACTATGTTGTCTTTTTTTCAGTTCCAAAATATGTCAATTTCTACTAACCACATGTATAGAACCTATACTATTTAATCTCTATTTTCTTTTTACTTTGATGTAAGTTCAACCTATACTACTCCAATGATGTATAGTTAATTTTTAAAAGATCAGTTAATATACAATCTTTGATTTCAAAATTCCAGAAGTCCTAAGTAGAAATATAAACATTAACAAACATCAGGAAAACATTTACGTTTGCAAAAACTTATTTTAGAGGTTCTGTAATTAGATAGTAAGGATAATAACATAATTATATGAGATGCTTATATAATTTACGTATTCAATGTTACTGCTTTTCTGTTCATAATTTGTAGGTTATCAAATTACAAAAGATCAAACTATTCACTAGTATGAAGTCTCCCATTCAGTTCTGAGAATTTCATATAGATTTCACTAAGATTTTTTACTTTATAGTCAATTAACATGGATTAATTAAAATTAAAGGCCTTAATGGTAGGTTTTATAAGAGAAGTAGAAACAATTTTAGTTTGAAATGGGAGATAGGTAAATGGAACACAGCATTTTTAAATATTTGAACTCATCTCATGTCCTTCTATTTTATATTTCTTTTGATATGAAAAAAAATGTAGTTCAAGTCTAGATTTTTTTTGTGTGTGTGTGAAACCTATAAGACTAGACACTTCAACATTCAGACATTTTCTGATATCATGTAGGTAATATACAGTACATACACCAAATACTACATAACAACTTTCTGATTCTGGGGCTACACTCATATTCTAGTCTTTTGCTGCAGAGATATCTATAAATTCTTACACATATCTGAATATGAATAAAAAGGTACAAGTAATCTCACTCTATTTAGGGTATTGCTGTCAAATGTATTCTTTGAATACTTATGTTTTTCTTCTTTTTAGAGATGCAAATTGTGTACTTGTAGAGCAAAGAAGGAAAACAGTTGATCTCAGGGGATGTCTTTATAGTCATTTAAGTTAATAAGATGTGAAAATATTTTATATAAAATGGATTCTTTTCTTTTTTTCTTTATTGATTTTTAGAGAGTAAGGAAAGAAAAGGGAGAGATAAAAACATCGATGAGAGAGAATATTGATTGGCTGCCTCCTGTATGTCCCCCACCGGGGATCAGGCCCACAACCTGGGCACCTGTCCTGACCAGGAATCAAATTAGAGACCTCTTGGTGCATGGGTCGATGCTCAACCACTAAGCCACACCGGCTGGGCTGAACATATTTTAGATACAATAAACTATTTAAATATAAAATTTTAACTAATTATCACAATACGATAAAATTAATTTTCACCTAAATCAGATTTATTATAGATTAAAACCAAGATATGTAAGACATATCAGTGAAATGCAGGAAGATCCAAATTAATTTTTAAGACAATAAGTCCTGGCCTTATATTTATTAAACATGTTCAGCTTGGATGGTGTGTCTCAGTGGTTGAGCGTCAACACATGCACCAAGAGGTTGCGGGTTTGATTCTCAGTCAGGACACATGCCCAGGTTATGAGCCTGATCCCCAGTGGGGGGCATGCAGGAGGTGGCCAACCGATGTTTCTATCTCTTCCTCTCCCTTCCTCTCTCTCTTTCTCTCTCTAACACCAATAAAGAAAAAACAAACAAACAAAATATGTTCATACACATGATATTCCATGGATGGTACCCAAGTGTATAGAGTTTGTCTGGTCCTAAGACAAAATAACATCCAGCTTCTAGATAAAATAAATTACTTGTTTTATTCCTGCCCAAAGTTCTGATGAGTATTGGTCACCACCCCCTTTATAATCTTTAGTAATCATCTGTCAAAATGAATGGACCAAACTCTGCTGTATGATCGTTCATTGGTTAGCACAGATACACTCCATATTTACCTCACTTGCATTCCCATGTCATTTATATGAATGCTGGTAGCCATGCACATGCTGGTAGAAAGAACAGAAACCAGAAATAAAGCATAATAATGTATGGATTCACAAATTAAAAAATATTTTCAACAGGAATTTGAAATAAGTTGTTCAGAAAGTTCTATTTCAGAAAAGCATTTTTAGGAGGTACCCTTTAATTGTTTCAGAGAAATTACTGAAATCCCAACTAGTTTTACGTGCTTTACAGTTCAAAAGACTTATCTAATAAACTATGTTTTCGTTTCTGTGATTTTGCATCTGTGTATTTATTCTAGCAATTTCCTGTGGAATTCCTAAAGCCCCAACAAATGGAGGAATACTCACAACAGACTACTTGGTAGGGACCCGGGTCACCTATTTCTGTCATGATGGATATCGACTGTCATCTAAGGAACTTACTACTGCTGTATGTCAGTCAGATGGAACTTGGAGCAATCATAACAAGACCCCTCGCTGTGTTGGTATGTGTGTTAAGGAAACTTTATCACTTGTGTTTCTATTGGCATCTCCCATGATTTGAAATTATATGTATTGTTTTAATTTGAGACTAATCCCTGAAACCTTGAAGTGTGATGTCTAAGAGAAAATGTTAATTTAGCTGTCTTACATAACAAAGTTGTAAGTTATTTTTGTAAAAAGTCATCCATCAATCAACATGTGTTTTAATGTGCAAGCCCTTGAAAAACATTTTTTTAGGTTTTCAGTAATAAAATTATATTTCAATGCATTCAGCCCTGATTTTTCTTAGGATAAATGATGCTGCTGAGATGATCCATAACTTTTGACTTTTGTCAATATTCTTTAGGTTATGTACATTTAGAATATTTCTCATTGCTGTCATTACTACATTAATAGGATAATGAATGTTATATTCTGGTAACGGATTATAATTCTAATAAAATACTTAGTAACAAAAGGATTAGAGAATGTTGGTTTAAATAATCTCTTTAAATTTTCTCTATATCCCTATGTGTTTTATTTTTCCATGTAGTACGAACATTTTAACTTAGCTGTAATTTCATTTAAAATGAGGGTGTTAAATAATTTGCAATCTTAACATAGGAGTCTAAAAATGCTTCTACATGAGTTGACAAAGTTTTGAATTAGCCCAAGTTTATATCACAGCTCTTGAATAAAAGTACCATTCACATAAAACATATTTTCTCACAATATAGTGTTTCCAAACTTCTGAAGAAATAAGAGAATAGGTTGTTTTCCTATCTTGCTTATCATGACTAATGCTGCAATGAACATGAGGGTGCAGCTATCTCTTGGGGAACCTGATTAATTTCTGTTGGATATATACCCAGAAGGGGGATTGCTGAATCATATGGTGGTTCTGTTTTTAATCTTTTGAGGAACCTGTATACTGGCTGTATGTATGTATTCCATAATGTCTGTACCAGTTTAAATTCTCACCAACTTGCACAAGGGATCCCTTTGTCCACGTTCTATCAATTGTACCTCGATAAAGCTGTATACAAAGACTGAAGTGTGAAATAACAGGACATGTTCAACTTCCAGCAGTACCGTAGAGCTGGGGAGGAGAAAAGATTACATGGAAAAGAAATAAAAGGCAAATGCTAAGGATGTTGTATGGCACAGTAGTGAATGAATGAAGGTAGTGGTGGTGGTAAGGATGAACAGACATGAGATATAGTTATTAGGTAGAATAAACATGACTGACTGACTCGAATTCATGTTCTTGGCTTTGGTATAGTTGTTACATGTCCAAGCATCAATTCCTTTACCTTGGAACATGGAAGATGGCGAATTGTGAATGGCTCCCATTATGAATACAAAACCAAGGTAGTTTTCAGCTGTGACCCTGGTTATCATGGGCTAGGTCCTGCTTCTATTGAATGCCTCCCTAATGGTACCTGGAGTTGGAGAAATGAAAGACCATATTGCCAAAGTAAGTATACACTCTGCTAAACTCATTTCATAAGCTATCTTCGATGAATGATTGCTTGATCACTTCCTTTTCCAAACACACTAGAGCAATGACATATTATTTGAGAGGTCCTTTATTCTTATTACATTTAAATTGTTTCTAACTTACTATTTGTTTTTTTCTGTATTGATGTTAGAGAGGAAAAGAGAGGGAGAGATATAAATATTGATTGGCCGCCTCCCGCACGCCCCCCACTGGGAATCGGACCCGCAACTGGGCATGTGCCCTGACTGGGAATCGAACTGGCGACCTCTTGCTGCATGGGTCGATGCTCAACCACTGCGCCACCCCGGCCGGGCCTAACTTATTTTTTATTAGTAAATGCTTATGAAAAAAACATGGGCTTTGGATTCAGAAATCTGTGTTTGAATTCTCAGCCTATCATTTACTACAGCAACTAGAAAAGGCTGACTGCAGACTTATAATTTGCCAGGCACTGCTTTTAGCCCTTTACTTGTATGATTTTATTTATGCCTTAGTTCTCTTACTGAACATTAGTTGATGTTATTATATTCATTTTATCCTAAAGAAAACTGTGTTCCAGATCATAGCATTTTACACAAGTCACAGAGCCTATGAATGGTACTCAACCCAGGCAGTACTCAACCCCACCTTTAATCACTATGGTATATTATGCTTATTCTTTTTCATTCAAATTTTTAAACTATAAAATTATGGTAATGCCTTTCTCATAGTTATTATAAAGATTTAGTGGTATGATATGTTGAAAAATATCACCTACAACTTGATTTACTGCAGGAGTTCAATAAATATTTATTGAATCAAATTGAACATATTAGGTCTTTCTATCTCCATACATTCTTATAATATAAATGGCCAGAGTATACTGTAGATAAACTAATTGAACATAGGATAGTCATATGAAATATCTCAGACTCTCTTTGAACTTCCTTAACGAGATTTACTGAGATTTACATAGGCTAGGCTGAAAATCCATCCTTTTATTTTGTGTACAACACAACTTATAATTTATAAATGAACTAATAAAGGATTCAGAAGTCTCATGATGAATAAGAAATTTAGCATAGCAGGCAACTATCTATGTGTAGTCAGTTTTATTCTACTTATCAATATTCTATTTTATAATTTATTTTCTTAATCTTTATGTAAGCAGGCTTTTGGAGTTGCCCTTTGTATTAGATAATCATATTGATGAATTAAAATCTAACAAATAGATATCTAAATTATAGTCGATATTCTAGAAATATGACGTATGTATTTATGAATTCTTGCCCTTTTCCTCAGGGTTTCCTCCCAGGAACTTTCTCTGCCTCTACCCTCAATTTTTTTTTTTTTTAATTTTTTTCTTTATTGATTTTAGAGAGAGAGAAAGGGAGAAGGAGAGAAAGAAATATCTATGAGAGAGAACATCCATCGGCTGCCTCCCACCTGCCCCCCACTGCAGATGGACCGACCACCTGTGCATGTGCCCCGACAGGGAATCAAACTGGTGACCTCTTGGTGCATGGGTCGATGCTCAACCACCGAGCCACAGCAGCCGAGCTGTTTTTTAATATAATTTCATTAAAGAGGTACATAGCATAGAGATATTTCAAAGACATAGGAAGAATTATCTACAACAGCAACATTAATCAGACATTCAACAAATGTTTGGTTCCTTTGTGCTCAATCCTCAATTATGTAGAGGATTTAACTGATAAATAAGATCAGGTTCCTGCTCACAACTAAGAACAGGGAGTGGCAAGGAATGTAACAATTGCAACTTATTGAGAAAATGGAAATAACAGTAATTTTTAAATTAAAATAATATATAATAGTATTATTAATATTAATAAATAGTATAGCAACCTATATGATTATTTGGGAATTAGTTCAAAACAATCTGTACATTTTAAGTTCTATATGCAGCTATTTAAACTTTTCAGATTTTCTATTTGTCCATCGGATGGCCATCTAAAGCCTAGACCAGAGCTGGAGCCAGAATAAAGCATTATGGGCTGATGGTTTAGTACTCGCTTTGGGATTAGACTCCAGGTGTACGTTCTGTCTTAGCTATTTACAGGCTGTGTAACCTTATTACTTAACTTCTATGTGCCCTTATCCTAGTGTATGCAATTCAGATATTGCATCTACCTCAGAATTCCTTTGAGAATTACGTAAGTGAAAGCACTAGTAATAGTTTCCGGTACAAAATAAGGATTCAATAAACACAATGCATTTTTTTTTTTTTTTCCCCTAGGAAGAGACTTTATTTGTAGCCTTTAAATATGAAGGAGTTTTAAGAGCTGGGTTCTGAATGACCTAGCAAGTCAGTTAATCTCTTTTTTTAATTTTTAAAACCTACAAGCAAATTGTGAAATATAATTATATCTAATGGTTCTTATGAGAACCAAATATTTCACATGTAAAGCATTTTGTATAAACTATGAGGTACTCAACAAAAATTAATTATAGTTACTGTCTTGGCATTATTTAGATGACGAAGAAACCAGTTTGGCTCAGGTAAGTCAAAGGGATTGCCCAATGTTACTTGGTAAATTAGAGAAAGATTTTGGGCTAATAAATTATCTTCCCTTTAATCTTGTGTTTTTTGTTTTTGTTTTTCTTCTACAACCTGCTGAGTGACCAGGTTAGCTAAGCAAAAGTTGCAAATAAACTAGCTTCATCACATGTCACTCTAATTTAAAAGATTTTATGGTCACTTAGAGGGGATAAATTTTAAATTATGTCATCTGTTTTTTCTACATTTTCACACTCATTCAAACACGGTTCACAGATGTCAGTTTCAATGTAAGTATGTCTAATCATAGGGAATTCAAAATGCTAAAATTATGGTGTACTGATTATAGATTTAAGACTTTAAAATGTTTTATTGTTTTGAAGTTATTTCCTGTGGAGAACTACCTACACCTCCCAATGGAAACAAGATTGGAACTCAGACTTCCTACGGGTCCACAGCCATCTTTACCTGTGACTGGGGATTCATCCTGGTGGGCTCTGCCGTTCGGGAATGCCTTTCTTCGGGTCTTTGGAGTGGATCTGAAACCAGATGCCTAGGTACAGATTTTTAAATCATTTATTTAAACCTCTTTTCTTCCTCTGGAAGAGAAACAACTCTTATTCACTCAGTAAGGACTCTAAAAAAAACCCCAGAAAATATTTAAATTTAAAAATGTCTCCTGGTGGAAAAGCTATTAAATAGATAACTCTGCAAGTTAGTCAACTAGTATGGCAAATGAGACTCTTATGTCATTAAGGTGAGACACGTTGTCATCCAGGCATGGTGAAAATAAAAAGGGGAAAACTAATTGCTTACAATTATGTGTCTGCATACTCAGCTGGATTAATTGCTGTATCATTTAATTCCTTGTAAACCGTAGGCAGTTTTCCTTTTACCTATTCGTTTAAGGTAATGACCGAAGAAGAAAAATAATTTCCACATTTAAGTCTTCTTCTTCCCTTTTATTTCACAATTTCAACATGTGTAATATTATGTTCTATTAAAACTTAAAAAATTTACTTTTCAAACCTGATTTTAGGGCCAATAGGATTTTTTTCCCTTAGGGTTCTTTGAATTTATTATAAAAATAACCAACTGTGTAATAAAAGAAACTAAACTAGCTATTTCTTCTTACAACTCCTCTTTTATTATTTAAAAATTATGATTGATGCCATATCTCTTTGTTTAAATATGTTAATGTTTTTAATATTAAAAGAATGATATGATTTATGTGTCATTTTTCTCTATAATGATATCAAGGTATGACAGCCAGTATTGAGTTAGGTATAATAAAAATTGTTCTAATTATTCACTTGTCTGTTGGGAATAGGCATAATCTTTTTGTTTATTAACTTAAAATTGTTGATTATTGTGAACAGGGTATTGCCAAATTTGTACAATATTTTCTCTGTAAAATTTTACTATTTAAAAATATGCATGACAGAAAAGTCTGTATTTTAGCAATTTACATGTATGTTGTTTTGCTAATAAGCTTGAAAATATTCACGATAATACAAGGACAATTTAAAACTAAAAAGGTTTGGTTAGTTTTGATAAAATTCCTTTTTTTTTACCCTCTCAGGCATATTTGTTAATAGGTATATTTGGAAACATAGCAACAGTGGTTTCTTTATAAGCGCACATACATTTAAATGTACTATAAGACTACTGTGTATAAAGAAAATACAAAATAAATTAAACCTCTATCAGTAGGGTTAAATAATAAAATAAAAATGCTTTCTGACTACAGTTCTGTTATCTGAAGAGACAGGACACAAAAGGAATATGTACGAGAAAACATTGCCTCTCAGTCTATGAAGACGACATCATCATCCATTGCAGAGGACATAGTGTTGACATCAGACATAAATTTAAAAGGATGTGGATAGGAGGAAAGTGCAGTTGCCAAACAAGCAAATCCTAGCATCTTAAGCTTACAGTGCCTTTAGGGATTCATGTAGTCCGGTCATTCTTCTCATGTTTGAGAACAACGTGGCCTTCTAGCCCCAGACACTTTCGGCTTGGAATGGCCACTGAATATGCTTATAATTGTTTCTCTAAATGTATGCATTTATTTCCAGTTCCCTAACATTTTATTATGCATTTTTTCAGATGAAAGACTTAACTTTGAATGCCCATATGCCCACCCCCTAGATTCTACAATTAGCATTTTATTGTAGTTGCTTATTACCTATGTATCATCCTTTCAAGCCTCTGTCAATCCATGGGTTGTTGGTGGTTGTTGTATTTTGAAGTAAGTTGCAGAATTTGGTACACTTCATGACTGAACATTTCAACGTGCATATCATTAGCTGGAGTTCAATATTTCCTTCACTTTTTTTTTTTTTTACTGTGACAAATTCTATATACAGTGAAATGCATGTCTCATAAATGCACTTTAGATGAGTTTTGACCAATGTGTACACCTGTGTAACCCAAACCCCAGTGTAGTTACAGAGCATCACCATGGCCTCCAGGAGGTTCCTCCCAGCCCTCCCAGCCAGTCGGCAGCTCTCCTTCTCCCCAGCCCTGACACAATAGCTGTTTTGTTTCTTTTTTCATATATGTTAGTTCTATCTGTTCTAGAAATTCATTTGAATGGATTCCTAAATTACGTACTCTTTTTTAAAAAATGTATCTTTATTGTTGAAAGTAGTACAGATGCCCCCCCCCCTTTGCCCCCAATGACCTCTTCCACCCCGCTCCAGCCCCCTCCCCGGGCCTTCTCGGCACTATTGTCTGAGTCCATGGCTTCCTTCATCTATGCTGATGTGTGTAGATCAGTCATTTTTCATCACCGAGTAGAATTCCATTGTATGGATATACCACACTTAGCCATTCCCCTGTTGATGGACCCCTGGGCTCTGCCCAGTTAGGGGCTATAATTAATAAAGCTGCTATGACTATTCATATAAAACTCTTGTGGACATATGCATTTATTTTTCTTGGATATTCTGTAGTAAAATTCCTGGTAGAGTTCTGGTGGTCTCACAAGTTCTCCAGCATGTGGTGTAGTCCATTTTTAATCCTTCCCCCCCCATTTTGTTGGGTGCATAAAAGTATCTTTAAAATTTTTAATTTGCATTATGTTGATATTACTGATGCAGCAGTTTTTTGGGTTTAGTGACCATTTGTAAATTTTCCTTTGTGAGGTAGTAAAGTAGCTTTTATATTGAATTTCCTGTTATCATGAACTGCAGGAGTTCTCTGTATATTCTGGTGGCAAGGTCTTCATCATTATGTGTTTTCTGAACATTTTCTCCTGCCTGGGACTTGTGTGTATTCATTTCATGATGAATTTACTGTGCAGAAGTTTTAAATTTTGATAAAGTTCATCTTATCATTTTTTTTTCTTTCTGATTATTGCTTTCTGTATCTTGTTTAGAAAATCTTTGCTCAGCCATAAGTCACACATATGTTTTTCATGTTTTCTTCTAGAAATTTTATAGTTTGGGTCTTACTTTTATATCTGTGATTTACTTTTAGATGATTTTTGTAGGTATTCCAAAGTAAGGTTTAGGTGTTTTTTTGTTTGTTTGTTTGTTTGTTTGTTTTGTTTTGTTTTCCAGAAGGATATTTGGCACTATTTCTAAAATATATTTTATGTCATGAAATTTTGTATGTCATTCCTACAAATTTAATTTTCAAGACAACTTTGATACTTAAGGGCCTCTGTAGTTTCATAAAACTTTTAGAATTAATTTATTAATTTTTATTTTTTACAATGCCTTGTAGGTTATGATAAGGATTGCATTGAATCTATAGATTGTTTTGGAGAATTGCTGTCTCACAATGTTGACATTTTCAATTCATGAACATAGTATGTTTAGTATATTTATTTCTTTAGTTTTTCTTTAATTTTATTTTGTATTAGCAATATTTTATATTTTTGGCATAGAGATCATGAATGTCTGTTGCTAAATTTATTTCTCAGAATGTTTAGTAAGTTTACATTATAAGTGAAATTGTTCATTTTTAATTACGTTTTCCAGTTGTTTGCTGCTAGTATATAAAAACATAATTATTTAAAGTATTTAATATCCGACAACCTTAATATTTTACTTATTAGTTTTAGGATTTTCTTAAAATAGGATTTTCTACATATACATCATCTGAGCAGAGAAAAGTTTTACTTTTTTTCTAGATGTATGCTTCTTTTTTCTTTCTTTCCTTTTTTTGTATTAATGTATTACAACAGGGCCAACCAAATAATGTTAAACAGGACTGGTAAAAGTGAACATTCTTGTCTTTTTCCCTGTATCGTGAGTAAAGAATTCAACATTTCATCTATAAAAATGATGTTAGCTGGAGGTATTTTTTAGATATCTTTTGGTATTCTGAACCTCAGTTTCCAACAAAAAGCATTGCTCTAGAGCTGGGTGTCCTACAAGTCAACTCAATTCTGACACTATCTACATGGAGATAGCATCAGATTCTATAAGATAAGGGTTCAGTCCTACAAGTTTGTCCCACACTCCCACTTTAGATGCGGTCCCAAGCCCAGGTTGTTACCAATGATTGTGAAAGATGAGCTATAGATTGGAGGTTCCAACAACTTTGTCCTTGGGTGTGATGGATTTGCTAGGGAGGCTCACAGAACTGAGAGATACATTTTACTTATTAGCTCACCAGTTTGTTATAAAATGTAACTCAGGAACAGTCAGATGGAAGAGATGCATAGGGCAAGATACATGTGGGAAGGGCTTGGAGCTTCCTTGCTTTCTAAGCTCACCACTCTGCCTGAATCCCCACTGCTCACCAACCTGGGAAGGAAGCTCTCCGAAACTTGTCTTTTTGGGTGTTTATGGAGGCTTCATTACAAATACATGATTGATTAAATCATTGGCCATTGGTGATTAATTCAACATCTAGCCTCTTTCCCCTCCATGGAGGTCAAGGGAATGGGACTGAAATGTTAAACTCTCCAGTCACACAGTGGACTTGACTGGCAACAAGCCCCCACCCCAGGTGTGGCCCAAAAGTCACCCAATTAACGTAACAAAATATACCTTTGTAGCTCTTATCACTTAGGTAATTCCAAGGGTTTTAGGAGCTCTGTGCAAGAAGAGGTAACCAATAACAAATACGTATTTCTTATTATAAGTCACAGTATTACAGATGTTTTATCAAGGTTGGACAGTTTTTCTTATGTTGCATGAGAAATGAGTTGGCCAAATTTCCCCATCACTCGTGAGAGTGTGGGGCTCTTGGGGTATAGCTGGAATGAGCTTTTCCAGAGGCCCCCACAGGAGAATGAGATGTGGTAAAAGACTTTATTTGTGTGGAGTTACATTCATTGGGTTGTAAAGTCAGTTGCTTTAGTGCAATCCTGAAAATGGGTAGCTGGGGGTTCAGCAGGGTTAGATGCAGGACCAGTGTCCAGAGTTTCCATTCCATGGGGGAGTTGGGTCCAGTGTAGATATAGCATCAGGCTAGTCACAGTCCACTGTGCAGAGTCCACATGGCTGTGGGCTACATGGGTAAATGTAGGGTGTGAGAACCCTATAAACCAGGAGTCAGACACCAGCCAACGGAGAGAGAGAGAGAGAGAGAGAGAGAGAGAGAGAGAGAGAGAGAGAGAGAGAGAAAGAGAAATATAGAGAGAGCAAGCTTTCTTTGTTCAGCAGATTATGTATCTCAGATTTTGCACCCTTGTAGTGGTCACCTATTCTGGCTACTGATTTGTTACTAGATGTGACTGACAGGTAAGCACTTCCCATGTCACCCAGACTTTATTGGGTGTGCATCTAAACTGCCTTTGTCCACTCTTTTCCCCCTATTGACCTACGGGTAGTAGACTTGAACTGCAGCTTCCTAGTAAAGCTGTATGTATAAATGGCATGCCTATATTATCTAGGCTCCTCTTTACTCTTTTCTGTTAATAATAACCAGGTTATTATAACTGTATCAAATATATTCCTAATTTATTATTACTTTTCATGTATGTGTATTGAGTTTTGTCAAATATTTTTATTCATCTATGAAAAGAATTCAATATGGTAAATTATAGTGGTTGAATTTGCATCTTAAACCAATTGTTCATTCCTGGGTAAACTTCAGATATGATGCATTTTAAATTTATATATGTTTTAGATTGATTTTCTAAACATTCATTAAAGAGTTTTACTTTTATAAAAAAGACATTGTTTTATTCATATGTCTTTTCCAGGATTATTATTATGGATATGATTACCTCATAGAACAAGTTAGAAAGTGATTTTTTTCTCTTTTAAGTGTTTTTAGAGTACAAGTAAAATTTTTGTTTGTTTGTTTTTTAATTTAAATGTTTCATTTAATTTACCAGTAAGAATATCTGAACCAGAGTGTTTTTTGTGGAAAGAGTTTTAAGAATACAATACTTTTGATAGATAAATGACCATTCAAATTTTCTATTTTATTTTGAGTTCATTTTGGTATGATGTATTTTCAAATAATTTGTTATTTTCTGAACTGTTAAATGTATGAACATAAAGTTATTCTTTGTATTTCCTTATAATTTTATTTTCTGTATGCCTGTAGTAACATCACTTCATTCATTCCTGTTATTGGTAATTTTGTTCTCTCTTATTTTTTGTTGATAGGGTTAGCATAGATTTTCACAATTCTGTTGCTGTTTGTAAAGAATTTTTAGTTTAGATACTGTTCTGTATAGTTTCTCTGTTTTTTTATCTTCTTGATTTTTTTAAACTGTCTTTAATATAGTCTTCCATCTACCTCCTTTGGCTTCTCTTTTTATTTTGCTCCTCATTTTCCTCTTGTTAAAGTGGAATTTCAGGTCAATGATTATATATCTTTCTTTCTAGTAAAAGCACTTAATGCTATAAATTTCCCCAGAAAGCACTGCTCTACATATATTTCTCAAATTTTGATGTTACATTTTAATTTTTATACAGATTCAAATTCTAATTTATATTAGACCCAAGTGTTACTAGAAGTGTGTATGTGTGTGTTTAATTACCTAATACTTGGCATTTGACTGATTATCTTATGTCATATAATCATGTTTTTATTACTTGTGGCATGCTTCTAAATAAACTTTAAAAGTTTAGGAATGTTACCTATGTATATTGACATACAAATTAAACATAGGTCACAGTATTAAAAATATTACTTTCTGACCCATTTCAGCGGGTCACTGTGGAATTCCAGAACTCATTGTGAATGGTCAAGTCATTGGAGAAAACTATGGATACAGAGACACAGTTGTTTATCAGTGTAATCCTGGTTTTCGATTGATTGGTTCTTCAGTGAGAATATGTCAACAGGATCATAATTGGTCTGGTCAACTCCCATCCTGTGTGCGTAAGTAAGCATGGCAGAAGTAATTAGAGATCTCTGTTCTCATGCAACTAGCAGTAATTTTTTTCTTAGGTAAGATTTATAAGATTATACACACATACATATAAATATATATACATTATATATATAAATTAAAAACAAAGATAAACTAAACTCTCATAATTATTTTTTATACTGCTGTGCCCTAATATTTAAAGTGGGGTGTGTTTAGAGGTATATGAAACCATCTACTATGAAAGTGGAAAAAAAATAAGAAAATATCTATTGTTTATGTTTTATTACAGACAAGAAATTAAATTCAGCTATTCTAGTATTTATTATAAATATATAATATTTATAAATGCATATTTTTATCAAGGCTCATTCTTAACACATTTTAATTGTAAAGATTTTGATTTCTTGAGACCACTGTGCAGTACAGTAGTAGCATCAATATTGTGATGTAATATTGTGAAAGTTTTTATAGCAGAAAATATTTTGGATACATTTTTTTACTAATAATTATGATGCTATAGCTGGCAGAGCAAAATCAAGTCCTCGTGGAGTATAATGAGTGTGGGTGGGAGTCATGTGACATGACATGGAAAACACTGTTCTCATTTCCTGCTAATTACAGGAGCTAACATGGGTAATGTCGTCTCTCTAGGCCCTGATTCCTTTATATATAAAGCGAATGGTTGACAGTGTTTACCATTGTGCCCCCTTTGTGTTTCCAATTCTACAGTATTCTTAAATACATCAAGGTTACATATACACAGCTAATGTAATTGTAATATTTTTTCATAACGAATTTTAAAATTTAGTTAAAAGTGTGTTCTCAAGCATTCTTTCTGCTGCTTTTAAAGTCACAGAAAATTGTATAATCATATGTAATTATAAAATTGTTTTAATACAATAACTCACTAGTTCAACAAATACCTGCCTGATCTTTTCAGTTAATTTACTTATGAATTCACACATAAAGAATAAAATGGATTTTAGCCCTGGCCAGTTTGGCTCAGCGGTTAGAGCGTCGGCCTGCAGTCCTGAGAGACCCGCTAAGGGCATGTACCTCTGTTGCAGTTTGTCTCCGGCTCTGGTCAGTCGTGCGGGTGGCAGCCACTCGATGTGTTCCTTTCACATCGATGTTTCTCTCTCTCTCTCTGTTCCTCTCTCTCCCTCCCACTCTACCTGAACAAAAAATGGAAAAATGTCCTCGGGTGAGGATAAAAAAATAAATAAATAAATAAATAAATAAATAAATAAATAAATAAAATGGATTTTAAAATACTACATTTTTATTATTATTTTTAAAAATATACTGCTGTGCTTTGTGGTTGCTATATGTATGATATAGGTTTGCCCATTGTGCATTTATATTATGACTGTTATACTACTAAAATCAGAATATAGTTGAATATTGATAATTCTATTACTTTTTCTTACCCCACTGAATCCCCAGCAGTACATAGTCTTTCATATCATAATCTATCCTTTTTTTGAACCTGAAAGTCAATTATCAATGTGTTTATATTTTTTCTCCTAATTATTTCCATTCCTAGTTACTGACATTTACATCAAACTGATGTTAAAAAATGAGAATAAACATTGCAAATATGTTGTAATTGAAACATGGTAGGATCATACAATAGAGATTTTGGAGGCTTCAGATAAATAATACATAGGACTTTTCGTGTAGAATCACAGAAAATATTTAATTGATTCTGTAATTAATTATATTTATATGCAAAGATTTCATCATTGTCAATTTTTTCAATCAACAGAAATTCATTCATCAACAGAGTTTCATAGAACATATTTTTGCATGTTGAAATTTAATAGTATCATACAGCAGATATTTAACAATTAAAATTACTTTTGTAAGATATGTGTGTGCACACACACTGAATATCTGATGACTTGGAGACAGCAAAATTATACTTGGGTCTTTCTTACATTTTTTTTTTCTCCTATCATTTATATTCAAGCATAGCAATGGATACCACTGTTTTTCTTGTTGAATAATTGAGACTATAAATGAAAATGAGCCCTTGGTGTAAAACTGGCTTTTTTATTAATAATTTTAACAAGAATAAGATGCAGTTAAATTTCCAAGTTTGTAGGTTGACATTAACAATACAGCTGAAGAATAACTGCTCTTGGGTCATTTCAAAAGTACCAAAAGTGATGTTGGTTTTTCACCGTGCCCAGTGTGAAGGACTGTTGCTGCGGTTGCTCTGGTTAACAGAGGGAGGCGCTGCAGTGAAACAGTCCATGGAAAGTCAAAGTGTTCGGGAAAGCTGGCACTACCTAAAATCGGGAATGGAACTATCACGCTAAAAGGATTTAAATAATTCATCTATTTGATATCATTATTTACACACAAAATTGTGCTAAATTAGCAAATATCTATTGTGAAGAAAATAAACCAGTAAGAATTCATTTTTATGGTCCACATTTTTTAAAATATTTTTTTCTTTATTGATTTTAGAGAGAAAGGAAAGGAGAGGGAGAGAGAGATAGACACATCGAAGAGACATAGAAACATCGATGGATTGGCTGCCTCCTGCATGCCCCCCGCTGGGGATGGGGTCCACAACCTGGGCACGTGCCCTGACCGGGAATGCGAACTGAGCCACACCGGCCGGGAGTGGTCCACATTTTATAGTCACATTAAATTATTCTTCAAACACACCTTTGCTTATCAATTATTTATAAAAATTTATTCTATAAATATTAAAAATAAACAATTTCAAAGTTAAATACAAAAAAAAAAACTGCATTCAAGTGTCTTCAGTTCTTGACTGGCAAAGGGAAGTTGGTTCAGTTTCATTCCTTTTGTAGTAACTAATGACATGAACTTGAGCCGTTCCCAGATTTTAAAATATCAGTATTCTTCCCTAAAAAAATAGAGAGGGACTAAAAAGGTACCACAAAACTGTAAATATCTGTGCACCACTTACATAAGATGATCACAATGGTAAATAATTGTTTTCTTATTAGTATAATATTGCTAGTCCAGTAGACTGTTTTGGCTTTCTAACTTGCCCCTCTCCGTTAGTAAAAGCACTTGAGATATATTTTCACACAAAAGCGTTCTTCTTTCTATGTTGTTTGACATGATTAAGGGTAACTGTCATGTGACTTCTGATAACCAACTATTGTTCTGTGCCCTCCCCCGCCCCCACTTGTTGCTATTAGCTGTCAGCTGTGGTCACCCTGGTAGTCCAATTTACGGAAGAACAAGTGGAAACGGATTCAATTTTAATGATGTGGTAACATTCTCTTGCAACATTGGGTATCTCATGCAGGGGCCCACCAAGGCCCAGTGCCAGGCCAACAGGCAGTGGAGCCACCCTCCGCCCGTGTGCAAAGGTAAAAGACTCACCTGGTCCAGCTGGAGCACGGTACTAATGTGCTGTGTGGACACAGACGAGACCCTTTGAAACAGCTGGGGCAGAACAGTGGCAAGTTTTCAGCGAATAAAGCAAAATATTTAAAGTTGACCTTGTCTCATTAGCAATGCTTTTCTTTTTCTTACTTTTTAACTTATTTTTTAGAAGTTACAACTGGCCGGCTTTATTTCAACGGCTTAACTTGATTGATTATCTTGTGCTTATTCTGTGACTACATATAAGTCATTAAGATTGTTTTACCTCTGATTTGCTCCATAATTAATGGAACTTACCTTAGGCATTTATTTTATTGTTTTCATATTTTTGGAAAAATATGTTTAAGGCCTGAATTGCCATGATACTTTCATTGAGGGTTTATTTATTGTTTTCTGCGTAGAAACAGATAAAAGAGAATTTTTTTGGTGTTTTTCCATTTTGCAAAGAAGTATAGTATACTTCATATTGTCTGATAAAATACAACCAAGTTCAGAATCTTTACATTTTCATAGTTTAACAATAGTTTAAAAGGTATTATTTAAAATATCTGTACTCAGCATAGTGCTTACGTAGTTGCTACTGTTTAAAAAATTTGGAAAAATGTTTTCTTTTTTTTCTGTTTTTAACCACCCATCATCTTAGATAATGTATTAATTTTATTTCTGGAATCTTTCATTTGCTTGATTAAATTTACCTTTAAGACTAAATTTCTTATAGAAATTTATGTAGGTATATATATATATATATATATATATGTTATTTCAAACATACCTTTTAAAATTTGTCATTTGTTTAGTGGTGAACTGTTCTGATCCTGGAATTCCAGCCAATTCCAAAAGAGAAAGTAAAATAGAACATGGAAATTTCACCTATGGTACTGTTGTCTTCTATGACTGCAACCCTGGATATTTTTTATTTGGATCTTCAGTTTTGATATGTCAACCAAATGGACAGTGGGACAAACCTTTACCTGAATGTATCAGTAAGTAGATACTGTGAATTCTTCCTTCAAAGTTGCCATATAAGCAAAATGGACATTTATTGTTTTATAAAATATCTAGAGCTATATATCAGAAGGATTTTGTTTTTAATTATTATTTTGATTAACTCTTTGATTTTATTGCTTCATTATTTTGAAACTACACTTTCCTATATTCCGCCAATTCAATGTCCAGATGTCATTATTATTAATATTAATGTGCTGAATATCTCTATATCATTCTTTGACTTTGAACTTTGATAGAGCAGATAGAATATAGAAAGCACACATCTTTCATATTCCATGATGTTACCATCCCATAAGAGCAACTATAGTTTGATGGTCTCTTGTACTACTGTTTCAAATTTCATTTAAGGCAATATTAGTCTTTTCTTTAAATTAATTAATTTTTCTTACAGATGTTTGTCCTTTTCCCCCCATTGACTCCCTCTTCCCACCCCCCGCCCCAGCATTGTTGTCTATGTCCATTGGTTATGCTTATATGAATAAGTTCTTTGGTTTATCCCCCCCTCCCCATCTCCTCCTCTAAAGTTTGTCAGTCTGAACCTTACTTCTGTGTCTCTGAGTCTATTTTTTTCATCACCTTATTTTGTCCATTATACTCCACAAATAAGTGAGATCATGTGATACTTGTCTTTCTCTGACTGGCTTATTTCACTTAGCATAATACTCTCCAGGTCCCTAGATGTCATTTCAAAGGATATGAGATCTTTCTTTCTTACAGCTGCATAGTATACCATTGTGTACATGTACCACAGCTTTTTATACACTCACCTATTGATGGACACTTGGGCTGTTTCCAGATCTTATCGATTGTAAATAGCACTGCTATGAACATAGGGGTGCATATATTCTTTCTGATTGATGTTTCGGGCTTCTTTAGGATATATGATCATTGCATCAAATGACACTTTAATCTGTAATTTTTTGAGGAAACATCATACTGTTTTCCGTAGTGACTGCACCAGTCTACATTCCCAACAGCAGTGTACTAGAGTCCCCTTTTCTCCACACCCTCGCCAGCATTTGTTGTTTGATGATTTGTTGATGGCGGCCATTCTGGTAGGTGTGAAGTGATACCTCATAATGTTTTAATTTGCCTCTCTCTGATAATTAGTGATGTTGAGCATTTTTTTTATATATCTCTTGGCCATTTGTATGTCCTGTTTGGAGAGATGTCTATTTGGGTCCTCTGCCCATTTTTTATTAAATTCTCACCTAAGGACATTTTTGCATTTATCTTCAGATAGAATGGAAGTGAGAGAGGGGGAAGAGAGAAAGAGAAACATTGATGTGAGAGAGACACATTGACTGGTTGCCACCCACACAACCCCAACTGGGGCTGGGGACAAACTGCAACCAAGGTATGTGCCCTTAGTGTGAATCAAACCTGGGACTCTCTGGTCCACGAGTTGACGCTCTAACTGCTGAGCCAAACCAGCCAGGGCACCTCTGCTCATTTTTTAATTGGGTTCTTTGTCTTCTTTTTTTTAAGTTGTAAGTGTACTTTATATATTTTGGAAATTAACTCCTTATCTGATGTATCATTGGCAATTATGCTTTCCCATATAATGGGTTCCCTTTCTATTTTGATGCTTGTTTGTTTTGCTGTGCAGAAGCTTTTTAGTTTGATGTAGTCCCATGCATTCATTTTTTCCTTTGTTTCTCTTGCCTTAGGCATTGTATTAGTGAAAATTCTGCTATATGTGATGTCTGAAATTTTGTTGCCTACATTTTCTTCTAGGATTTTTAGGGATTCACAAGTCACATTTAAGTCTTTTATCCATTTTGAGTTTATTCTTGTGTATGGTGTAAGTTGGTGGTCTAGTTTCATTTTTTGCATGTAGCTGTCCAATTTCCCCAGCATCATTTATTAAAGAGTCTGTCTTTATGCAATATTATTCTTAATGTAAACAGCCAGCAGGGCTTCAGAATACTTGAAGGTTTAGACAAAGGTGTTACTTAAAACTTATTGATCATAAATATTTATCATATTTAGACACATTCACATATGAATGCAGTAAATGTTAATATACATCATATTTCAAGTCAGTGAACATTTAGTGAGTCTATTCTATTAAATGTTATGTTGGGCTTGTAGAATATAAGTAAAATAAATTATAGCAGATAGGTGTATGATTGCTACGTGTAGTGAGAAATTAGTTTAACAGAAATAAATACAAATTATGTGAGGACAAAATTAAGTGAACGTGATTTCTAGGAATTCAGTCAGTCGATAGGTCTCAAGTACAGCCACGTTTCTCAAGAAGTTGATGAATCTTGAACATGCTAGGAAAAGTAACTTTATAGATTGAAGGAGTATTGTGTCAAAAATACCATTGTATCAGTAATGTTTGGTTATGCAAAATTTTTAAATTATAAATTTTTTGTGTGATCATGTTTTATTTTGAGGCCTTTTCTTTATGGGGTTGGATATTTTGAAAATTTTATAACTTCATTAATGCACTGATGAATAAAATTTAACACAATATCTATTTAATTTCAGATTCTATACAACTAAGTCAATTGTTGATCCATTGCTTAAAATGTATTTGACTTTCTTATTGTATACTGACTGGTCTAATAGTTTGAATAATTTAGTTACTTTGCCTTATGTGACTATAACATTAAAGTTAAAATATTTTGTAGGACGTGTAAATATGAACTTCAGAGTCTCGTAGCTCACATGTACTTTTTTGCCTTTATTTATTTCATGTAGCATTCCCTGGCAGCATGCAAAGATCTCAAGGGATTTATTAAATTTATGTGCCCTTGTGTGGAATTTAATGCTCTAGAGTCTTTTTCTTTTTTTTTTTCCAATAATTTTTCAAGTTATATTTAAAAGGGTACACATAGTAAGTTCCCAAACTACCTCTAGGTTATAAAGAAATTTCTACAATGTATTGAGATCTGCTTCCGCTGTGCCCAGCAGTGCTTAGGTTAAGCCACTGAGTATTTTTTTTTTTTTTTTTTGGTACTGCATAATTTATTTATTAATGACTAGTAATAGAATTGATTCTAAACTTCATATTAGATTGGTGTACAGAATCCATCTTTACTCCTTGTCTTTCACCCTCAAAGTTCTTCCCTTTTAATTACTGTACGGGCTCATTTTGAATCCTGTTGGCATCCTATGCCCTTATTTAGCCAATCCACATAAACTCTCCTTCCTAATTTACACCTCCTTATTTAGACACATATGTACTTCAAACCCATACACATGCGCACGTGAACACTCACTCACCACCCCCACACATGCAGACGTATACTCACTCAGTCATTTATGCTGACTTACAGTACTCCTGCTAAACTCACACTCAGGGTGAGTGGGAGAACAGAATTGCTCCTATAACTGTAATTTCCATTTTATTCTTTAAAAAGTTAAGTTTCACACAGATGCTGGAGGTCGGTGTATTGGAATAGATCATTTACTTTTGATTTATGTTGTAGAAAGTTGGTACAGGTTGTTTGATAGGAGATATAAAAATATTTTATATTCAATAATTATGTATTGTAGTGATTGACTGTGGACACCCTGGCGTTCCTCCTAATGCAGTCCTGTCTGGTGAGAAGTACACCTTTGGGTCCACTGTTCACTATTCCTGCACAGGAAAGCGTATCCTTCGCGGCCATTCATCAAGAACTTGCCAATTAAATGGCCATTGGAGTGGATCACAACCCCATTGTTCAGGTACCACTTGGAAAATTGAACAATATGTGTTGGAAATTACATTATTATTAGAAATATATACATTAAAAAGATAAAATAACACATTTTTTTGGTAAACATCTGAGAGAAGCTGTAACATTATTTATACATTTATTGGAATACTTTTTAAGGCAATATAAATTCAGAGCATAAATTAAAACTAATCTTGTAGTTGGTAAATTACAGGTACATATTTTGCACTGTGTTGTGGCTAATATAAAGAATTAAGTGCTTTTAGAATGCTACTTTGTATAAAGTGTTTATGTTCTTCAAAATGGTGAACTATTGAAGCTTATACAGCTATTCTATTTTAGCAGATACCAAATTAAATTTCCCCAAAAGTGATGTTATTTCAGTGATTTTTGTGTCTATTAAACTTTCTAAATTATCAATTGCTTAATAGCATACTTTAACACAAAGGCTTAAATGTTTTGAATTAAACTAAGCCAAGTTTTATGAAATATATTTCTTTCCTTTCTTTTTTTATTAATAGGCAACACATAACTTCTGAGTTTCTAATGCCCCACAGTGATTTGTTATTAATATCTTAAAATAAATGAATATGAAAGCTATTTTTAATTAATAATTTGTTTGCAGAGTGAGTGTTTGATAAATCTTTTTTGAGCTACTTAAATGAATGTGTTTTTCTTTAAAAATGTTTAAATTTTAGATCTGTGACATTTCCCTATTTGATACTAATGATTCTGTTTGTATTACCCATTAACCAGATACTGGTGCTTATTTTTCTGTCTGTTTTGTTTAGATATTGTCCATTGTCCATTATCTTTATATTATATTATTTTTTATCTGGGGAGAGCATGGTGAACACTTATTAGGAGTTTTTACAACGTTGTTTCTCATTTAGGGGGTTAAAGTTGTTACATGTTTACTTATTTCAGAATCTCCTTGTAACTTAGTAATTAATGTCTATGAAGTAACTTTATGGAACTTCAAGTTGCATCTATAGACTTTTAAAACTATCAATAACTGATTATACATAAAGTCATATAACTTTACAGACATATACCCCAGTGTATTCAGAAACTGCTACTGAATTGAAAAAAAAGAAATTGTACAAAGATATTTAAAAGTGAAATACTTGCCCTGGCCGGTTTGGCTCAGCGGTTAGAGAGTTGGCCTGCGGTCCAGAGAGACCCGGGTTCGGTTCCCGCTAAGGGCATGTACCTCGGTTGCAGTTTGTCCCCGGACCTGGTTGGGTTGTGAGGCTGGCAACCACTTGATGTTCCCTTTCACATCAATGTTTCTCTCTCTCTCTCTCTCTCCCACTCCATCTGAACAAAATGTAAAAAAAAAAAAAAAAAAAAAAATTAAAAAAAAAAAAAGTGAAATACTTATCCTAGAGTTTGTGGGGTTGTTAATATTACATCTCATGAAAATAAGGCAGTGGAAAGAATGATTCCAAATACACAGGGCAATCAGAAAAGACATTAGACAGAAAAAGAGCATTTTCATACTTACCTATTCCTCCCCACCACCTCTCTCTCTCTCTTACTCTTTCTCTCTTGCTTGATATATACTAATACAGTGGCAACTTTGATTAGAATTATTTAAGAAATGAGAAATGAACTAAGTAAATTCCTAAGAGTAAAATCAAAATGTGAACTGCTAGTCATGAACAAAATCCTCATTAATAACAAGTTTGAGTTTCTAATCTTTGATTATTTGCAATTTAAATTTCATGTATGAGACGTACACAGTTCACTTATCTTGGTCAGTGGTCATTGGTAGAGAAAATCAGGGGATGATGTTTTAGTGTATGGGAAATACTATATTGTAACATTTACATTTTCCAGCACATTACAGTTCTAATGTAACAACAAAACAGCAAAAGATTGTCAATAAATAGAAAATTCAGAGACGGAAACATACAAATTACCAAATCCAGTTCTTTTCTTTTTAATTTTAGTTTTGTAAACCCATTGTCATACAAGCCCACAGTACTGTCAGTAATAATAAATTTTCTAATAATTCAGTTATTAATTAAGTTCTGGAAATACTAACAAAGTGACATTAACCTATTTAATTGCTCCAAATATCACTAATAAGGAAAATAACACTATACCCTGCCACTGATTTATTTTTTATTTAGGCTTTTTCTTATGACTGAACTCGGATGGGAAATGATTTTACCCAGTAAACTTATCACACTAAAAGCAACGTGCAAAAAAAACTATGCCTATAGGAATGTTGGACAAAATCATGAATATAGTAAATGCTTATTGAAATAAATTAACTTGTACTGTACTGAATTACAGGTGATGCTACCGGCACATGTGGGGATCCAGGTACCCCCGGTCATGGTTCTAGACAGGAAAGCAATTTCAGAACCCAAAGTTCTGTACATTTTGCTTGTGATATTGGTTATATCCTTTATGGCTCAGAAGAAAGAACGTGTCTAGCCAATGGCAGTTGGACTGGAAGGCAGCCAGAATGCAAAGGTAATCTCAAGCAGAAATTAAATATATTAAAATTGCTAGATTATAATGTATATTCAAGTTCAATTGTTAGTACCAGTGAAATTACTCTTTGCAATGATTTTTGTCCCCAACCATGGAATAAAAGCAGTAGTATTTCAGGTTTACTGACAGTATCCTATGTATATGATAGGTAATAAATATAAAAAATATCTCTCACGGGTCATTTATACACAAACATTGTTCACATCTTAGCAAATATCTGGATTGAAAAAGTTATGTGTTAAAAAGGTTTATTTTTCTCCCTTTATCACAGTGCATTGTCAGGGGAAAAATAGGTTGTTTTTACATCAACATTACCTCAAGGTCTGTTTCAGTTTTTAGGTTTGTAGAAATGGAAATATATAGAAAGATGCCTAACTATAAATGAGGTTTTTATTTATAGAGTACATTGCTTGTAACTAGAATATTTAAAATTTAGGGTGTTTGGGTAAAATTGTTAATTGTTCTGACTGACTCAGAGTTAACATATTTAAATCTTTACAAGAATGGCTAGAAAATGAAATGTTGCTGCAAAATTATTCTTATAATTTAAATTGTTCTTTTCAAGATGACTTTGAGTGCAAGAACTTAATTTGCAAAGGTATTCTTGAAACTTAATATTATATCAACTGTATTGGTTTTATAAATAAGATATAACCACAGAACTTATATGCATGTGTGCATGAACAATGGACATGGACAACAAAGCTGGGGACAAGGCAGGGAGGGAGGTGGAGGGGGGAATCAGTGTGTGTGGGGGGGAGAAACATCTGTATCAAAAATAAATCCATTAATTAATAACAAAATAAAAATAATAATAATAATAAAATGAGAAAAAAAATATGTAATTCCCAACAGGATTTGACAGTTTTTGATTGATTGTATTTCAGAAACCTTATGTTATGTTTAAAATGAGGATCCATATTCTAGGAAAGATAGTTATCTTTTTAAATGGACCAAATTTGGCAATCATAATTCCGAAAGCACTACCTCTCGGATGCACATCTGGGGAAGGGAGCACTGGACAAAGTTGTTGAGTGACAGACAGTAAGACTTAGCCCTTCGCTTTGTCTCTCAAGCTTCCTTTGCAAAGGCAGAGTCTCTGTAATGAGGTAATGCATTACGTGGGTGATGTTGAAGCTGGCCCTTGGTTCAGAATAAATGCAGAATAGTTCTTAGATGAAATGCAACCGGGTTCTGACTCTGTTTCTCTAGTATTCACTTTACAGATAAAAAAGAACAAAGAGTTGTAGAAAATAGAGAAGAATTAATATTTTTCTCATAAATGTAACTCATGCAAATCATTTAGAGAAGTAGATTCCAGTAGATGAATGGACAATGAAAATAAATGGAAAATAGAGAAGAGCAAAAAATTGCCACCTATTGAAAAATATTCGGCATAACTACTGATCAGAAAATTATAATTAAGCATCACTTTGCCTGTTTTAATATGAAATTCTTATGTGCGTGCAACAAAACTAGGGCTTTAAATTATTATTGTTATAATATTCTTAGAGTAATTTTTAAAAATATATCTATATTCAAAGAATATACATGGTTTTGATTTATTAACTGAACTTTTGAGGACTTCTTTCCTAAAGGAAATTAAAATATTGAAGAAAACACATAATGGTAAAAGTACAACTTTTATTTCTAGTTGGTTAAAATAAGCAACAACAGGAAGTAATTTAACAACACTAGAAATAATGTTACATAAGCAATAGTAAGTTTATATGCTGTGATAGTGTATAGTCATTAAAATAAAAGTCATGGAGCAATAAGAGAAAATAAACATCAAATATAACTTAGTTAAAAAGTAAGATTCAAAATTATGCACTCTATTAAAATCATGAAAAATGATATTGATTTCAGAGAAAGGATAAAAGGCAGTACACAAAAAATGATAGAACAAAGTGGTGAAATTTTTATTCTCTTTTTTCCAAATGTCCTATAATGTAGTATTACTTTAGTAATTTACCATAAAATATAAAATCTTTTCTAGACAATCTATTCTATAATGTGATGGATAAAACACAGGTGAAAGTGAAACTATCAAATGACTCTGTTAAAAGTCTTGTTAATACATAAAACATGCAAATTTAAAGAATAAAGCTTTTTTTTTTTTTTTACAAGCTGACAAGGTTTTTAACAATTAGTGCTCATGACATCAAAGAAGATGTGAGAAAACAAGCCAACTTTTACATTATTGATCTAAGTGTGGATGGTGATAATATCTTTGGTAACGGTATATCTTTAAAAAATTAAAAATATTTTTCAAAAATTAAAACTATCCAGAAATTCCACTCTAAAAAATTCATCTAATGGTACAATCAATGTACACAGTCGTCTAAATAAGCTAGAGTACATTATAACCTAAAATGAAAAAGAAATAAAACTAAACTAAAAGTTGTATTGGTCAGTAGAAGATTAGGTAGGTAAATTGTGAATATACATATAATGGAAAACTATCCAGTTACTGAACTTTATAAAAGAAAGATGCCTAATTGTATGTTAAGTAAAAAGAATATTATAAAGCAGAATGCATGGCATAGTTCTAATTTTAAAAACAATCATATTTCACTATTGAAATATTGCATATTTCACTATTTCAGGCACTGTTTTGCCCAGTACCTGAAATACATATAAAAATGAATATATATTTATATTTATTTAAACATGTATAAATATTTTATTAACTTATTTCTTGGTGTATTTATAAGGGATCTTTAATTTCTTCATTAAACTTCCATTTATTTGTCTTTTTAGATGAATCACCTTGATAAAAATAAAAAATATGGCATCGTAATTTAAAAGTATTATCTCCAGAAATATATAAGGCATATATATATATATATATATATATATATATATATATATATTTTTTTTTTTTATCCTCACCCGAGGACATTTTTCCACTTTTTGTTCAGGTAGAGTGGGAGGGAGAGAGAGGAACAGAGAGAGAGAGAAAGAGAGAAAGATCGACGTGAAAGGAACACATCGAGTGGCTGCCACCCGCACAACCGACCAGGGCCGGGGACAAACTGCAACCGAGGTACATGCCCTTAGCAGGAACTGAACCCGGGTCTCTCGGGACCGCAGGCCGACGCTCTAACCGCTGAGCCAAACCGGCCAGGGCTATAAGGCATATATAAAATACTCTTTCTATAGTCCACCGACACAGAAAATAATCAATTGACAAAGATATATTAGGTTTAAGCCATTTCCCAGCCTGAATTCGATCCAGTGCTCACATATGTTATCAGTATCTCCCTAAGGTACTCGTATTAGGTGGAAATGTGCCATTACCGAGCTGTGGGACCTTGGACATGTAACTTGATCTCTCTGTGCTTCAGTTCCAACCAAGAAATCGAGCTGGTATTAACATCAACACATGCATTTATTGTGAGGTTTAAAAATACTGGAAAAGTGGGGACACATGTAATACTTTTGACAGTAAAAATAAATTTTAAAAAATACTGGAAATGTTGTGGCTGTTGTAGTTATCAATGAATGTTAAATATCATCTATATTAGGTTAGGTCAGTTGACAGCCTAGAAATGACTCTTTCTAGGAGAGATGGCATTGTCAGCCAACACTAAAGATAAAGGGTATCAACAAACCCACGTTCCCCCAAATGTCCACATTGCAGAGTCCAAGTACGTGCTGCTTCTCTTCACTGTGTCCACAGAGCTTCCAGCCCTCACTCGCGATAGGTGGTGCACTTACCCCTTTTCATGTAAAGTTCGTTTTACTAGTGTTTAATTCAAATAATTCTCTGGGTAAGAAAAACGTGTGTACTAAGTGTGGAGGAATTCGAGACAAGAGGACAGTAGTGACAGTGTAATTTGTCCATGTCTGTAAACCACCCTATTGGAGAAGTTCTTAATTTTTATTGTGCAAAAAAATTTGACAGAGTCTGGGTTATTTCAAAATGCAAATCATCTGACATTGCTAAAAAAAAAAAAAAAAGGATGATACTTTTCTTTTTAAAAAAAATTTATTTATTTATTTTTGTTACAGATGTTTCTCTTTTCCCCCATTGCTTTCCCCCTCCCCCTCCCTCTCCTCCCTGTCCCCAGCTTTGTTGTCCATGTCCATTGTTCATGCATACATGCATATAAGTTCTGTGGTTTATCTCTTCCCTCCCTCCCACCCCCTCTTCTGAGGATCGTCAGTCTGTACCCCACTTACACATCTCTGGGACTACCCCATTCCTCAGACTGTTATGTTCATTATTTTCCACAGATAAGTGAGATCATGTGATACTTGTCTTTCTCAGGATGATACTTTTCAAAGCCTTCTTGGGTTGTGTCAAGACTATGGATCATGACATCAATAAATATGATAGATTGTTATTTTAGGCAGCTACTAATGAATATAGAAGAGGATAATTACTGTGGACAACAGATGTAAACATTTTTATCATAGGTTCTCTTGAAAATATTACCTAGAGTTTGATGTTGTAATTGTTTAAGGTTTCTCAGTCTCCTCTCTCTACACACAGAAACACGCAGCACCACTGTGAAGGACAGGCAAAATTAAATATTTACGATGCGGTATGCGATATAGATGGTGTTTTCTGAAACTATGATTGCCCTTATATTCATAAAGATAGCTTTAAATTCTTATGTTACAAACAAATTTAGTTATGCAGTTGACATAGGCTTGCTTTTAAAATATTTTAAAAATTCACTATGGTGTTGATGGCAAATAATTAAACATAATACAGGGTAGTAAATTATATAGGGCATTGTGTTTGTGACTCCTGTTTATGATATGTTAAAAACTTAATGAAAACCATTTCTAGAATTTGTTTTTACTCCAGTTTATTTTTTGTACGCCTTGGTCCAGAAATGGAGATTATAAAATTTTTTGTTTTTTTTTTTATCCTCACCCAAGGACATTTTTCCATTTTTTGTTCAGATAGAGTGGGAGGGGGAGAGAGAGAGAAACATCGATGTGAAAAGGACACATTGAGTGGCTGCCACCCGCACAACCCAACCAGGGCCAGGGACAGACTGCTACTGAGGCACGTGCCCTTAGCAGGAACCGAACCTGGGTCTCTCTGGACCACAGGCCAATGCTCTAACCGCTGAGCCAAATCAGCCAGGGCGAGATTATAAAGTTTTAAGGCAGATCAGTTATATACTTATATAAGTAAAAATATACATGGATACTTAAAATATTTAAATTGTTTATTTTATATCAGTGCTTTTTGAAGTATAATGATAATAAATCTCTGTTTCATCTCATTGTTACCTGTCTTTCCATTTTACATTAGTTGGGTTTTAGTCAGAGACTTCTAATTGTTCCTTGAAAGACTTTGTAGTACCCAAAGGCAATAATACTCCCGAGTAATTACTTGACTTCGTAAAGTTTTTACCATGGCTACTAACAAAACCTTTTTAAAAAAATAGCTGTAGTACCATTTGTATTCCAGTAATTAAAGTAATAAAATCAAAATAAATTCATCTTGAATTTCAACCATTGTAACATATAATTCATTGCTTGTTTTAGAGATTTTATAGCTCCTTTGGATAATTTAAAACCAAAATTCAGTCATTGACTTTTTGTTAGAGAGGATTTCTAATTATACTATTTTTATAAATACTCAAAACTCTGTTTTTACAGCTGTCCAATGTGGTAACCCAGGAGCAACAGCCAATGGCAAAGTCTTTCGGATTGATGGCACGACGTTCTCCAGTTCCATCATCTACTCCTGCTTGGAGGGGTACGTCCTGTCGGGACCTTCAGTGAGACAGTGCACAGCCAATGGGACCTGGTCTGGGACTCTGCCTAACTGTACAAGTACGTTTCTCCTCAATATGTTTAAACCTCACCAGTCATGCAAAAATATTTGCGTATATTCATGTATATGTGTACTTTGTAATTAATCAAGTCATGGAGGGTTTGGGATATTTACATTGTCTTTCAGATTAAAAGATGGTAGTGTTTTTAGAGTTTATACAAGTGACCTTAAGAGTCAGTTGGCAGAGAACGAGGGATCACAGAAAATCAGTGCTGTTGAAGGAAAGTGAACAGTATTTTAAGAATAGAGATGAATTATCAGCTGTGATCAAGATTAATACAAATAATGCAATTTTATTTTGCCCATCTAACACACATCAATAACTGACTTGGCTTTTTAAAAGCATGCTGACTATTAGTTCTTGTGCTATCACCGGAAGTCCTGGTAGCTGCTGTGCTCTCTTGATATGTTAAAAATATATATGGTATTTTAGAGAGTCTGTATTATAACAAAATTATTCACTTGAGAAATTTTTTTACAATTTATTTAAAATTCCTACATATTTATTAATGCTTATGTATAGAATAAAATATGATTTACTTAACTAATAATACCTATCCATTGGAAAATCATGGTTGCTTGTTATTGATTTGAATGAACTTCAGTGGCATCATGTAAATCATGGAATTTTGAAAAGAAGAGCTATTTAGGATGTGTTATTTAGTATTCGGAGACTCTAGGAGGCATGAGAAGTTGTTAAGTCTCTACACTGAAAGAGACTTAGGAGGGAATAAAGGGGGTGCTTTGTGTATTGCTATCTGGACAGGCCACATATACTTTTGCTGTAGTGTCCTTGATAAAAGTAGGGCAGTTTGACCGTGACCAGCGTGGCTCAGCTGGTTGGAGCATCATCCCATACACCGAAAGGTTGTGGGTTTGATTTTCAATCAGGGCACATACCTAGGTTGCAGGTTCATTCCCAGTCTAGGCACCTTACAAGAGGCAACTGGTCGATGATGTTTCTCTCACATCAGTGTTTCTCTCTCTCTCCCTTCCTCTCTCTCTCAAATCAATAAATATAGCTTCGGGTGAGGATTAAAAAAAGAAAATTGCTTAAAAAAAAAAAAAAAGTAGGCCAGTGTGTGAATAACAATATAGATGGGCTTAAGTAAAATTTGTAAATGAGGAACATGTTGCTTCCAGGGCCTACGAAGGTGTTGGGCTTTGTTAACATGTGGTGCTAGGAAGGCCAATAGTTGCTCTTGGCAGTGCCCGTGCTGAATCAGCCCTTGGCGACCTCGTGTCTCCCAGAAGCTCATCTGAGAATCCAGGCCTTGTACTGTGTGTTTCTCTCTCACATTGATGTTTCTATTTCTCTGTCCCTTCCTCACTCTCTAAAAAATCAATAGAAATATATTTGAATATGTATATCTGTTGTATAGTGTGTACCATTTTGGGGGGATTTTTGCTAAGAGCTTTACATATGTTCTTTCACTTATTTCTAATAACAAATCTGTGAAGTACATGCTATTGTCTTTTCTATTTCACACTCGAAGAAATGGTATCTTACAGAGAAAACAGAACTTGCTTTCCTGTGGTAACACAGGTAGTATATGTAGGATCGAAGGTTTTAAACCCAAGTTCACTTCTTTGTATTTTTACTCCTTTTGGTTTTCTTGCTTTATTTCCTATCATTATTACAATGGTTTTGTATATCTGACATGATATAAATATAGGACATTGTTTGTTAGGTATATGGAAATGTTTTGTTAATTTATAGTCTATTCCTCTAAATTTTTCAATTTCTCTACCTTTACCAACTTGAGTTCTGCAATGCTATATCATTTTTTATTAAACTGACCACTTGTAAAATTTGTTTTTGCTTAACAATCCTTACTGCTTAAAATTACAATATACTCTATGTATCTTCAGTGATTTTGTTGTTTGTCCCAAGATGAATGTCCAAACATACAATTCAAATATAAGTCAATGATAAGTATGAAAATCTTGCAAGATTTTCATAATGTAATGAGTCAAAGGAAATGAACCAAGTACTGTTGAATCACATACTCAGTCAATAACAAGGGGATCTGCTAGAATTAGGGCAATATCAGTGGAAAGACAGCCAACAAGGTTGATGATATGATAGATGTGTCAATATAGGGTGATTTGAATATGAAAAAATTAATAGAGATCCTTGAAGAAATTAATAAAGCTCTTGAAATATAGCTAAATGAATTACAATTTACAATGGTGTGGTGAAAGTAAAATATTAACAATCAAATTCTATTTGTATTTTTCCACTTTTTAAAAATAAAACTTTGGTCACTTGAAGTATTTTTTCTGGGTTAGCTGTCCTTAGGCAACTAGTTCTTCCTCCATCGTGAAAATCAGAGGAGTGATCCAATTTTTAGAATATGATTTTGTTTTCTAAATTATAGCAATATATTTTTTAATCTAGAAATACATTTAAAATAAAATAGAGACCTTGAGCCTATAATGTAATTGGACTACTTACAGATTCAGTTAATAAGTCATTTACACAAAACTTACTACTTTGGCCACTATCATAGTAACTGAGAATATGGAGTTCAGTGAGTAAAGTCTCTGGTCTCTAATATTTTATAAGCCAGTAAAATAGCTTTGAGAATTCATTCAGCTATATTGTTCTTTAAAAACCCCAGTCCACCCGGCTGGTGTGGCTCAGTGTATAAAATGTTGTCCCATGTACCGAGAGGTTGCTGGTTCGATTCCTGGTCAGGGCACATGCCCAGGTTGCGGGCTCGATCCCCAGTAATGGGGTGTGCAGGAGACGGCTGATCAATGTTTCCATTTCATTGATGTTTCTATTTCTCTCCTTTCCTCTCTATCTAAAAAAATCAATTAAAAATCAAAAACAAAAACCCAGTCCGATCACGTGTTAGATGTGTCATCTGTGATTTGCCTTGCCCATTTTAATAATTTTTTAAATTTATTTTTGTTACAAATGTTTCTCCTTTTTCCCCATTGACCCCCTCCTCCCAATCCCACCCCCACACCCGTCCCAGCATTGTTGTCTATGTCCATGGTTATGCATACATGCATATAAGCTCTGTGATTTTTAATAATTTTTGCAACATTTTTGAAAGACACCTTATTTTATAATAATAGTAATTTCCCTATGCTCACCCTTCATATCTAGCCATAGTAGAGATGTTGGTAGAAAGGCAAAGTTTTCCTCACATAAATTCTACTTGCTAACATTCAACCAGCTTCAGATTATAAATGAGTTGAGAAATTGCCCGTTTATTTGATCCTTCTCTAAAGGTGTGGCTCACAAACAGGGACTCTTCCCTCTTTACAACTATGTGTCTGCAGCTCCAGACAGGTCCTTAGCAAACCCACTGCCAGTGCTGAGCGTGAAGCTGCCCCCAAAGATTCCCATGGGTGGGTACAAGCATGTATCGCGAGATCAAGGTCATGCATTCGAACATCCTGCACACTTTGAAGAGGAATTATTAATGTTGAGAAACATTCACGGAACTAAACCGAGCTGGAAAGGAAAGATGTTTGCCGTAAAACAAGAAGCTCCTAACAGTGCTCTAATTATAAACTTTGCTTCTTCTTTCCTGTGATGTTCATACTGAAGAAAAAGATTTAAAAACTAAGCAGAAGTAAATCCCTCATTCAAAAATAGAGTTTTGTTGTTATTGTTTTGTTTGTTTGTTTATTTGTTTTCTGGGTTTTTGTTTTGTCAGCACAAAAACCCCTTAGGGTACAAATAGTACAGGATCCTTACCGTTTGCTACCGGAGCACACAGCGCTCTTAGTGTTTGGGAAAAGATACAATCTGCACCACGACAGAGCCTGTCTAGTGAAGTAAGGGCTGTCTCTCAGGTCTACAGAGAAATATGTTCATTTATTTCTTGGATTTTTTAAAAATCTACCAGAACTTCTTCCAAAATGATCAATGCCCTGATCTGTCAGGTCTTGTCATTTGGGTCAGGGACAGCATACTTTTTTAGATCCAGTGATAAACGAATCCAAGGCTTTTGTTACAAATGACCAGGATAGAAATGGTCCTCAATGGATCTTTGTTTCCAACCTGAGCATTCTGGAAGGTTTTCTTCATTTGGTTGTTTCGTTTATGTAGAAGATAGGTCGGGGAGATGGGGATGTTCTCACACAGGGAAAGCTGGGCACTATCCCAGCATGAAATTGGGTGAAGCTAAAGAGTCATGTAAACCTCCTCAAGGACAGGATGCTCTCACTACATGCAGTGGTTCCACAACAGGGGCGATTTTGCTTCCCGGGGGACATTTGGTAAAGCCTGGGGGTGTTTGCCACTGTGACGGTGCAGGTGAGTGGGGTGCACTGTCAGTATCCAGCAGGCGGAGGTCAATCTAAACACCTTTAGTGCATAAAGCAGCCTCGCATGATCAAGGATTAATTGGTCCCAAATGTCAATAGTGCCAAAGTGAAGGTAAAGAAAATGTAGCTGACTGAGATCTGAAAAAGAGAACCAACTTTTGAATTGAGAGATTGGATCACCTTTCTGGAACTTCATTCTGCTATAGTAGAATTTTATTCTGGGCTTGAAACCTGCCAAAGTAAAGGCATAATGATGCTAGAGAAAGCATGGATATTGCTATATTGTGTCTAATAGAAAAATAAAGAGATAACTCAAATATCAGTCCAGAGGGGTTTGGTTTCATGAATTATATTGCATGTATATCCATGTAAGAGAACATTATGTCATTTAAAGGTTACATGGATCTATGTGTATTTACATGCCAAATATCCATTAGATATTGAGTAAAAAATGAATTCTGTTATAAAAGTGTGGGTAGTGTGACCCTGTTTTACTTAAAATGCATATTTATAATGCTCATTTAAGAGGTTAAAGTTGTGAACTGGCATAGATTAAAATTACTAAATTATGTTTTGTTTTTAGCATAGAGGTCATCTGTTTCAATTTATCATAAATGATGCCAAATGGGCATCAGTTACATGATAGAAGCTAATGAGAATACCTCCCATAAAAATAAGTTCAAACCTTTAAGTAATATATGTTTTTGTGAATTTGAGCCATTTAAACATTCCTTATATGCTCACTCACTGATTTATTCTTTAAAGAGTATTTACTTTATCTCTTATGATGTACTAGACAAGGCTGCGAGAATACAGCAGTGTAGAAAAGAGACAAATACCTGCCTTCATGGAGTTTATTGGTGTGTGTGTGTGTGTGTGTGTGTGTGTGCGCGTGCGCGCGCACATGCACTCAGGCACACACGCTTATCTGTGTACATAAGTGCTGTGTCCTTAGGGATTTTGAGTGACTTTAGAAAAGATTTTTTTGCAATAAACCACAACACTCTTTTGTCATGCTCTGGTGTCTCCGAATTTTAGGGCAAAGCTCTAAAGAGCCACTATTCAAAGGTTTTACTCGAAAAGACCAAAAGCCTCTTTTTGTTGTTGAAAACAAGCTGGTGGTGAATGAACTGACTTGCGGAGCAGGTGCTGTTTACAAAGATTGTTGCTATTGGAAACTGCCTCTTTGACCGGGCTTGGCTTCATTCTAAAGTCACCGAACAAATCCTTCTGAAGCTGTTGTCCTGGTTCCATTCAGGATGCGGCCACGCTGTGCAGCACCCTTCTCGGGGCCTCTGCAAAAGGCTCTGTCCTCGCTTGGGGGGCTGCATTTCAGCCCGTGTGCCCTTCCACGCGGTTAGCTGTCTTTCTTGCCAGGATCCTAATTCAGTCTGTAAAGCGCAGCCCACAAAACAGCAATTTGTGGGTGTTCTCTTTAATTTTCCTCTTCTTAATTGGAATCTAGCTTAAAAATATAAAATAACATAAGGTAAAAATGAAACAAAATAAATTGAAGGCTATACTCACTATCATGCATTTTGAAACTGAAGAAAAAAATGACATGTTTTTGGTCAATAAGCAGGATTTGATTTTCTATCCTATTCAGTTATATAATTTAAAAAAATGTTTTCCTCATCAGTAATTCAAAGAACAAAAAACAGTCCTGGCCAGTTTGGCTCAGGGGTCTGAGCGTCGGCCCCCAGACCAGAGTCCAGGGTTAGGTTCCCACGAAGGGCACATACCTGGGTTGCAGTTTGTCCCTGACTAGGGTTGTGTGGGTGGCCAACCAGTCATTGTGTCTCTCTCACATGGATGTTTCTCTTTCTCTCTCTTCCTCCCTCTCTCCTTCCTACTCTATCAGAAGATAAATGCAAAAATGTCCTCAGGTGAGGATTAAGAAAAAAAAAAAGAAAAAGAACAAAAAACATTCTACATGCAAAATTCTTCCTAGGAGTTTGATAGGAACACCAAGAGTGTGATTTCAGCACATTGTCCCAGGGCTCCAAGGGTTAGAGGTGGAGTGCAGTGAATGTCATTCTTTGATTGCCATTATTCACGGTCCTAAAACTTCTTAGACTCAACAGATTAGAATAATAATATGGAAAAATACTTTGAGATTCATCCTTTTTAATGGTAAGTTAATAAATACAATGTAATTGAAGTGCTATTAAGGTCTTTCATGACTTAATCTATTTTTAGTCTTTTACCCTAGACTTCCAAATTTCTGAGAAGAATTACATAAAGATAAAAATGAGAGAATATAACCCAGATTCACCTGGTGTAATCATATACTCTTTTATGAACAAAAAATATTCAAAACGATACTAAAAGGAAAGTATGCCACATCTTTTATCTCCAGAAGAAAAAAAGTATAACTTGTTTTTTTCTCATTTTTCTCTTAGCAGCAAGAAAGCTTTTAGCCAATTCATTGCCCAAGTCATGTTTCAATCATTTGCTCAAAACAGCACGTGCTTTGGTGGCTTATATATAATCTCCGTTATGCCTGATTCTTAAATGTCATGCTGGGATTTTTTTTTAAATTTTTTTTCTTTATTGATTTTAGAGAGAGAGGAAGTGAGAGGGAGAGAGAGATAAAAACTTTGATGAGAGAGAGCACTGATTGGCCGCCTCCTGCATGCTCCCCATTGGGGATCGGGCCCACAACCTGGGCATGTGTCCAGACCGAGAATCAAACCATTGACCTCTTGGTTCATGGGTCGATGCTCAAACACTGAGCCACTGTTCTATGCTGTTTTAAGTCTTCTTGAAAGTCTTTGCGTGGCATCATAAGTAATAATGTATGTAATCAGAACCAGCTTTGTGGATGAGTACAGTTGCTAGAACCTCATGCTCATGGGTCCTGTGGTTAGGGTGTAATGCTCTGTGGTTGCTTTCTCAAAATTCTCAATACTATTATCTTTGTAACTGAAGTCCGCTAGGACAGTGGAGCATCTGGTGAAGGTGTGGAGACTCTGTTCATGCAGAGTCAGCCTCCCTGCCTCCCTGTCTTCCTAGGGTGGGTTTGTCCCCTACCACCTGATACCCCTGCCCTGCCTGTCCTCTCCATTCCCACACTGCTTTGCGGCCTCTGAGGCTCTCCACTCAGCTGTCCCATCCTGTCATCACCAGAGAGAGGCTCACTTTGCAGCTTGGTTCTCCACCCTGTTTGGGGCCCTGGGCAAGCATGGGGCAAGTCAGAGTTCAGTGTACTCGTGGAGTCCTGGTGCAGAGTGGGCAGCACCCATCTCTGCCTTGCCACCTCTGGCTGGCCGTGCCAAGGCATACTTAGAAAGCACTGGACAGAAGCCTTCATTCACATCCGATTCAGGAAGCACGCAGATTCTTGACTAGAGGTTGCCCTTTTTTCTGGGTTGCTTTTTCACTTGGGATGGCAATGAGTTGGTGGAAATGGGAAATGGATCTCTCTATCCCTAGCTGTAGTATTTTTATTTTTTAGAGAGCCTCATACATTACATATCTCACCCTGTACATGACAACTTTATACTCTAGAGTTTATTCATTCTTTTATTTATTCAATAAAAATTATTCTTTTTACACCTAGCGTTGTGTTAATTGAAAACTATTATAGTATTGAGTTGAGTAACACTGTGCAGAAAACACTCTCTCAGTCCAGCAAGCCTAATAAATTAAGAGACTTTGATAGCCATACATAAGAATATAGATTTTATATATTATACTAGAAATCTTGATTCTTTAGGAGGGCTTCCTTATGATCACTTAATGAGTGTTAAAAAAGGTTACCACATTAGAGTTTCCTACAGTATAATAGCATATTAACCTAGCCTTTTCAAAGTCTAAATGACAATTTCTGAACCACATATATAGAATCTGTAATTATCATACCTGATCATAATCAAGAATTGCTAGTACGTGGTTTAAATGTGCTTATGTTTGGTCATTAAAAATGAACATGATAACTAATTTCCCCTCCTTATATATTAAGTATGCCATATGCTTACTATTCGTCTTGATTACATATGTCACATTAACCATCTGCTTTTCTAATCCAATACTGATAGTCATCAGTTGCGGAGATCCAGGCACACCAGCCAATGGCCTGAGATATGGAGACGAGTATGTGGTTGGACAGAATGTCTCATACATGTGCCAGCCAGGCTATGCAATGGAATCGAATGGCTCCAGGATCAGAACTTGTACAACCAATGGCACATGGAGTGGAGCAATGCCAACCTGTAGAGGTATAATCATTTCTTATTTATTTATACATTATCACCAGCACATATCTTTCATACATTAAAAGTAAATTTAAACAGTGTTTTATATATTGTTATACTTTTTTGTGAAATTGAAAAAAAAATGACTCCTTCAGTCTTTATTTTTAAACAATAGAGATGATAATAATAGAATTTCAAAATATTTCAACAAAAATGTTTTATTTTATTGTGAGTAGTGACAATGAACTTTAATGCAACCAAAACAACAAAAATATCATGTGCTCTGATATATAAGCACCATCATTTATATTAACTGATCAATATTTAGTAGAGAATATAACCTTCATGATTTAGAACAGTGATTTTCAATCTTTTTCATCTTATGGCATACATAAACTGATTACTGCAATTCTATGGCACACCAAAAAGTATATTATAATTTTGGGCAATCTGATAAGAAAACAAGTATAATTTTGATTGATTTACAAAAAGAATAATAATAGTAATTACCTACTCTTTGTGCTCCAAAGTGACTTTTTAAAAAAGCATGTGCTAAGAAAAAAAAAAAAAAAAAAAAGCCCTGGCCAGTTTGGCTCAGTGGTTAGAGCATCGGCCTGCGGTCCGGAGAGACCCGGGTTCGGTTCCTGCTAAGGGCACGTACTTCGGTTGCAGTTTGTCCCCGGCCCTGGTTTGTCATGCGGGTGGCAGCCACTTGATGTGTCCCTTCACGTCGATGTTTCTCTCTCTCTCTCCCTCCCACTCTATCTGTACAAAAAATGGAAAAATATCCTCGGGTGAGGATAAAAAAATAAAATAAAAATAAAAATAAAAAAGCATGTGCTGCCCTGGCCAGTGTGGCTCAATAGTTAGATTCTATCAGAGGGTCACAGGTTTAATTTCCCATCAAGGGCACGTACCTGGGTTGCAGGTTCAATCCCTGGCCCTGGTCTGGGCACATTCAGGAGGCAACGGATGGATTTGTCTCTTTCACATCTATTTCTCTCTCTCTCTCTCTCTCTCTCTCTCTCTCTAAAAATCAATGGAAAAAGTATCCTGGAGTGAGGATTAACAAAAACAACAACAAAAGTGACAAAAAATCAAGTGCCTATACTTGTATTTAAGGATTTCTGGTACCAAGAATTGACAAATCAGATGCAACCTTATTATGTCATATGACTAATAAAATGCAACTCTATTATATAACCTATATAAGTATGGTTCAAGACAGGACATTCACACTGGATGGGTATTATTGTGCTGGCTGTTGTCATTTTTTTATTTGACAATCTAAGGGAAAAGAGATCAATGCCCCTGACTGAACATCAGGTATTGCACGTTTTAAAATTCCTGTGGTACGCTAGTTTAAAATCAGTTAGAACTTTAATTTCATGAATTTCATGATCTACTTTGGTCATGTAGTTCATAGATAGGAAGAAAAACTTTCAGTAGTTTGCGAACAGTCAACCTGAATTATAAAACTAATTTTCCTTAAAAAAAGGAGAAAGTATTTATTTCAAGAATGCAATCTAGAATTGATCTTTTAGTCAATATAGGCATAGATTTGCTACCATATGCTATTTATTTTTCCATTGGAAATATATTTTTCTGCCAGTTTTTTTAATTACTTGTGGAATAGTAGCTACAATGTCAGGTAATTTACACTGCATAATAATACTATTGATTTTTTAATTATTGAGATTTCTCATTCAAGTGTCTTGTTAAATGTCTATAAATCAACAGTTTAATATCTCTCTGACATTGTACCAAAAAACCAACAAAAAACAATAATTTTGATGTGTGTTTTTCCTATTGCTATCACAATTTCTGAAGCAGATCACTGAACATAGTACATGAATTATGCAGACATTTTGTATTTTAAAAATTATTTCATACACAATTAATTGATCCTGATAATGGCAATGTTATACAACTCCAAAAATTACTCAGCTATGTTGCTAGTCATAAAAATATAATCATTCCTCATTTTTAGATTTTATAAATGGTTCCCTTCTTTCCCCCTCATTTCTGTCACCGTATCCTCTGCTTGAGGACATCTTAAAACAATTTTAAAAATGAATGTTTAGAGACTTCCGGTCAAGATGGCGGGTAGGTAAACGCGGTATCGCGTCCTCCCACAACCACATCAAAGTTACAACTAAACTACAGAACAACCATCATTCAAAACTGCCTGAAATCCAGCTGAATGGAAGTCCTACAGCTACGGAATTACAGCAGCAGCCACACCGAGACTGGTAGGAGGGCGGAGGGGACGGGCTGGGCCCACACCCACGTGTGGGGATAAAATCAGGAGGACACCTCGGCTGGGAAGGTCCTCCCTGAGGACTGAGGGGTCCCCGTCCCACACCAGGCGCCCCGCTCAGGGTCCCAGTGACAGGAAGAGAATCCCCATCACTTCTGGCTGGAAAACCAGCGGGAACTGAGGCTCAGGGAGGCTGAGGGGCTGGAGCCCCAGGCAGCTCCTTAAAGGGCCCGCGCACGGACTTATCGGACTCTCTCCCTCTGAGCTCGGAGGGGAGGCAGCTCCAGGGGCGCCAGAGACACACAGGGAAGAACTGAGCTGTTTGGCACTGGAGCGAGGGCTGGAGAGGGGGCTTTCCCCCGGACAAACATGCTGTCAGAGGCCTTTGTTCCTTTGCTGAGCCCTTCCCTGGGGCGGCAGACAGAAGCCATATCTGGGACTCCAGCAACCTGGCTCAAACTGGTTGTCCCACCCTGGTGACTCCCTGAGGCCCCGCCCCACCCAACTTTCAGGCCCACCCAAGCTGTTGCCACTTGCTTAACCATGGGATTGGCCTGTCTTGGATCCTGCTTCAGGTTTTTTCTAAAGTCTTTCAAACAAGCAGCATCTGGTCTCAGCAAGCCCCATACCTCTCGTTAAGTAATACACAGAAACAAACACAGGGAGGCAGCCAAAATGAGGAGACAAAGAAATAGGTCCCAAATGAAAGAACAGAACAAAACCCCAAGAAAAGAACTAAGCAAAATGGAAATAAGCAACCTAACAGATGCTGAGTTCAAAATACTGCTTATAAGGATGCTCAATGAACTTAGTGAGAACCTCAGTGAACTTAGTTAGGGCCTCAAGAGCATAAAAAAGGACCAGTCAGAAATGATGAATGCACAGTCAGAAATGAAGGCGGCATTAACTGAAATAAAGAATAATTTACACAGATTCAATAGTAGAGTACGTAAATCCAAGAAGCAAACCATCGATTTGGAATATAAGGAAGCAAATAATGCCCAATCAGAACAGCAAAAAGAAAAAAGAATCCAAAAAAAATGAGGATAGTGTAAGGAGCCTCTGGGACAACTTCAAGCTTGCCAACATTCGCATCTTGGGGGTGCCGGAAGGAGAAGAGAGAGAACAAGAAATCGAAAACCTGTTTGAAACAATAATGGCAGAAAACTTTTCTAACTTGGTGAAGGAAACAGACATACAAGTCCAGGAAGCACAGAGAGTCCCAAACAAGATGAACCCCAAGAGGCCCACACCAAGACACATCATCATCAAAATGCAAAAGGTTCAAGACAAAGAGAGAATCTTAAAAGCAGCGAGAGAAAGGCAGCTAGTTACCTACAAGGCAGTTCCCATAAGGCTGTCATCTGATTTCTCAAAAGAAACTTTGCAGGCCAGAAGGGAGTGGCAAGAAATATTCAGAGTGATGAAAAGCAAGAACCTACAACCAAGATTACTCTATCCTGCAAAGCTGTCATTTAGAATCAATGGCCATATAAAGAGTTTCCCAGACAAGGAAAAGTTAAAGGAGTTCATCACCACCAAACCGTTATTATATGAAATGATGAAGGGTCTTTTTGAAGAAAAAGATAAAATATATGAACAAACAAAATGCAATGAATACATATCTATCGACAATGGAATCTACAAACAAAATGAACAGACAGAACAGAAACATTCTCATAGATACAGAGAACATTTTGTTGGTTGCCAGTTGGGAGGGGGGTTGGAGGAATGGGTGAAAAAGGTGAAGGGATTAAGAAGTACAAATTCATTGCTAGACTGACAAACCTCAAAGGGAAAGGGGTTGGGGGGTGGGAAGAAATAAACCAAAGAACTTATATGCATAACCAATGGACACAGACAATAGTATGGAAAAGGCGGGAGGGGGGCGGGAGTTGGGTGGAGGGGGTCAATGGGGGAAAATGAGGAACATCTGTAACATTCTACATTCAACAATAAAGATTTAAAAATAAAATAAAATTTAAAAAAATTAAAATGACAACAGCCAACCTCCCCCCCCCCCCCAAAAAAAATTAATGTTTAAAAATCTAATAATAGTCCAGCCACTGTGGCTCAGTGGTTGAGAATCGACCCATGCACCAAGAGGTCACCAGTTCAATTCCTGGTCAGTACACATGCCCAGGTTCTGGGCACAATCCCCAGTGGGGGGCATGCAGGAGGCAGCCAATGGATGTTCTCTCTCATCGATGTTTCTATCTCTCTCTCTCCTTCTCACTTCCTCTCTCTTTAAAATCAATAAAGGAAAAAATTTTTGAAAAATCTGATAATATATTGCCCTGGCCGGTTTGGCTCAGTGGTTGGAGCGTCGGCCTGCGGTACAGAGAGACCCAGGTTCGGTTCCCGCTAAGGGCATGTACCTCGGTTGCAGTTTGTCCCCGGCTCTGGTTGGTTGTGCGGGTGGCAGCCACTGGATGTGTCCCTTTCACGTCGATGTTTCTGTCTCTCTCTCCTTCCTCTCTCTCCCTCCCACTCTATCTGAACAAAGGATGGAAGAATGTCCTCGGGTAAGGATTAAACAAACAAAAAAAATAAATCTGATAATATATCTAAAAATTCTACAGTAGTCTTTACCATATGAATGTACATGTTTACTAGAAAAAATATGGATATTTTTAATGAGATGTATGATTTATATTCTCAAAAGTATCACAGAATCACTACCGAATTGCTTGCTACAATGCCGACATACTATATACAGCCAAACATCCCAGCTCTTCAGTCTGCCTAAAGGTCATTGAAAAATAATATAAAACCAAAAATTTATCAGTTACAATACCAGATAGAACATCACCCTCTATTTCCTTCCCTCAGATTTCAGGCAGCCTGTTATTTTGTGAGAGAATCTCTGACAACTAGTCACCATTATATTGCCAAGGAATAGTCGTATTCTCAAGGAATTGATTCTGGGGATGTTTCAGGCATACTACCAGGAGAATAAAACATGTCACACCATATTGTCCTCCAAAAGGTTAAATGAGCACATATGCTTCTCCTACTGACATCTATTTTTTGCACCTGGGCTATTTCAACAGCTGTGTCTAATTGCTTTTAATGTAATTGCAGCTGTTACCTGCCCAACTCCCCCTCAGATCTCTAATGGAAGGTTGGAAGGAACAAATTTCGACTGGGGCTTTAGTATCAGCTACACCTGTTCTCCGGGCTATGAACTCTCCTTCCCTGCTGTTCTGACCTGTGTGGGGAATGGTACCTGGAGTGGGGAAGTACCACAGTGCTTACGTAAGTACGATGTCCATACTTCAACTTACATTGTCCTATCTTCACCCTCTTAGAGCTACTCTATTGAGATTACAACATTTTCAAATTTTGCCAGAATAAATATGCGATTGTTAAGCTTTTTCCAATGTGTAAAGTTTAATGAAAAATAATCAGTCTTTTCCAAGGTAGCTACATTTCTTGTAATCCAACCATTATGTTCCTTCTGCTTGAACTCTGAAATTGCTTTGCAAACTTTTCTTAATTTTAAAAATTATTCCTCAAAATAGCAATTCTCAGAGATTAATCTGCCAGAAAATTATTCTTAAATCTAGCATATCTCAACTGAATGCTGTTTAACTCCAAATCTCTTTCTGAAATAAATTTGTGTCACTTCTACATGTTTATTCAAATCGAGCTCTTATGGTTGTATTTGCCATGATAACAATTGTGATTATACATCTAAAATTACTAAAGTAAGTGTGAAGATTAGAGATTATTATTTTTTTTACAGAGGTTGCTCTACACTACATATCCCTGCAAATATCACTTCAGGATTAATTTGGGACATTACGAAACAAAACAAAAGTCAGATTTCTGTTTTACATAAGTTATTGTGGCACATGATGTGGGCAGAGCTCAGTCAGGACCCGAGCCATCCAGCTCCTCGTCTTCTCCTTCCCAGCGCGGGGTAGAAAGAGGAGCTCTCTACTGGTCCCCAGCCCTTGATCTCGTCATATCCTACTATTCTCCTCCTCCTCCACACTACTCCAGGCTCACAATCTTCCTTACTTATTTTTTTTTAATTGTCTGTCAGTATTCAGATGTCCTTCATTTTCTCTCTTTTCCTCCTACTCCGCCCAATCCCTGCCCCACCCAGGCCTCCCCCACCCAGGTCTGAGTCCATGGGTTGTGCATATATGCATATGTGATCTTTAGTTAATCTCTTCCCATCCTGTCCACCGCCCTCCCCACTGACATCTGTCAGTCTGTCCCATGCATCCATGCCTCTGGACCTATTTTGTGGGTCAGTTTATTTTGTTCATTAGATTCCACATATAAGTGAGGTTGTGTGCAAGACAAATACCAGAGGCTTCCTTAATTTTCCTTCATCACTCAGCCTTACTTTGGCATCAGGATTTTGTATTCACTATTTACTTTGCCTGGAAATTTCCTTTTAACCATTTGGCTTTTGACTCAGAGGTCCTGCTTCTTAGTATTGTCTTCTCACATCACCATAATTAAATTTTATATGTTGACATGCAACACTGCCCCTTTAGACCTTTCTTTTCTCTGTACTAGTATTCTGACATCCCTTCTTTTTTCTCCTATAACATACTATACGTCCAACTAATCTTGTTTATGTGAACGATACCCTCCACTCAGGTTATGCTCCTTGAAGGCCGAGATTTTGTTTTTGTTCACTGCTGTGTCTCTGGTATGTAGTGCAGTCCTGGGCACATATCAAAACGTAGGATGCTCTAGCAGTTAAGACAGCGTGGTATCGGTGCAGGAATACAAAGTAAAGCAATGTTATGGGGTCAAGACCACAGATTCGTTGGTCAATACTTGATGCATTATAGAGCAAAGCAGTGGGAGAAACAATGAGCATTGCAATGAATGAAACAAGGCAGTTAGTTTACACACACACACACACACACACACACACACACGATCTCTGTCTCACAGCAAATAACATATTAATGCCAGATTCATTCAGGACTTAAATCTAAAAGTTTTAAAAATTGAGAGACCATCTAGATGACCTTGGCGTAAGAAAGGATTTCTTACACAAGATGCAAAAGCTCTACCCATAAATAAAAGGTTTAAAAAATCAGGTACATTAAATTTTTTTAATTTCTCATTATGAAAAGACCAATGGGAAACTTGGATAGTATAATATGCATAAAAAATAATAATGTATAGAATATATAAAGATTCCCTTAAAAAAAAACAAAAAACAAAACAAAGCTGGGCAAAAGGCATGAACAGCTGTTCACTAACCACAGGACTGACGCACAAAGTTGGATGATACCAGGTGTTGGTGAGTGAGTGGAGCAATGCGAACTCTTATACTCATGGTGGGTGTTTCCATTGACACAACCTTCTGCAAACTTCACTGCGAATATATAGTAAAGTTAAAGATGTGCAGAGTCAGTGGCCCAGAAATCGTATTTCCAGGTATATGCTCTACCAAAACGTTTGTACATGTTGTACATGTACACAAACAGACACATACAAGATTATAAATATCAGCATTTTTTTTTTTTTTTTTTGCTTGTAAAGCTAAACAAGTCAGTGCTTAAGCATGTATGTGGGTGTGGTAATATGATAAACAAATGAGAAACCTAGAATTCAGGATGCTACGAGGACTGCTATCCTGGGCCCGAGAAAGGAGACGCTCTCTGGGTAGGCCTCGCAAGAAGTTTCAACAGTACGGGCACTTTTCAATTTCTTAAGTTGCATGTGGGTCATGCATATTCATTTTATAATTTTTATCAACTTCATGCCATCCATTGTTTTATTTTTTTTGAGTGAATTACATAGTTTAATACAAGATAAATATATTTAATATAAAAAATTATAGAATTATGATAACTAAAGACCAATTATTAGGTATACTGTGTCACAGTTCATTTGAAGAGAGTTCTATTAAGTGATTGAAGATACTGTGTCTACACAGCACAATTTTGCTGGCCCATCAGACCATTTATATTTAGATTTGCTCCAGAGAGATATTACTAACCAGTTATATTGAGCATGAGAGAGAAAAATAATTTAGTTTATAGTTGCAATTTATGCAACATCCAAAGCAACTCCTTCCGGGTAATGTGATTTATTAGAATAACTTTGTTCCAATGTTTTAAGGTTGATGTCACACAAATTGGCCCTTAAAATTGGGATCCACGCTAAAGATCGTCTTAGAAAAGACTAGTGTGTTCTAAATAACATGAGAGGCTGTGTGACTGCTTCAGCAGAGATGGGGACAAAGAGTCATCACCAAATGGGTAGATGGTAAAGTTTGACGTGAACGAAAAAGATCTCAATAGGAGGTTTCTTAGGTGAGAAATGGAGGTTGTAATATTTTCTTCTGACGTCTCAGCAGACCAATTTGGGCATCCACCTTGGACTGGGAGCTCTCTACCTTGGGGACCACTCCCTGATGAATGGCTCGAGTCAGACAGTGTGGGGGAACCCCAACACCTCCACTGATCAGTTCTGAAGCACAGGAATTATGATAACCTCTCTGGGCTTCACTCTTTCATCACAACATGGTTTCCCTCACAGCTGCAGGAGACCTCTGCCTGATGCATCTGTGCGGTGTGGGATGCGGCGCATCCTGATTTTGGCTCCTGCAATCCGAGAGCTCAGTGTTGGGCTAGAAACCCGGTCTGATGGGCTCTGGGAAGTTCCAGGAAGGCCAAAGGATGACAGGAATATTTTTTTCGTTTGTTTGTCTTATGTTTCTTTTCATTAAAAAGACATATATTTGCTCAGTCCTTCCTATGTACCCATGACTGGCTCATAGGAAGCACTCAGTAAATACCAGCTGCTACATTATGGACAGAGGGGAGGATTGTAACATCCCACTAGCAACGGTCTCCTGAGTGTGTTCCGTGGGTGCCCCCTGTGCTTGGCGTTGCATCACCTAAGCATTAGTTCCTGCAAGGGTGAGAAAATAGACAGTATTCTGCTCAATAAAATACCCATCTTACAATTTTTTTTTTAAGTTTCTTGAAATAATGTTTTATATTTTGACCTATTGAAATGCAAATAATAATAAAATTATCGACATTAACATTTAAATTATAATAGCTATCCAAATATAATAGGGCTAACTTTGTCCCAATTATCTTACATATAATATTTTTACTGCACATAACAAGAAGTCTGGGTAAGGATGTGTAGTCATGATACTTTAATAGAAAATGACATGGGCTCAGAGATCAAATTGTAAGGACACTGTCATTATTTAGGGCACCAACTACATTGTTCTGTGGCCTAAGGTCACACAGAGTATAAATTCTGGTTCACAGAAGGTAGACTGAACAGACAATTCTCTTGTCCATTGAATAGCCAAATTCATTTATTTTAGGGATTGTATCAAGAGGAAAGTCTTTTCTCTTTAAATCTGTTCAAAGCATGTCTTTTTGAGTTAAAATTTTTGTCACTGTGATCTGACAATAATAAACCCTGTCTTAAGCCTCTAAACCTGGCACCATTAGGTTGTTTGGTTTATTGCATGAAAATCTGCAAATAGAAACAGACGGAATGCTGGGAATGGGGAAGGATTTGGGGAGTTTAAGTGGCTGTATTTCCAGCCTTTCTTTTTGGTTGAGTTGAGATTTCAAGATGAGTGACTCACAGAAATACAGAATAGAAACTCTCCAGAAATTAGTTATAAAATAAGTTAGCAATAGAAACAATTGCTAAAGCTACAAGTGCTCATTGATAATGATCACTGAGGAAATAACCATTATATTCAAAATGTGCTGGAGATATAAGTAGTAAGGCTAGGACCCTGGCCTAGGAGCCTAGGGTTTAATGTTATATTGCTAGAAGTGTTTACATGCCAAGTAGCACTAAGATTAACAATATATTAGAAATGGTGAAAATTAAAACAAAACACACACAAAAAATAACGTTTATTTTACCTGTGTTACTTTACTCTCAATATTCCCCTTTACTTACTTGGTTTTGTTTTATATATATATTTTTATGATCACTTTTCATTTTAACAGTTTAAAAAGAAAAAAAGTTTCTAAAAAGAGGTTTGAAAATTTAAGGTTCTCGTAGTGTCTTGAATTTCAGGGAAGGTCTTTTTTTCAACATTGAGGTCAAGACTGGGGTGGTCTTTAATTAGGGTATTCATACATTCCAGTCCATCCTCAGCATCGCGAGTGTATTCCTGGTGTCCTGGTGGTTCCGATCCTGTTAGAAGCCTCCTTTCACTCTCAAAAGGGTGTTGGTTTGGACATGCATTTTATGGTCACTCAAACTATAGTCATCGTCAGGCAGAATTTATAACGTTCGGTTGTTGCTGTCTGTTTGCCTTGTAGGGGAATACGTTTTTAGGTGCTGAATCTACAAATTAAAAAGTTGAGGACACTTAAAAAATAGTTAAAATGCTTAATTATTATGTTATGTGTTTTTTACTGCAATAAAATAAACTGGGCGCATAGTATATCAGAACCTTTGCCTCGGTTTCTACTAGATTGGAAACCAGCTGATTTAACCCCTTTACAACCTGCATGATCGCTCTGCTCCAGCCTCCCGAGCCCTGTCCTCCTGCACAGGCCAGCATGCCCCGGAGAGCGCTGTGACCCTGTCCTCCTGCACAGGCCAGCATGCCCCGGAGAGCGCTGTCGCCCTGTCCTCCTGCACAGGCCAGCATGCCCCGGAGAGCGCTGTGGCCCTGTCCTCCTGCACAGGCCAGCATGCCCCGGAGAGCGCTGTGACCCTGTCCTCCTGCACAGGCCAGCATGCCCCGGAGAGCGCTGTGGCCCTGTCCTCCTGCACAGGCCAGCATGCCCCGGAGAGCGCTGTGGCCCTGTCCTCCTGCACAGGCCAGCATGCCCCGGAGAGCGCTGTGACCCTGTCCTCCTGCACAGGCCAGCATGCCCCGGAGAGCGCTGTGGCCCTGTCCTCCTGCACAGGCCAGCATGCCCCGGAGAGCGCTGTGGCCCTGTCCTCCTGCACAGGCCAGCATGCCCCGGAGAGCGCTGTCGCCCTGTCCTCCTGCACAGGCCAGCATGCCCCGGAGAGCGCTGTGGCCCTGTCCTCCTGCACAGGCCAGCATGCCCCGGAGAGCGCTGTGACCCTGTCCTCCTGCACAGGCCAGCATGCCCCGGAGAGCGCTGTGGCCCTGTCCTCCTGCACAGGCTAGCATGCCCCGGAGAGCGCTGTCGCCCTGTCCTCCTGCACAGGCCAGGATGCCCCGGAGAGCGCTGTGGCCCTGTCCTCCTGCACAGGCCAGGATGCCCCGGAGAGCGCTGTCGCCCTGTCCTCCTGCACAGGCCAGCATGCCCCGGAGAGCGCTGTGGCCCTGTCCTCCTGCACAGGCCAGCATGCCCCGGACAGCGCTGTGGCCCTGTCCTCCTGCACAGGCCAGCATGCCCCGGAGAGCGCTGTCGCCCTGTCCTCCTGCACAGGCCAGCATGCCCCGGACAGCGCTGTGGCCCTGTCCTCCTGCACAGGCCAGCATGCCCCGGAGAGCGCTGTGGCCCTGTCCTCCTGCACAGGCCAGCATGCCCCGGAGAGCGCTGTGACCCTGTTGTCCTGCACAGGCCAGCATGCCCCGGAGAGCGCTGTGGCCCTGTCCTCCTGCACAGGCCAGCATGCCCCGGAGAGCGCTGTGACCCTGTTGTCCTGCACAGGCCAGCATGCCCCGGAGAGCGCTGTGGCAGTGCTGTGTCCTCCCTCTGGAGCGCTCGACTCGGGGTGTCAGCTAAATGAGTCGTTCCTCCAAGTTTTTTCTTGGTGCACACAGTCTCACCACCTGATTTAAAATTCCCTCCCAGGCGTGTCAAACATTAGTACAGCCCCCTTGTAATGCAGAAGAGGAAGCTGCTAATATCAGCTTGGGATCTCGTGTCACGTCCAGATTCTCTAGCACTGCCCTAGTGCTCTCTCCATGGTCGCCTTTCCAAATGTTCTTTTATCAGGAGAGGCACTTGGACCTGGCAGATTGCTGTAGGAGGCAGTTGAACAGATACCTAGGTTAGGAGAGGGAACTTCCAAATTCCACTGAAAATATCCTTCAAAGGTTTTTCTTCCTTACTGATGACCTTTTTATTTAGCAAGAAACTACTGACTTGACTTTTCTTTCATCATTGTGAAACCATATAGTTCTAGCAATTCCTCTTTGCTTAACATTATTTTCTTTTCGTGTTTCAAAACTTGAGCAATACATAAATTAAAAATAAGCAATTAAAAGTGCCGTGCTCTGAAAACAATTTCTAGTTTATATACTTTAAAGTGTCATTCATAAAATTCACCTCATTGTATTTGAATGCCAGTATTATTCTCATTAGGATAGGAAGGTTTTACAGAATAATCTCCAAAAGAACAGTCCTCACAAGGAGTTGTCAGTGATAAATAAAGTGTTTTAGTTTAAATGTATGAGGTAGAATTAGTAAAACGCTAAAGAAAAAGCCAATCTGGTTTTGTACTCTCATTTTGTTTTTCTTTTATGTGTCTATAAACTTAAAGCTACTGATGGAAATATTAATAATGACAAGTTGTAACTTTAGAAACTGTTTACCTCTGCCCAAATACTGTATTCTAAAGTTGTAGCAAAATTCCAATATATAGGCATGTACCATGTGAAAATTATAAATGATGAAAACAAACAAACAAAATTCCCTCCCACCCCTTACCCTGTATCTCATCCACACATCCACAATGCTTGTCTCCGTCCCTACACTATTTGTCCTCTTAAGACGTATCACTTTCACAAATACTACCTTTTGCTTATTAAATATGCTTATCAGTTGCTTTTCTGACAAATACATTTAACCCACAAGGGCAGGAATCTTTGTTTGTACATTGGTAAGTCCAAGGGCCTAACACTACCTAAAAACTGTCTGTCTTTGGGTAGTTAAAAAAAAAATATATATATATATATATATATATATATATATATATATATATATATTAGATGGAGTCATCTAATCAATTTGTTTAGAAATCCTGTAAAGTTAATCCCTTTGGAGTTTGTTGTAAACCATTGAAATTCCTTAGTTTTTTATAGTTTTAGACTCTGATGGTCTTCTTTTCTCTTAAAAAAATACCACTCAAACCTCCCCGCAATGTTTGGCGAGGAAGGCAGTGTGCTCTGTCTGTTCAGCAGGGGTCGGCAAAACACATAACCATATGTTTTACACGCACAGCCACCTGAAGGGTACAACCTAGATGTGATGGGTTGGCCCTTTCTGACAAAGCTGCCTGTAAATCACACGCCCTTTCAGGGTTACCTTTGAACTTTGCAGCCTATATGTACAAATGCTATGTGGCTTCATTCCGGTCAATATATATATTTTTAAAAACCTGCAATTATTAGTACTACTAGGTGGAAAATATCTGAATCAGACTAATGTTTAAAATATTATACTGAGTTAAACATTCAGTATTCATGTGGACTAGAGGTGGGGGACCTTTTTTCTGCCAAGGGTCATTTGGATATTTATAACATCATTCTCAGGTCATACAAACGATCAACTTAAAAATTAGCCTGCTGTATTTGATCAAACATTTAATTAATTCCCCCCTAATGGCATGGCTGGAGCTGCTTCTCTTCGGTGAGGCATGTGCTGTTAGCTGGTATTGATTTATGGGCCTCGTACAGCCCGTGGGCTGGATGTTCCCCACCTCTGACGTAGACAAAAACAAAAAAAAAATATATTGAAATACATTAACATGGATAGCATGACACTTTATTGTCACCAGTTAGTTGTCACCATTTTTCTAAATTGTTTACTCTGATGAATCCTAAATCGTTGTTATCATTGTCCCTTTTCTTCTGCTTCCAGCAAAGTTTTGTGGGGACCCTGGTGTACCTGCCCAAGGAAAACGAGAAGGCAAAAGCTTTATCTACCAGTCAGAGGTTTCATTCAGCTGCAATTCTCCTTTCATCTTAGTGGGATCGAGCACCAGAATATGCCAAGCGGATGGCACCTGGAGTGGTTCCTCACCTCACTGCATAGGTAATGCCCTGGGAGGCCAATCCCTCGCAGGAATTCTGCGTATACTAGCTAGTGGGGACATGTAATGGTTTTCCTTATCCTATAAATGATACTTGATCAAATATGAAAAATAAATGGAAAATTAGAAGACACTAAAAATGAATATTGGTAAGACATATATTATTTTTAACACAGAAAACTTCCAGATGAAACACTTGAAACAAATTTTTATTTATCAATAAAATGAAAAAGAAAGTGGCTTTTATATTTATAGCATTACTAAGTACTAACGTTAGGCCCGGCCAGCGTGGCTCAGTGGATTGCGCATTGTCCCATGCACTGAGAGTTCCTCCCAGTTCATTTCCCAATCAGGGCACATGCCTGGGTTGTGGGCTCGATCCCCAGTACGGTGCGTGCCGGAGAAAGCCAATCGATGTTTCTCTCTCACATCCATGTTTCTCTTTCTCTTCCTCCTCTCTCTCTAAAAAAAAAAAAAAAAAAAAAAAATCAATAAAACATATTTTTTAGAAAGTACTAACATTAGCCCTGGCAAGTTTGGCTCAGTGGTTAGAGCGTCGGCCTGCGGTCCAGAGAGACCCGGGTTCGGTTCCCGCTAAGGGCATATACCTCGGTTGCAGTTTGTCCCTGGCCCTGGTTGGGTCGTGCGGGTGGCAGCCACTCAATGTGTCCCTTTCACGTCGATGTTTCTCTCTCTCTCTCTTCCTCTCTCTGCTTCCCACTCTATCTGAACAAAAAATGGAAAAATGTCCTTAGGTGAAGATAAATAAATAAATAAATAAATAAATAAATAGAAAAAGTAGTAATATTAGTACAGATCTTTAACATTAATAAGACATATTCAAATAAAATTAAACTTGCTTTGAAAATATACAAAAGATACAATGGTTTTAAAATGGTTCTAACTTCATTTATTTTTTAAAATATTTTTAAAGTTGATTTTTAGAGAGAGAGAAAGAAAGAGGGAGAGAGAGAAACACCAATATGAGAATAAAACATCAGTTGGTTACCTCCTGCTTGCCCCCTACTGGAGATTGAGCCCACAACCCAGACATGTGCCCTGATCAGGAATCAAACTGGCAACCTTTTGGTGCATGGAATGATGCCCAAGCAGCTGAGCCACACCGGCCAGGGCACTTCATTTCTTTCTTTTAAACATTTTATTTCTAATTACTTTTGACCTACAATATTATATTAGCTTCAGGTGTATAACAGTGATTAGACATTTATATACTACATGAAGAAATCACTCAAAATAATCTAGTCCCGTCCATTACCATACATAATTATTACATTATGATTGACTCTATTCTGCATCCTTACATCACATCCCTGTGACTAATTCTATAACTGGCAGTTTGTCAAAGTACATTTCTATAATCCTAAAACTAAATGCCACATTTGGTAAATAACCAGATAACCTGTCATGCAAACTAGCCAACTTAAAGATCGGGCCCTACCATTCTTCTGTCTGAATCTCCTACAAATACCAGTGAAAAATCTAAATAGTTACATCCCGTGTCAGGAAGAAACTCTTACTTCCTGAGGGGAATATTACTCTACCTGAGCTTATAATTTAGCAAATACTTATGCATGTGTTCCTCTTTTATAGCCTTCATTTTCTTTAAGTTGTTATCCACAGAGTTAGTTGCATGTCAAGTGCTTTTATATTCTAAGGGTTCAGAGTTCAAGAATTGCATAATTTATATACAGTGCAGTTGATCTGAATTTCTTGCTTTAGGATTAGTAGGCTTCTGTCCATGGGAGATGCTATTAGATTTACAATCTTTGTTATTACCCTGGGCCATTTCATTAAAGCTGATGTCACTTAACATTGTTTTGTGTGAGATAAATAGCCATGTAGATATAATTGTAAATTTTGAAGAAATGCTGTGTTTTTAATCTTTGTTTTAGAGCCCACTCGTACCTCATGTGAAAACCCAGGGGTGCCACGGCATGGATCTCAGAACAATACATTTGGATTTCAAGTAAGTGCTTTAAATAAGATTTCCATTTGATAGGAAACTATATCATAAGGTTTCTTTGGTTCACATGCAAATAGTCCTGTTGACGCAAACAGAAAAAAATTACGTATGCTTATGTTTGCATATATAAACATATTTTTAAAAAGTAACAGGCTACACAAGAGTGGAAATGAAAGGAAATTAGGAGAAGAAAAATACGCTTCAAGAATAGTAGCCTTATTGGCCATAAGGATGGAAGAAAAGAAAAAAGTTGGAGGTAGCTACAAGCGTAGGAAAATACATAAGCAGTGGGTAGTACACACAGAGGTAAGTAAAAGTGGGTGAGGGGGTGAATGAGTCACCTCCACAGGAAGATGTGGGGACAGTGAGGAAAAGTACAGAGAAGGAGGTGAAGGAGAGACAACGGAGACAGAGTTCGCTATTATATAAAGTGTGGTTATTTAATATGGCGATAATACTAAAATATCTTTTTATAATGCGTATATAATACTAACAATTTTTTACACATTGTCATTGAGGTGGGAAGTATCTGGAAAAATAACTTAACCATAACCTATTGTTACACAACACATAGTTGGATTGTTATATTACAATTCTTCAGCATGCCCAGTCGTGTGTGGCTGACTTTCTTGTTCTCTCTTTTTCCAATTTAGATTTTATGTAGAGATTCAGCAAGTTTTTCATTACAGGGCCTAAGGGGAGCCAAAGTGCATACTGATTCCAAAAAGGAAATCATCAATTTACACATTACCCAAATGCCTTGTTTTGCAGGGTTTTCTAAATTGTGCTATTGTATGTGAAATTTAGTGTGAACCTGAAGAACATCTATTTCTAAAGAAAGTATTCATCAAAGGTGCCATATTTTTGTTGCTAAAAATAGTTTTCATTTATCTACAGTTCAGGCTCAGTATGAACATTGATTTGATAGCATTTTCAATTCTTCCCGTTTGCTTCAGGCCTATCTAGAGAATACAAAAGTGTAAAAAAAAAAATCTCAGTCTCCCTATTATATTAATGTTTTTAGAAAACTTGGGATTTGTACATACATAAAAGATTTTATCAGTTGATCTAAATCCTGAGAAATGGACAAGTAACTAAACAGCATTAGTCCTCATCATATGGACAAAGAAACGAAAACAGAATATGACTTGGCTTTGCTCACAGAACAAGTCAGTGACAATGTCCTGACAGAATACAGAATTGTGATGTTAGTGTCTATGCACTCAATCAGGTGATTTTTCCAAAAAATATGAGTGCTTTCTAGTAAATACCCTTTGAGAAAATGGAAGTAGAAATGAGTAAATTTGAGTTTGGAATAGTCATCCAATGAAATGAATAGTATTATTAACTCTGTGTTTTAAGAATTCTAGTATAGCCCTGGCCAGTTTGGCTCAGTGTTTAGAGTATCGGCTTATGGATTGAAGGGTCCTGGGTTCAATTTCTGGTTAAGGGCACGTACCTGGGTTGCAGGTTTGATCCCCAGCTCTAGTTGTGGGGTAGGCAACCAACTGATGTGTCTTTCTCACATCAATGTTTCTGTCTCTCTCTCCCCCTCCCTCCCTTCCACTCTATCTAAAAATCAATGGGAAAATATCCTTGGGTGAGGATTAACTATACAAAACAGAGAGAATTGTACTGTAATCATTAAAAGTGTTGTTACAAAATTAACCTAATCCCAAATTCATATTATTTGGCTAATAAAAATACTTTTGATTATTATATTCTATCTAGGTAAATATGAGTAGACTAGATTTCAAGTATGGTAAGATGTATATATAATTACATTAATCTCTATTATAATTGCAAATGGTAGATCATGTTAAATTGAAGACATCGACTTATGTACGTGCATATGGCAGTTATGTGTAATGACTGTGTATATATACACTAATTACATTTACCATATATGTACTAATTATATTTACTAAATCTGTATATAGCCAACAGAAGTTTAAAAATTCTGGTTCTAACTAATATCAATAAATTGGTAGATTCCAAATCAATATGGTCTTATATAACTGGAAAATCCTTCTTTATCGATTGAGAAAACTCTTGCAAGTAACAGAAGCTGTTTCAAGCTAACTTAAGCCTAAAGGCATTACAAGCCATGTTGCAGGTATGTCTGAGACCACAGAGAAGGACTCAGGTGAGAGTCGTCAGGCCCAGAATTTGGGAACTGGGGGCAGTACTGTCCTGATCACTGTTCTGTGTTTACTTCGTTTTCCCTCTTTGCAGGTTGGCCATCTGGCCAGGGGTGCATCGTTTCCATTTGCATCTCAGCCACATTCAGAAAGTGATTAATGGCCTCAGTCTCAGTTCCAAATTTCCAGAGAGAGAATCAGAATGTTCCAGCATTTGTATCGACCCCTGGTTATCAGGTGGCCAGTAGTGAGTTAAGTAAGAACAGCTGTAGGAACCCCGCTTCTGGGAGAGACAAGAGAAAGGAACAGCTGTGAATTCCAGATGCATTCTAACCATTGTCTTAATTTTCTCTTTAATGTGACCTCTTCTATATATATTTAACTAGTAGATTTTTGGGGGACATAGATATGATTATTAACATAAAAAATATGTCACTTCTTGATAGAAATGATGAAAACTCTAGTATTGAAAAATAATACTCAGCATAATTTATCTTTTTCTCTATAATGTTGAAAATTGAAACAATTTTTGCTGGAATAGATTACCAGTGAAAGGAGTAGCTGTCAAAATGATTGATACAACATCTAGATTAATTATGGGATTAATGCCAAACACATATTTCATTAACTGCTGTATCACGCTTTAAATTGAGCTCTGAGCTTTGGAAGAGACATCATTTAGATTTAGGACTTGTTACATAAAGCTATTATAGACATGGAATGTTTTAAATCTGACTCTTCAATGTTTAACCCCAAGAAATTTAATGCTAAGATAGTTAACTCTACCCAAATAACCATGGTGATTATGTGTAGTTTCTAATTTAAAATAAAAATTAGTACATCAGTACATTAAATAAGGTAAACATGTTACTTAGTGTTTATCTTTAAATGATGAATACAACATGAATTTTAAAACAAAACACCTATATATTTTATGTTTTAAATTAAAATCTTCTGATTATTTTTTTATACTAACTCACAATATTCCTTAAAATTCTTTTTTTTTTTTTTAAAACCAGGAGGCTCAGGGTGAAAATTTGCTCAGTGAAAACCTCCTTTGCATTTCATCTTAAACAAATGTATTATTTTTTATTTTATTGTTCTGCCTTCCTACTTCAATTTCATTAACCTTAATTTATATATGCCTTTTATTAGAAGTCATTTCAATTTTGGAGGGTAAAATGAGTAATATAAACATAATAAAAATACAAAAAGAAAAGTTATTTAAAATATATTACAGAGAGCATATAAATTTTTAAAACCTTAACTGTAAATAGATTTTGGAAGTCTTGAGGACCTATACTGCATACTCCAGGTAAACAAAACGTGATGTTAAGAATCAGACACAAATGAATACAGTGATGAAAGTTCTAGCAAAGTGAGAGTGATTTACTTGGAAATATATAAAGGGGAAGATAGATGTTATTTAGAACGTTTTAAATGTGTGTAAAATTTCAATTAATTCTGTTTTTAATTCTCTAAACTTCATGACTTAGAAACTGGGATATAACATTTAACAGAAGGAACAATGAGTTAAAAAAGATGTCATATGTACTAATTAGGCATGTCATAAAATTGTATAATGCATTTACACATAGAATGTTAATTTGGGCCAATTTAAAGTAATTTCTGCTTAAATATTGATGCAATTAAAACAATATGGATGATTTGTTTTTCATTCTCACCCAAGGACATTTTTCCATTTATCTTTAGACAGATTAGGAGGGAGGAGCAGAGAGGGGGAGAGAGAGAGAGAGAAACATCAATGTGAGAGACGCACAGACTGGTTGCCTCCCGTGCGACCCCGACCAGGGCCGAGGATGAACTGTAACCGAGGTATGTGCTCTTGGTCGGAATCGAGCCCACGTCTCATTGGTCCGTGGGCCGACGCTCTAACCGCCGAGCCAAACCAGCCAAGGCAATATGGATGATTTTTAACTTCTGATATAAAAACAATTTTCAATATTAATTTTCACATTGTATGTAATTGCTTATACAAACAGAACTCTTTATTAGTAAATATTGGTGGGAAATTTTACATAAATTATTTTTCCTTGAATATTTTGAATTGGATAATACAAATTTTTGTAATGTTGTTACTTATTTTTCTACAAGTAATCAAATTATATTATGCATATTAGAAGTTATTTAGAGTCAGAGGATCTTTTGTGGCAAGTCAGAAAAGGATGGAGAGCTATGTAAAGTATATTACTAGATGGATTTATCACAGAAAAAATTGTTAATGCACTCATATTTGAAGAATATTTTGGTGATTGCTTTTAATACAAATTATGAATAAAAATTAATCAATTACTAAATTTGTATAGCTATTAGGTGTCTTGTGAGTATTTGTGAATTTGATAAAAGCTTGTTACTAAATTATTAGTGAAATATTGAAAATATTTAAATAGATTATAGTTCTATGGTATTTGGTTAATATCTAAATCAGTGTTTATGGTGACCAGAAAAATACACAGGAATGAGGAAAATAAATCTTAAATGTTAAAAAAAAAAGGAAGTCTATGTCTTCTGTTTTTTATATCTTACTAATATAAAAATTTAGATGAAATTAGACAACTGTACCCTTCACTGCACTTTAAGAAACTGGTAGACGTGTTAAATCTTGTTAAGTAATCAAATAATTTTATATTAAATTTTTAGTCCAAATTGCTTTAATTGATTAAACATTTTTTTTCTTTCTTTCTTTTTTTTAAATCAACATCTGAGGATATTTTTTTCGCTAATTTTTTATTGTTGGGGGCGGCTAGAGTGGGAAGGAGGGAGGGAGAGAGAGAGAGAAACATCGATGTGCACATCGATCGGTTGCCTCCTGCATGACACCGATTGGGGCCGGGGATCAAACCCGCAACTGAGGTACGTGCCCTTGACCTCTTTTGTCCTCAGGCCAATACTCCAACCACTGAGCCAAACAGGCTAAGGATGATTCAACATATTCAAAACACTTTCCTAAGCTTTTGTTTCATAGGATTAAGTAATACCCAGTCCCTGACCTAGAGAAGTTAACATTTTGGAATCTGGGTCAGAGGGAATAGAGGATTTCATAGGATAGGCAATCACACTGATAACATTGAAAGGTGCTAAGGAAGCACATAGAACAAACAGTTTTCTAATTTGTTGCTACAGGGAAGTCTTTCCAGAAATGTTATCTGGGCTAAATCATTTAGGGTAAGACTAAGAAAAGAAAGTTGGGAAAAGCATTGATTACAGGAAGAATAATGTGAAACTACGTATGCATTCAGGAAACTACAGAACTTCAATATTATATTGTCACCATTTTACTGAAAGTAAGTGGTTAATGATGATGCTAAAGATATGATCAGTGGTCAGATTATGGAAGCTATTATCTGCTAAGGTAACAGAAACTAGCTTGATCCTATGGGTGATAAGCCAATGAAGATTTTAAGGATAATGACAAGGTCAAATTTTCATGTTAAACACATCACTGAGTTTGGTGTGGAAAATACATTTAATGGAGTCAAGACTGGAGAAATGGAGACAAGTTAGACGATTATGGTAATTTTCTATGACAGTCTTTCTCAAAGTGTAGTCCATGACCAAGCAGTATTATCTGGAAACTGGTTGGAAATGCAGATTCTACCCAGTCAGAAAATTTAGAGGGGTGCTCAGCTATCTGTGTTTTGGCGAGTCCTCCTGGTGATGATGACATCTGCTCCAGTTTGAGAATTGAAGCTTGCAGAAGAGATGTTGAGGACTAAAACAGAATATAAGTGGGGAGAGAGTCAGAAGGGGACAGTTTGAGAACGACTTAGGAGGTAAAATGGTCAGTATTTGATGGTAGATGAAATGAGAGAAGATCTGTGCATGAAAGGTGCCACCATTACCTGAGATCCAGCCAAAAGTAGGATTGTTGGATCGATAGAGGTGATGGGATTTGAAGAACTGCTTGAAGAACAGAATTGCAAGATCTGCACGATCAGCAACATAATCTAGGTCATATGAGAAAGTCGAAATCTGTAGCACCCTGTTGCACACCCTCAGGGCATATGTGAATGTCATGCTCTGCAACACAATTTGGAAGACTCTGTGTGTAGAGTACAGCAGGCTGGAGTTCAGAAATACAGTACCTTGGACAAAATGGGGCATTGAAGGAGGTAAGACATCTCCCAAAGGCTAAAGTGAAGGTGCTATGAAAGACACTCAGGAGGTAACTGGAAGGACACAAGCTGGTATAAGAAAATGACTATTGGATTGAATAGTTCAGGTGTGGTATAGTTCTGGCAGATACTGAGAATACGAGAAATGGCGAACTGAGCTAGTCTCAAGGTCCAAATAGAATCTTGTATCAAATTGTGTCACATTAGGCTTAGCCTGATGTTGCTTTGGCTGGCAGAAGTGGGAACAAAGGGAAAACAAGCAGGTCTCTGTGTTGAGTCCTAGGACAGCAGTTGAGCATTCTTGGACTGCAGTTGTTGGGGGAAGGCTGAAGGTGCAGACCCTAACTATCCCTTCTCTGTCCTCTACCTCTAAGCGTTGAATATAGCCTGGTGGCTTCTCCTGGTAATTTATTTTGGTTAAATAACTTCCTTCTCCCATCGACTTCCACAAGTTAGTCTAGCTTTTATCCTTTCATTTAGACAATCAGTCCAGCCTCATGATCAGAGTTACCATTCATCATTCATTTTGTTTAATAGTTTCTGCGGAAAACAGCTAGAGAATTTTCCAAAGATGTCACTTGCTACATGATTTGTACTTGCTCTGAAAGCTTTAGCAACTTTGTTTCTATCCCAAAGAAGATTTCAAATGCCATAGCCTGCCATTTGAGATCCTTGATTCTTACTATGTCTCTGACTTAATACTTTCAGCTAGAATTTATTTAAAACGTACGTGCCATCCCTGTGTGGAATGGATTATGTATCCTATTTTATTTAATCCTTAGAACAAAGCTCAAGACAAATAATATTATCATCTTTATTTATAGATGGGAAGTTAAGTCTCAAAGAGGACATATACCTTGTTCAAGTAAGATCAGATCCAAAGTTAACATCAAGTATATATTAACCTGGGGTCTGTTTTCTTTTTAACTATATTGTATTGCCTCCCATTTTATCCCCAGGTTCTCAGCTCACTCTATGAACTATTCATGTCAAGCAATGCCATGTAATCTCATTTTTCTTAAACTGCACAATGTGTATTTTAACCTTGATGCATTTTCTTATTATTATATTTTTTTACTTTTGTAACAGTTGCTCTCAAACTTTAGTGTTCATTAAAATCACCAAAAAGGGCCCTCGCAGGCTGGTGTGGCTCATTTGGTTAGAGCAGTGTCCCCTATAGCAAAAGGCCATGGATTCGATTCCCAGTCTGGACACATACCTAAGTTGTGTGTTCAATTCCCAGTCGGGGAGTATGCGGGAGGCAACAGATTATTAAACACATTGATGTTTCTCTCTTTCCCTCTCCCTTCCTCTCTCTAAAATCAATAGAAGCATGTCCTCAGATGAGGATTTCTTAAAAAACTATCTAGAAGGTTTGTTAAAACACAGATTAATAATCTCTACCCTAAGGATTTCTTATAGAGTGGGTCTGGGGTAAGGTCCCAGAATGTGCATTTCTAACAAGTGCCAGGTTATGGTGAGGTTACTGGGCTGGGGAACCACACTTTGAGAACCACTGTAATATATATTGATCTCTATTCCACATCCTTGCAAACTCAGTGCAGACTGCATGTCTTCCATTGCCTATTTCTGCCACCTTTACAATCTCCAGTAAACACTTCTGCATGTAATATATTGCATTTACTGTCTCCTTATTTATTTGCTTCTTAAGTTCTCAGCATCTTTATTTCCATATCTCACTCTGTCCATCTTCATTTATCTATCTTTCACTCTCTGTCTGTCTGTTATTCTATCTTATATTTATAAGTAGCTGATTGACCTTTTGGTACCTATAGATCTTCATATTATGGCAAAAAGTTTGGTACCGGCACATACATTGGGTACTCAAATATTTGATGATGATATGTACACAACGTGATATAAGTTTTTTTCTTCAGCCTAGACTCACCCCCCAATTTTATTTTAAATCAGATTTCAATGTATTTACCCTTCAACTTCCACTATGCCTAATTTCTTTTGAAAACATTTTCTCATTCAAAGTATTTTTCTTTTTTTTACCATATTTGAAGTTGCCTTGGGACATTTGTGTTTTTTCCTCTGTAATTTGCTACAGGTAGGAAGTGTTGTACAGTTTCACTGCAAAAAAGGGCACCTTCTCCAGGGGTCTACGACACGGACGTGCCTTCCTGACCTCACGTGGAGTGGAATTCAGCCTGAGTGCATCCGTAAGTATTGTGGCTAAGAAATTACACTCATTACAGAGGATGTATTTATATGCATTTTCCTTCCACTCTGTATCCATACCACAGATGTTTTGCATTGATGTTTTAGACTATTACAAAACACAATTCATCTATATAATCTTATTACTGTATCATAACCCTATGTCCATTGGGAAGCACTCTTTATAAAGAATTCAGAAGGCATGAGGCACAATTTTGTTCTTTTAGAAAAGCTCTTGTAACTGTGTTTAGTTTAGTGACTTGGTCATTTTAGATGATTATTTTTTAGATTTATAGGTCTACGCTATAAATCTGAAATAGTCCGATACAGAAAGCTCCAACATAGCGACTCTTAGCCTTATCGCTTGTCAAGTCTTCGAGAATTTGAGGAATGCTAGCCATAGCCATGTAAAGAAAATACATGAACCCCTTGACCAAAAATTTGAATACTACTTCAGGATTTCCTGGAGCTGCTAAATGTGCAGACCCCAAATTGAGAACATGCCACATGAATTAAATTAGAACAAAGTCCACGGTAACTAAATCGATTTTTCTGACTCACAGTTAGAAGTAAAATTAGCTAGTGAGTTACTTGTCTCTTCTTTCCCCTCCATCTCCTCCTTCATCTTTTTAAATTCTGATCCTCTTGGGGGAAATACGTTAAGAGTAAGCAGAAGGAGAAAGGTATATAGTTTTTAGGATTTGTTGAAGTTCAAGTAAGACCTGCAAATTTACTCTAGCTCTTTTCAGAACCACCGAAATAACCCAGGGCCCCCGTGGACCTGTAGCTTGCTGAAAAGTGGCGGAACACTCCCTGGAGCCCTGCCACGTGCCCTCCTGGTTTATGTTTAAATGTGGAAAAATCCCTTAAAAGAGAATTTCTCAGTGTGTAGTTCAGAACAGCTGTGTGGAATGTGACTAGGTATTTCACAGTGGACCGAGATCCTTTGACGACCCACGTTTGGGACAAGATGATTGCAATGAAGTTAAACAGCTTCTGTTATCACAAAGCATCTCAGAAGTTTAATATGTGTTTAATGTGGAGGTGAAGAATGTAGCAGAGATTGATTTTGTGTTTATCTGTAGCAATATTCCCCCCATGAGGATTAAATTTCATTAACTGAATTAAATTAAATGTAAATCATGTAATACAATGTTTATCACAGTGTTATAAAAATATCATTTCACCCTGGCTGGTTTGGCTCAGCAGTTAGAGCATCAGCCCAGAGACCAGAGAGTCCCAGGTTCGGTTCCCGATAAGAGCATGTACCTTGGTTGCGGTTTGTCCTCGGCCCTGGTTGGGGTCATGTGGGTGGCAGCCAGTTGGTGTGTCTCTCTCACATCGATCTTTCTCTCTCTCTCTCTTCCTCCCTCTCTCCCTCCTGCTCTATCTGAAGATAAATGCAAAAATGTCCTCGGGTGAGAATAAAATAATAATAATATAATGTTATTTATAGCTTTGTAAATCTCCATTGGGAAACAAATGGAAATTTCTTTTCCAAACTAATTTGCCCATAGATCACTTTCTTCAGAGACCACTTTTAAGGATTTTTATCCATGAACAAAGGATCAGAAGTGTTGTCTTATTTAGGAGGACAATTTCTTCTAGCATCTATTTCTGATTGAGAAAGTAATGGTCCTTAAAAGACACAAAACAGGTGAACTGGGATCAGAGCCCAGAAGGGCTGTAAGTATAGGTGGAGTGGAATCAAAGTAGAGAATTAGGAGTGAGAGGAAATGAAGAAGACAAAAAAATTAAATGAATGAAAAAATACTACTGTCATATAACCCAAAATATGGCCAGAAATTTTCATATGTAAAAGAAACTATTAAATGTTACCTTCTATATTAGGACATATTGATATCAGAATGACATGAGGAGCTGGGATTCGATTTAACTTTAGAAAAAAATGTTTTATAATTTAAAATAATATAATAAATTTAGAAATCATAAAAGAATATTTCCTAAACTGACGTAGAAAAATTGAGTTTGACAAACTTTAAAAGGTATCTTATTATAAGACCTTTTGCTCCTTCAAAATGCTAATATGTATTGTGACTCTCTAAAATGATGATATAGTCTACATGTATGAACTAAGTATCCACAGTCATTTTTTCCTCAGTTTACCTATTAACATAATGTTAAACAGATGATAGTTGAGGAAATGCTAGTCGATGAAATCACACGCATTACATTCACACATCACATTTGATTCATTAGAATAATTACTTTAAAGTATATTTCAATAAAGGCATTGACATACCTCTAAACATATAACATGACTCCACTCAAATTTTTCTTAATGTGTCTATAAAAATGAACATTTTTCTCTTTTTTTAATATAGCCCACAGCTGTAAACAACCAGAAACTCCCGCCCACGCAAATGTGGTGGGAATGGACCTCTCCTCCCATGGGTACACGCTGATTTACACCTGTCAGCCTGGCTTCTTCTTAGCCGGTGGAACAGAGCATAGGGTGTGTAGGTCTGATAACACCTGGACTGGGAAAGTTCCTGTTTGTGAAGGTAAGTTTTTTCCTACAAAAATTTTTCACAGAAGATATTGTGCTATTTTGACATCTCTCGAATGAAAGGGACTAAAAATATCAATTCACCTTAGCTTAGGGACAAAGGACATTGATTGGCCAACTCTAAGCAAAAAAGTGATGTAGATACTTCTGGACCCAGAGGCACAAAAACACTACTCGGGTCTTTATAGCGTCTTTTCTATGCTTTGTATTTGGTTCTTGCCTTTATTACTTCTAGATTTTTAATGAAGGTAGGTGTACTACCATTACAAAATACCAGAAGCTGGGTGGCTTAAAAGAATGGAAATGTGTTCTCCCCCAGTTCTGAAGGTCAGAGGTCCAAAATCAGAAGGGCCAAGTGTCCTCCAAAGGCTCTGGGGAAGAATCACTCCTGACCTCTTCCTAACTGCTGACAGTGTCTGGCTGTTCTTGGCATTCATTGCTCATAGCTGCCTCATCCCAATTTCTCCTCTCATCATCGTGTGGTCTATCTTAGGTGTATCTGTCTGCCTTCTCTTCTTGAAAAGACTCTAGTTATTAGACTTAGGGATTATTTCACTTTAAAAGCTCCAACAAATAATATCTTCAAAGATTCTATTTCCAAATAAGGTCCTATTCTGAGGTTCCTGGTGAACATAAATGTTGGGGGTGCACTCTAACCCACTACAGTAGAAAACATCGCTGCCGCATTCCTGGGCTCATACACTTCTGGCAGAGTAACCCTGGTAGAAAGAGTCTTTCCCAAGGCTGGTCACGAAAGCACTACTCAGGAGTCCAGTTGTCACAGTTCTGAATGGAGTCCATTTCCAAATCCGTTACTCAGCCTGTTCTAGGTGATATGCTGACCTGTTCTAGGTGATGGTCCACCCCTCATGCTTCTTGATCAGGACAATCCTCATCTGGAAGAGATGTAAGGAGTTTACCGAAGGGAATAGGGTTATGTTTCCATAAGAAAGAGCAAAGGAAAAATTTTCTAAATTTTTGATAAGGTCATCAATAACCTTTTCCTTTTATTTAATTTTTTAAGACCTTCTAACTCTTGAACTTCTGCAGTAGTCACAAATGTTAATGAGTTTATCCTTCTTGAAATGTTTTTACTCTCTCTCTTTTTTTTTTTTAGCTACAATATTACTGTTTTTTATTTTTTAAAAAAACTTTCAGGGTAGAAATCCCTACAGCGTTAGAGCTTATGCTTTGATTTGTTTACTTCTTTCTCCGCTCTCTGTCCTTTCATCTGCTCCTCTCCAACGAGAATAGAATCTCAGCAAAGACAAAACCTTGCTCAAAGTGTTTACAGTTGTAATATTAACACCTACATCAGTTCCTCGTATGTGAAAGTCTTCAATAAATATTTGAGTAAATAAATATATTATTCCCTCAGAATTCTGGTTATCTAGTCTCCATTTTCTTTCTAAGTTTATCATTTTCTCCCTGTGCTTTTCTAAAGGCTTGGTTCTTAGCCATCTCATGTTTGACTTTATCTTCTCCCCCTGGGAAGGCTCAATCAAGCCACTGGCTTCCACAGCCTCCTTTATGGAAATTGTTTACAGATTCATATTTCTAGCTTATTTATCTCCTCTTAGCTCCAGACTTAGTGTGCAGTTGCTTACTTGACATTTCTTGAACTCCTCAGAGACGTTTCAAAATTCAATGTATGCAAATCTGAACTTATCAATTTCTTTTCACCATAGACTTCCTTTGGTGTCCCCTGTCTCAGTGGTACCATCATCATCCAGTCCATAGAAATCTAGCAGTCATCCTTGACATCTCCCTATCCCTTTAAATCCACCACAGGATTTCAACAGCTTTGTATCTCTCTGCTTTTCTGTTTCATCATCACTACTACAGCAGTCTCACTGAAGATTATCTCCACTGGGATCACTGCAGCAGCCTCCTAACTTCCCTGCCCATGTCAATGCCTTTTCTATCCAAATTGTTCTCCACCTTTCAGCCAGAGTGATGTCTACCCAAATCACCTTCCCAGCAAACCTTTTAAAGCTATCACATTGTCCTTAGGATAAAGACCTAAGTGTGCAAGCACAGCCTGTCATGACTCCTAAAACCTTCCAGGTGCATGTAGCTCCCCACATGATGTCCTTGGTGTGGGGCCAACTTTGGTTTGACTTAAAGCTTTAGTTTCCACCATTGAGCCTACCCAATTTCTTAGACACCATGAGCTGTTTCAACAGATTTTTATTTTTAAACATGAACCCTACACAAATGATTTCTGCCATTTTGTAACAGGAACATATTCTCAGCCTTCAGCTTTTTTGTTGGCATCAACCCTTTCCATTTTCGATATGCCTCTAAAAGGAGAAACACTGTCTCATGATCTGGCAGCACTAATCTTGCCCCTCGTTTCACTTCACTGGACCGTAATGGGGGTAATCGCTGGAACTGTTAGCTGTTCATCAGGAGTGTGGAGTGGGAACAGAGCTGTCATTATGAACTGGGCATTTTGGAGGAAATCATATGACGTGTCAGAGAATAAAATGAACAGAGGATCACATTTTTGTTGTGTGTATGCATGTGTTATTAATCATATTAACTTTAAAAACATTTTTATGTCTTTTCATAGCTGGGTCCAAAATATTGGTGAAAGACCCTAGACCTGCGCTGGGCACACCCAGCCCGAAGCTCAGTGGTTAGTAACTTCAGTTGTTTTTCTAGAAGTCGTGATTTCTGAAAGTGATCTACTATTTTAAAATGGCTGTTTATAAAAATATATTTCAGTCTGTGGAAACTATGTATTTGACAATTTGGAATTTTATCATTTGTGTCATAAGATGTTGAACTTCCAGCAGTGTAGTATTGTGACATAGTAACATCCCAAAAATATTATTTATAGTTCTCTCTACAAAATTTTCTTTGAAGAGTATCTGCAAATAATGAAATAATAATAGCAATTATTTTATTTAAAATATTAAAATAAAAAATGAGTTGTTACATGCAGTTTTTAAATACAGATTTTAAACAAAAGAACAAAATGCACTTGTTATGTGAGTAAAAGCTTAGGAACTTCTAAAACTCATCTAGTTTATTTTCAATTATTAGATTTAAAATTAAATTTTAAAACCTAGCATATTAATTAAAAACATGGGCTTTCAGAGTCCTACATCCCTGATGTAATTCCCATGTTATATGCTCCCTAATCTATGACTTTGGAGAAGTTATTTTATATATCTGAGCCTCCTTTCCCTTATCTGTACACAACAAATAATGTTTAATTTATTATAAAATGGTCATGAAAAGCAAGTGTAAAGTGCTTAACAAATAGTAAGGCTTCATATACGACAGTTACTCTTTTAATATTAGTCAGTAATTCATTCACAAGATACAAATGAAAAGCTACTCATAAAATTAAAGGCTTAGAGTAATTTGACCCAGTTGTATTGAGCCAGGAACAGTAATAGGATCTACTTAGTTGACTTCAGAAATTCTCAATGTACATGTTACAAAGCTGGAGTGCCCACAAAATTCTGAGGCACTGATTTATTCAGCATTCAATAATAACAGACTGAATACCATGAAGGCAGTCAAAGACTATGTCAACACAAGAGAGGGAGGTTAGCAATTGAGTCAGAAAACCATCATGGCCCATCAACACACTGTTTTCCAAGGGACTGCAACAGCGTGGATGAACCTGGAGAACATTATGCTAAGTGAAATGAGCCAGTCAGAGAGGTAAGGCAAGTACCGTATAATTTCACTCATAGGTGGAATTTAATAAACAAATGGAACTACCAAGTAAAATAAAGACAAACTCATAGAGAGCAGGCAGACATCTCAGCGGAGTGGGGGAGGACAGTGGGTGGGGTGGAGGGATTGAGCAAAAAGGAAAAAAGAGAGAGAGAACTCATGGACATGGACAACAGTGTGGTGATGGCGGGGATGGAGGTTGGTAGGTGGAGGTGGAAGAGGGAATAGAACAGATAAATAGCCCTGACTGGTTTGGCTCAGCGGTTAGAGTGTCAACTTGCAGACCAGGGAGTCCTGGGTTCGGTTCCCGCTAAGGGCACATACCTCGGTTGCAGTTTGTCCCTGGCTCCAGTTGGGGTCGTGTGGGTGGCAGCCAGTCAATGTGTCTCTCTCACATCGATGTTTCTCTCTCTCTTTCTTCCTCCTTTTCTCCCTTTCGCTCTCTCTAAAGATAAATGCAAAAAATGTTCTCGGATGAGGACACAAAAAATAATAATAATAATAAAATAAAATAGAAAAATATTAATAGTAAAATAAGAATTTTTCAAGAGGTGCTTTGTCGGGAAGCATGTGGGTACCCTGACTAATAACTCCAGTACATCAAGGGTGAACGTGGACTGCCCTGGGCAAACATGCCAGACCTCAACAATAAATAAATCAGGCAGACAAAAATAAAAATAAAAAAGAATATGGAAGAACTAAACAATACAATAAGTTTGACTTGTATACAATTATAAAGATTTCTGCATCAAATTATTATGGAAAATATACTTTTCTCAAAGGCAGGTTGGACAGCTGAAACAGTTGGTCATATATTAAGTAATCAATAAATCTAAGCAAATTTCAAAACACAGTCTTTTCTGATCATGATATAATTAAAAGTTAATGAGAAGGTGAATGCATTTTTTAAAATTCTCAAATGTGAATGTTTGGAAATAAAGAACAAAGTTGTTGCTGATATGTAAATCATTAATTAAAGATAAAGTTAAAGTGAAATAATATAATACAAAAACTTAGTTATACTAAAATCTAAATATCAAAGTTTGGAATTAAAGCAAAAGAAAAGTTGTGAGGGGATTTTATACACTTAAATCCTTACATTAGAAAAGAAGAAATCCTCAGTATTAGTGAGTTAAGTGTTTTTGGTTAAGAAGATATAAAAAGTATAATAGAATAACCAAAAAATTAAAAAAGCATAAATCAAGGTAATAAAAATATACAAACAAATCGCAAAGATACAACAGAAAAATCTAAACAGAGCCAAAGGTAGTTCTTTGGAAAAAACAAGCAAAGTGAAAAATTTCTGGCAAGATTGATCAAGAAAGTAACAAAAAAATAAATAATATAAAAAAGTCAATGTTAACATTACTACATAGAGAGTAGATGAAGTAAATGAGAAATACATTAATAAAAAACTATCAAAACTTTCATTTTTAAAAAATTAAACAAAATGAACAAATTACTAAAAAAAAGTATATTTTACCGGATGTAATTAATAAAACTTGAAAAATCCCACAACCAAGCAGTACTTAAAACTGTTTCCACAAAGAAAACTCAGGTGTATATGGCTGTTTTAAATGTTAAAGGAACAGAAGGGATAATCCCAGCTTTACAAAAACTCATCCAGTCAATAAAACTCATTCTGTGCGTCCCACATAACTTTAATACCTCAGATAAATACATAAAGAGGGAAAATTACTAGTTATTTTGATTCAGATCATAGATGAAAATTTTCTATATAAAATTTTAGCAAGTCTGCCTGGCTGGTGTGGCTCAGTGGTTGAGTGTCAACCCATGCACCAAGAGGTCACCAGTTCGATTCCCAATCAGGGCACATGCCCAGGTTGTGAGCCCGATCTCCAGTGGGGGGCATGCAGGAGGCGGCCAGTCAATGTTCTCTCTCATCAATGTTTCTCTCTCTCTCTCTTCCTCTCTCTCTAAAATCAATAAAGAAAAAAAATTTTTTTTTAAGTTAGCAAATCAAGGAAGGCAGGAGCAGGGAGGAGGGGAAGGTGTCAGTGGGAAAAAGGAGGGACATCTATAATATTTTCAACAATAAATATTTAAAAAGAAAAAGAAAATCTTAGCAAATCAAATACATTATAGTAAAGATGATATATCCAATTGGATTCATGATAGATATACATAAATATTTTGTTAAATAATTTTAAAATTAATCTATCACATTGAGATTAAGTAGATCCAGAGACATGGTAGCAGGGAACAGACTGACAAACCTCAGAGGGAAGGGGGGAGGGAGGAGGGACAGGAAGAGATAAACCAAAAAATGTATATGCATATATGCATAACCAATGGACACACACAACAGTATGGGGAAGTCAGAGGGGGTGGGAGCAGGGAGGAGGGGGTCAATGGGGGAAATGAGGGGGAACGTGTGTAACTTCCAACAATAATGATACATTTAAAAAAGAGATTAACATGCAAAAAGTATGATCATTATAATATTCACACGGAAAATATTATAAGATGCAACATTTATTTATGATTTTTATAAACCTCTTAATAATTACAAAGGAGAGGAATTTCTTTAACCTGAGTAAAGGTATTCTATAGCACACTAGAGCAATGTCATCTTAAATGGCAAAATATTAGAGGCATTTCATTTAAAATCATGAATGACACAGAGAGATTCGATTACTCAAAAGCAACATTCTGTGCAGGCTGACAGCTGTGGGACAGGGTCAGGGGACTAGGTGAGAGGTGGAGGGATATATGGTGATTGGGGGTGGGGGAGGTGGAGGAGGGTAAGCGGGATAAATGGTTATGGGTGGAGACTTGACTTGGGGTGGTAAACACATAGTACACTGTACAGATGATGTGTTGTGGATTTGTGCACCTCAAACCTGTATAATTTTGTTAACCAGTGTCACCCTAATAAATTCAATACAAAGGAAAAAAAAAAAAGAAACGAGAATGAAATTTGTCAACGTTTCAAAGTCAGGAGCATAATGCTCTATTCGGCACAGCTGTGACGCCTATGAAGGAGTGTATATTTCAGTCTGTCTTGGGAAAAATGATCATGACCATCATTGTTTGCCTCCAGTCCTTGATATCCATTCTTTAGCATTTTATAAAGAACTGACAAAAACACAATCACATTTAAATATCAAAATAAACAACAACAGAAAGAAGTCTTATCATTCCCATGTACCCAGGGATATGGATGAACAAACAGTGTCCGCCTGTCCCTCCCGGTGATGTTACATGTCTCGGCCATGTATGGGGAGGGGGTGTTAGCGCTGGCAGGCTCAGGCTCCCCACAGCCTGCTCTGTGCTTCCTTCCGAACTACAGCCAGCGATGCCATGGTGGTAGCTTGAGATCTGCCATTATGGAATATTCACACCATAGAAGTCAGCAAATACCACATATCTTTTTTTTTTCCCTGGAGATTCAGTTGTTAAACATTTACTACCGCTTCAATGAGTAATCTTGATACACTGTACTTTGCTGCAGGTGATACCTACTCCTTGCTGTTGCTGTTTTTTCCTGCCACTGGGTTCTCTTTCATCTCCTTCAACCAACACTCCTTAAGTTTTCTAAGCACCATGGACAAGATCATTAGGTGCAGCAGATTTCCATTAAACGTTCAAAGGGGTAGTAAAGAGTAGCAACAGTAACGGGCAGGGGAAATGAAAAATCAGAGACCACAACACATACTGTTTGAGTGCCTACTATTTGCCAGAACATCCTTCTCCCTTGCTCCTCCTCTGCTCTCTTAACTAAGAGTCTGTTACTTCCAAATTTCTGATTTTTGTAATGCAGGGCAATTTAGCTTGTTACTCCCCTCTGCAAACGTGTCCTAGATATAATTTTTACAAATTGATCTGTTTTTTATTGATTTTTTTTTTTTTTTTAGAGAGAAACATCAATTTGTTATTCCACTTATTTTTTCATGTATTTGTTGATTCTTGTACGTGTCCTGATCAGGAACTGAACCTGCAACCTTGGTGTACTGGGACAATGCTCCAACTAACTGAGCTACCTAGCCAGGGCTAGATATACTTTTTTAAAGCTAAAAACTCTATGGTGCTTACCAAATCAAGGGCTTTTTAATGTATACACTGTATCAATTTTTTAGATAAGTGTCCCCTATTCCTACAGAGCATAACTGTGTCGTTTGAGGTTTGGGGAGGAAATGCCACTGGAACGGTGACCTGGTAAAGTTTGCAGGGTCAGGACTATAGATTTTCCATGATACTAACTACATGTCTGCTAAATATTTGTTTTATTAGCAACTATGCAGTGAGCTATTAAATCTAAAGTGTCCCTATTTTGTCTGCATAATAATGCTAATGATAGAGAAGATTAGATGACAAATGTGAATAACTTAAGACAAAAAGGCTTTTTCCTAAATGCATGCCATTCACTCACTCACACTGCAGGCATAGCTGCACTGAGTAGCTGGTTTCTGGGGGTGTGCTTTATTATGATGCAGGGCGCTAATGGAAACGTCTCCTGGCCTCTTTCCAGGATCTCAGTAGACTTTGACATGCCTAATTTCTCTAGCTGTAAATTACATAACTAATTTATATAAATATACTAAGTCTTAATTGGCTGTATCAGACACCAAGCGTGTTTCTTCTTTAGGTGGGGGTTCTATGACATTTAGAATATTCTTTCATTCTGCCACAATTTTTCTCTCTCCCATGACAGATAATTCTAGTGGCGATGCTTTCTTTTTAATTCTTCACCCAAGGGTATTTTTTTCATTTATCTTCAGATAGACTGTGAGGGAAGGAAGGAGGGAGAGAGAGAGCGAGAGCGAGAGAGAGAGCGAGAGAGAGAGAGAGATATCAATGTGAGAGAGACACATTAACTGGTTGCCTCCTGCTCTACCCTGACCATGGCCCGGGACCAAACCACAACCAGTGCACATGTCTTTGACCAGAATTGAACCTGTGACTCTTTGGTTCGTGGACTGATGATGCTTTAATCGCTGTGCCAAACCAGTCAAGAATTGCCTAGTGGCAATTCTTTTATTTCAAAAAATAACTTTTTCCTCAGAAGTATGAATATGGTAGACCCTACCCTTCCTCAGGGACATCTGTTGTTGGAATAACTGAACTAGTATTCTATATGGGGGACAAAGGAGTGTCTCCCCAACAGTCTTCTGGGGCTATTTGACAAGGGGGCTTTATTTCTGTGTCCTTCCTCCCATGAATCTATTCCCACTGCTCGATGAAAATACAGCAGTCCTCTTGGGACTGGTATATCGACTGAGTTGGCTCAGTAAAATCATTCTATTTTCCTCCCAAAATAAAGATATTATTATAGAAGACCAAATAGAAGGAAACGATATTTAGCTAGACTTTAAGCGTAAGTCTCATATCTTTAATTGGTGGTGTTTATTTACCTTTTATTGAGGAGTCATGTTCAAATCTAGGTTATCACAATTCTGGTTTACTCTAAAATTATGGAGACACTTTTATGTGAAGAATTCATTTCATAATACGCATTCCACATTATTGTGTATTTAGCAAAAATCATTGTCCAATGAACTAAAGTTCATTGACGTACTCTTTAAGGCTTGAATTTACAGGACACCCTAAGATTAATGTGTGTGTTTATTTAATCTGTTCACAGTTCCTGATGATGTGTTTGCCCAAAACTATATATGGAAAGGCTCTTACAATTTCAAAGGCAGGAAACAGCCCATGACCTTGACAGTTACCAGTTTCAATGCTTCCACTGGGAGAGTCAATGCCACGCTCAGCAACAGCAACATGGAGCTGCTACTCTCAGGTATCACATTACACCACGAAGGATGAGCGTGCCTTCGCTTCCACCGTCTGCTCGTTACTTGTTAGTGGTTTTGATACTGGGAAATATTTGTTACTTTTTCCATGACATTTATAATTCATCCATAAACAAGGCTTTCTGGTTTTTTTTGATTGATGCATAAATACTTCTACACAAATGTAAAACTGTGATACTGAAATAAAGCTCCCTCAAGAATATTTTCATGTAGCTAGAATGAGACGTCATGAAATAGAACAGAACTTTTTAATATAACTAAATCTCCCTCTGTACTCATAACACCAAAGAGACTGGATCTGTGATTTACAATGTACTTTATGGCCACAAAATCTTCAAATGAAAGTGTTTAGGTGGGCACCGTACATTAAGGCAGAAAAGGTAGAGCTACACTACTGTACACAGGCTTAAGGGATCCACACCACTATCCATCTGCTCGGACTTTTCAAGTTTCTGTTTTCTCTGTCTAGTGTACACTTCTCTCATCATCTAGATCACTGTTTTTTCAGACATTCAGATGTTTTCTCAAATGTCACCTGGTCAACAGTATGTATGATGACCCTACTAAAGTAGCCTTCGCAGTACAGTCAGAATATACCTCGGAGTTTAGAGCAGCATCTGAAATAAAATATACCTCAAATATTGTCAAAGAGATAAATTTGAATTATTGGTCTCATTAAAAAATGTTTTTAAACTCTTGCTATTGCAAATATGAAATTTTATATACATATATATATATTTAAACACCTTGGTTATGTATATGCTCTAAATACAGTGGTTCCCCCTTTATCTGCAGTTGTTCTTTCCATGGTTTCAATTACCCAAAGTCAGTTGTGGTCCAAAAATATTAAATGAAAAATGTCAGAAGTGAACACTTCATAGTTTTAGATTGCAAGCTATCTGTGTAACATGATGAAATATGGCTCCATCTTACTTCATCCCTCCCAGCCCAGAAGCGATCCATTCCATTGTTTAGCATATCCATGCTTATGCTACTGGTCGTAGTCACTTAGTATCCATATCAAGAGAAGACCAACAGAAACCTCACGCTAGGTCACAATGTCCGCATCATTCAGCTCACTTCTCATCATGTAGGTGTCGTATCATCTCACATCATCACACCCACAGTGCAATATATTTTGAGAGGGACAGAAAGAGAGAAAGAGAGCAAGTGCATTCAGGTAACTGTTATTACAGTGTATTTTTATAATTGTTCTGGTTTATAGTTACTGTCGTTAATTTCTTACTGTGTATAATTAGTAATTTAAACTTCATCATAGGTATTTTTGTTTAGGAAAAAAAATAACATATATACAGGGTTCTGTTTATCTGCAATTTCAGACATCCACTGAGATCTTGGAAGTAGACCACGTGGATAAAAGAAGTATCAAGCATTGTTTTAAATTATCTAATAATCCTGCACTAAACCCAGAATAAAAGGATTAGAATTTAATATGTATTATATTTTTAAAAATATAGATAATTGTGCACAGCTGGAGTGGCTCAGTTGGTTGAATGTCATCCTGTGCACCAAAAGGTTGCTGGTTTGATTTCCAGTTTGAGCACATACCCAGGTTTCAGGTTCAGTCCCTGGTTGGGGTACACATGGAAGACAACCAGTTAACATTTCTCTAACATTGATGTCTCTCTCTCTCTCTCTCTCTCTCTCTCTCTCTCTCTCTCCCTCCCTCCCTCCCTCCCTCCCTCCCTCCCCCTCTCTCTCAGCATGTCCTTGGGTGAGGATTAAAAACAAAAATTATAGATAGTTGCATGATACAATTTGGAAGAAGCTTTATGTGGAGAAATGAAATGCCCAAAATTGCAACTACTGATTTATGTAACTTTGAAACAAACAATGTTTTCTGTAAAAGAAGTAGCACAAAATAAATGTGCATAGTGGTGCCTTGACCAACACAGATTGGACAGCATGGGTCCACTTATATGTGGATTTTTTGCAATTAACCTATGCAGTTCAAACCAGAGTTGTTCGAGGGTCAACTACAAGTTGTAGTCTGCCTGTATCGGGGCACACTTAAGTTATACATAGATTTTCAATTGCACAAGTCAGTGCCTCTAACACCCCTGTTGTTCTAGGGTCCACTTATAGTTATTCTAATCTAGAATTTTTTTTTTTTTTTATTCTCACCCGAAGACATTTTCTCATTTTTTGTTCAGGTAGAGTGGGAGGGAGAGAGAGAAAGAGAGAGAGAGAGAAACATCAACATGAAAGGGACACATCGAGTGGCTGCCACCCGCACAACCAACTGGACCGGGGACAAACCGCAACCGAGGTACGCGCCCTTAGCGGGAACCGAACCAGGGTCTCTCTGGACCGCAGGCCGGCGCTCTAACCGCTGAGCAAAACCAGCCAGGGCCTAATCTAGAAATTTTTCAAAACAAAGTTTTACAAATATAGAAAAGCAAACATCAACAATAGGATTGTTTTAATTTACTATCTCTGTCTCCATATACATCAGTTATAACATTTCCCAGCAATATTATTTTTGATTACTTATGTCTTTTTTCTATTAATTATAATTTATATTCTATCAAGATCTATTTGTCATTGTCTCTCCCCCCCAGTATATTCTTATGGTATTATATTCTTATTAAATAGGTGAAATATTAAGTGAATGAATGAATGAATGAGTCAAATTTTATCCATCAGTTAATCACAACATTTTAACTTAGAATTTTATTTATTATTATTCCACTGAACATATTTACATTCCAGCTTATTTCTACTCTTAAAATATTCACTGTCTAAGAAAAAAACATTGTATCTATTTTTGCTTCTCTCTTGTAAACCATTACCTGCATTGACCTTGTTGATCTAAAAATCCTACTTGATTTTTTAAAACCCAGCTCAAATGCTTTTTCACATTTTTAAAATATGTTTTTGTTGACTGTAGACAGAAAGGGGGGAGGGGATTGGTAGGCTGCCTCCTAGCCTGCAACCGGGGCATATGCCCTGACTGGGAATTGAACAGGCGACCTTTTGGTGCATGGGATGATGTTCAACTAACTGAACCACACAGCCAGGGCTCAAAGCCTGTTTAAAAATAAATATTTCCTAATCACTCCAGTGTGAAATAATCTCTCTCTTCCTTCTTTGTTCTTATTTATCATATTCTCTCATGTTTTTTAATTAGTTGTGTACCTGACTTGTACTTCCCACTTAATAGAAAAAGCTTTTAAGCATTATATCTTTATAGAGAAACACGTATTTATCTTTGTGGCTCCGATTGCATCTAGAATATTTGCTTTCATATGGTTGGCACCCAATTTATTTTAAGGAAAATACAAGCAGTTTTAAAATTTGATTCATATCTTTAAAGATTTTAGATATGTTTGGGGTAAGAAATAATTTTGTTTGCAATATCATGGAATGATGTTGTTAAGAACAGTAATACTTAATTTAATAGCGTAAGTCACTTACACACCACAATGAAGATTTAAATTGAGAATTTCAGCTGAACGAGAGATTGAATGTGTATTGCAGGATTTGTGACTAGCATTAAGGATAAAACTGGCCTTGACTTGGCCTTGTTTTATTTCCTATCATATGTATCATTACATGACATATGTAAGGAGTTACCAATAATCAGATGAAGCATAACTGTTGTTACAGGGGTGTATAAAAGCCAGGAAGCTCGCCTAATGTTACACATCTATCTTATTAAAGTACCAGCTCACACTTCTATGAAGAAAATGAAGGAGGAACACTGGGCCATGGATGGCTTCGTAAGTATAGTTCTTTAAAAGTCTGCTGCTGATTTTAATAACAAATCTGTGCTTATGTTTATCATTAAAATTCCAGAAAAAGGTAATTTTTTAAATGTTGCTAATTATGAACACTCTCACACACACAGATAAAATGGCAAAATTATTATTATGAGCAAATTTAAATTTAAAAAAATGACTGAGTATATTTAGTAATCGAAGGTAATTTTGGATTCCGGTGAGCTTTGCTACTTTTGTAATACTTATGTGTATGGGCGCATATAGATTTTTTTGGCCTCATTAAATGTATTTTCTCTACAGTCAGTACTATGATAAATAAATCTGGATAAAATGTAATTCAGTCTTTGTCTGGAACCACTATTTAAGGCATATGCCACATATTAATAAAAGGTCCCAGAAAAATTAAGTTTACCCATTAAATTTCAGCACAGATTTAGAATACTTCCTAACATTGTCCATGATCAGAAAGTTATATAAATTGCTTCGTGTGGGGGACAGTTGCCATAGTTTCACCACAGACTCACTGGGTCCTATTCAGCCACTTATGTGAACGGAGTTTCTAAATTGGGAGTCGGAGGCAAGTCTTATATTTACGTATTGCCCAGGAGCCTTTGCTGGAAAATGAGCATAGCGGGAACAGCTCTGACCGTGCTCACTCAAGTAACAAGCCTTCTTTTACAAGGAAGACCTAACAGGGAAGAAATACATAGGAAGTCATAGGCTTCAGTAAGCCGGGTTCCTAAGGATAAAAAATGTCCACTCGGTTTCCCTATCTGTGCCATTACTCATGGAGTTCGGCAATAAATCTTGCCTTCATTGCACTCAGGTTGTTTAATTGTATTATTTCATCTAAGAAACAAAATGAATGAGTTCAACTATTAGAGTTTGAGCTATTCTTTTTAGAAGTATTTCATTTTTAAAAATGGTCATGCCCAGACTATGATGTCTGATAATAAGAAATAAATGTTACCATTTGTGATATATCAGACTTGTGTGGATGGTTTGGTATGATGTTTTGCTTCCAGGGTGGGGGGGAACGTCCAGCCCCTCTGGCTACATAAGGCCCTGAAAATCAATACCAGCTAATGTTGAATACCTCACCAAATAAGCCTGACCAAATAGAGCAGGCTGATTTTTTTTTTCTTTTTTCTTTTTTATTAATTTATTTTTGTTACAGATGTTTCTCCTTTTTTCCCCATTGACACCCTCCTCCCCACCCCATCCCCAGCTTCCTTGTCCATGTCCATCAATTATGCATACATGCATATAAGTTCTGTGGTTTATCTCCCCTACCCCCTCTTCTGAGGATTGTCATTCTGTACCCTACTTCCACATCTCTGGGTCTACCCTGTTCCTCCGACTGTTATGTTCATTATATTCCACAGATAAATGAGATCATGTGATATTTGTCTTTCTCTGTTGACTTGTTTCACTTAGGATAATACTTTCCAGGTCCCTCCATGTCTTCTCAAAGGACAAGAGATCTTTCTTTCTTACAGCTGCATAGTACTCCATTGTGTATATGTACCACTGCTTTTTTATCCACTCATCTATTGTTGGACACTTGGGCTGTTTCCAGATCTTAGCTATTGTAAATAGTGCTGCTATGAACATGGGGGTACATATATTCTTTCTGTTTGGTGTTTCAGGCTTCTTAGGGTATATTCCTAGAAGGATGATCACTGGATCAAATGACAATTCAATTTTTAATTTTTAAGTTGAGAATTTTGTATGACCCTCGAATGATGTTATACATAGCCAAATGGCTCTTGGCAGAAAAAAGATTCCCCACCCCTAAAAGGGGAGACTGTCAAGGATTTCCTTTTAAAGCTTTTACAATAACGTACATGAATTTGGTAGCACATGATAAATGATTAGAACATACTTTAGGGTTAATCATTATTACTACTTATCAGGAACACTAAAATGTTTCCATTTCTATTTTATCTATGAGATCAAATGAGACTATGCCTGTAAAGTCTTTTTAAAATATAATAATCGTCAGCATTTATAGCATTAGACATCGCCACACAATCTCAACCAGCATTCGGTTCTTGCTAATGTGTCTGAGGTTGGCTGTGACTAGAACTATTGTCCATTTCACCCACAGTCCCTTGGGTCTCCTCGAAGCCATGGTAGCATGCTCAGATCTGCTCCAGGTGTCCGATTCCGGGCCCAGATGAGGGGCAGCAGCTACCTGGAGCATATTCTTTTTTGTCTGGTCAGAAACACTGCACTATAGAAAACATGCCCCCCCCCCCTTTTAAAGCTCTATTGAAATATAATTCATATACCCTGCAATTCACCCACTTAAGTGTTGAATTCAAGGCTTTTAGTCTATTTACAGATGTGTAACTGTCACCACAGTTGATTTTAGAATATTTTCATCACCTCAAAAAGAAATTTTACATCATTCAGCTCTCATTTCACCTAGCCACCCTCAGTACCCCCTAGCCCGAAGCAGCCACAGATCTATTTTCAGTCTTTACAGACTTCCCAGTTCTGGATTGTCATATTTATGAGATCACATAATATGTGGCCTTTTGTGACTGACTTATTTAACTTATCACAATGGGAAATGTGCCTCTTAAGACCTAGGGTAGGAACTGACATTGTCAATTCCACCCACATTCTGTTGGTCAAAGCAAGTCACAGGACTGAACTCAACTCAATGAGATGAGAAGTATACCTTTCCCGTGAAGGTCGATGGGAGTCGGGAGAAGTGCATGTATGCTGAACAGTAATTTGATCTAAAAAAGAGTATTTTCATACTTTAACTTTTTTTTTTTTATTTGAGAGAGAAGGAGAGAGAGATAGAAACAACAATGAGAAAGAACATCTATTGGCCGCCTCCTGCATGCCCCCCACTGGGGATCAGGCCCACAACCTGGGCATGTGCCCTGACTGGGAATTGAACCAGTGACCTCTTGGTGCATGGGCCAATGCTCGATCAATGAGCCACTTCGGCTGGGCTTCATACTTTAACTTTTAATTGAGCATTTGCCTTCTTCTGTGTCACCATATCCTAGCCCTTTTTTTGACAGTTGCTTTCTTAGCCTAAATCTATATATCTATATCATATTAATCAATCTTCCCTTTTTAATATCATAATTATTTAAAAGTGAATATTTTTATTTTGCTCTCAATGATGGCAAATTTGCACAGTGTTCTGTGTTTTATATAGGAGGAAGAACTAGAGGAAGGAACTTTGTATACTATTCATTTCAGAATAAAATTGACTATTTATTAAGGCTGGAAATATTTATTAAGACTGGGGCCAGTCTTCACATTTAATGAAATTATAAATATTTTTAGGTTTCTGCTGAGCCTGATGGAGCTACTTATGTGTTTCAAGGATTTATTCAGGGCAAAGATTATGGGCAATTTGGACTCCAAAGACTGGGTAATGTATTCATTTTCATTTTCATTTTCATATAGTTCCTTTATTACTCCAAACATCATAAGAAAATAAAGTAGATTTTGTATATTAGGCACACTTACTATATTTTGAATTTTGCATTGTCAGGACTATACATTGATCCATTTTGATAGCCTTTTAAATAATCACATTCTTCAAAGTATTGGTTCTCTATGTACCTCTGTACATAGAGGTACAATGTGGTTTTTCATCATATTTCTAATAAACATGACAAACTGTCTTGCCCTTAAGCAAGTAAAAAGGAGAAAAAGTGATATAGATATAAAGGAAAATATTAAACTGTAAATTATGTTATCTTATCTCATGAGAACTGTAATACTTCTCTTCAGTTTGAATATTGTTGCAATTTTCTTACTCCTTCGAAAATGTGGCGCACTTTGAGAAACTGATAGGGTCTGGAAAGGGGAAATAACTTTGAGAAATGGGTCTCTTTCCGGGGCTTTGTCCTCTTCAGATACAACATTCGCTGCGGTGGGAGGCACAGGGTTTTTCATTCTTATTCCCAGTTCTGCTAAAATGTGTGTAAGCATGGAATGGCCTTGCTTGAAATGTACTTATTAACAAAGCTTTGGGTACATAATTTTGGGGGAGTATAATTTTCTTTTTGGGGGTGTGTGTATAATTTTCCTAAGTTATACTGTCTCCCATTTTTTTATTATGGTGTTGATACATAAAGAATAATTACAGGGTCTTAAATACTACTATTTGACATTTTCTTATATATTTAATTACTTTGAACTTTTATGTAAATATTCTGAGTCCCTGGAAAAATAGGTATAGAATAAGGTAATATCTTTTTTTAGCCTCGCCTAAGGTATCACTTAGTTGAATATAACTATTTTATCAAAAAATGAAATTAGCTTTCTCTAAATGAACAATAATAGTCATTTCAGATAATATCTTACCTAAAACTGCCTTATTTTTATTTATTTATTTTTTATCCTCACCCGAGGACATTTTTTCTATTTTTTGTACAGATAGAGTGGGAGGGAGAGAGAGGAAGAGAGAGAGAGAGAGAGAAACATCGACATGAAAGGGACACATTGAGTGGCTGCCACCCGCACGACCGACCAGGGCTGGGGACAAACTGCAACCGAGGTACATGCCCTTAGCGGGAACCGAACCTGCGTCTCTCCGGACCGCAGGCCGACGCTCTAACCGCTGAGCCAAACCGGCCAGGGCTAAAACTGCCTTATTTTTAAAAACAATAAAACATTAACATGATACAGTAACACAGTCATGTAATTAATGCAAGGTGTTGACATATGATATTTCCAAAAGCATCTCTAAAACTATATATCTAAAACAGAACCTATAAAAAAGGAACTGACAAATAACTTAGTTATTTCCCCTTGACACATGTGCCAATATGCTAACAATCCTGATTTTTCTCATTTTTAACTGTGCTGACATCATCGCCATTTACTCGGCCCCAAGTAAAACTCTCTCATCTATGCCTGTTAACCTCAGTCATGTTCACCAGCCAGTCTGTTGATTTTAACTACAAAATGTTCCCCTAAATCTATCCTTTCCTGTTCTTCCTAGTGTTTTAGTTCATGTCTTAATTTTCCTTTAACTGGGTTGTTACTGTTACCTTCAAACTACTCTGACTTCCAGTCTATACTCTAACATGTCCATCCCACCCCAGTCACAGTTCCAAATCATGTGCCTTATCACTGGGACTTTCATTTCTCAACACCTTCAGTTATCCCTCTCTCAGTAGGTGAGCAGTGAGTTTGAGCTCTGTAGAATATTTATGCCTTTTCAGAGTCTAGCCATAGTTAACCATTGAGCCTCCGAGTTCTACCACAGTCATTTCCATACATGGCTAATGCTTGTCACATCCCATGAATATGTCACCGACCTTCCCATTCTAGGTTTATGATGGTCCTGCTTCCCCCTCCATTCATTGTTCTACTCATTTCTCGAAGACAAATCATATTGTATATCGTGCAGAAAACATCCGTACATACCACCAGATGGACCTACTCCTTTCCTTCATAAAGAACATCGATCAAGAATTCATGCCCAATGTATCCGCTTACTGGTGTCTGTGTTTTTCTCACAGTTGTATACACTCTTCAGTTCAGAGACTTTGCTTAGTTTTTTATTCTGTATCCTTTCATTAGAAAACATCTTATGCACAGTAGACATCGTGCAAAATTGTGTGGGAATGAGTTGAAGGAGTTTCATGAATTATTTGTTTAGACTGCTTACATGTCAAAGAAAGGAAGAAATTAATTGATTTAGAAAATAAAGATCAATAGGGATAAATTGAGTCGATTATGTATTTATAATTCATTTTTTATTTTATAGGACTGAATATGTCAGAGGGTTTAAATTCTTCAAATCAACCTCATGGTACAAATAGTAGTTCTGTGGCCATTGCGATTCTTGTGCCTTTTTTTGCACTAATATTTGCAGGATTTGGATTTTATCTTTATAAACAAAGGTAAGTTTGTTGATTTTAATTACAAATATTTTCCAAATCTATATTCGTGTTGTTTTTTCACTCTACTTGAAATTCTGATTTCCATCTTTTTTCGGGGTTGTTGCAGTATCTGTGTACCAAATATCGCCATGGTTGTTGAAAACCGTGTTTTCCCTGCCCGCCTCTTCACCGACCCTACAGGCACACAACAAAGATTGCTTGGTTAAATTGACATTTAACTTAATCCCGTCTTCTTTTGCCTATCAATTTCCTAGTACATAACTAATTGTATAAGTTAGTTTTAAATTAGCCATAATGAGACTTTAGAGATATAAAATCTAGGTTAAGGTTTAAATTAAAGAGGTGATACCTGCTGCCAGATTTATTTAGAGAAATAAGAAGAAACTTGTGTCCAAATCCTTTCATTCACATGCAATTCTAACCAATTTTACCTAGGTAGGCAGTTGGCAGAATCCTATAATCTTCTTGAGTGCCTTCTTTAGCTTTAAGAAGATTATGCAATTAATATGTTATATCTGTGACATGTCTAGTACAGGATTATACATATTATTATTGGTCCTTGTTCACTATGTCCATTACAACATCCTGGTGAGAGGCATTACGATGCAATTCTCCACTATTTAGGCCATCCCTTATCTAGAAAAAAATACGTAAGTAACCAGATAATTAAATGAAGGTTACCTAAATGCATTTCCCCCCAAACTGATGTTTTTATTATAAATATCAGTCTCTGTATAACCTAACAATGACATTTAATATTACATAAATTTGTAATAATTGTGTATTAGCAGCTGTTTAGGCCTTGTCAATATCAGGCTTTATTGATGATAAAATCGTTACTGAATGTATTTATAAAGCAAGCTATGGCAGTGTTTTTTATTATCCTGGTAAGATACCACCACAGAAAACCATTAAAACTATCCTAGGTGTATAATCCAGTTTCACCTCAGACATGTACTGTTCCGGAACCATGACTGCCAGTTCCACAGCATGCTCATCACCCCAGAATGAAACTGCACCTATCACAGTCCCTCTTCATTCTGCCACCCCACCCCAGGCAACTAATCTGCGCTCAGTCTGGACTGATTCGCCTGTTCCGGGTAGCTCATATCATTGGAACCATACAATATATGATATTTTGTATCTGGCTTCTTAAACTTAACAATGTTTTGAAGTATCATTCATGTAATAATGTGCATCAGTACTTCATTCCTTTATATGACTGGATAATATTTCATTGTATCTTAAATAGGTTCTGTTTGAATATTCCCATTCATCAATTGATGGACATTTGGATGGTTCCCAGCATTTGGCTACTGTGAATAGCGTTGCTATACACATCTGAGTATAGGTTTTAGTTTGGATACCTATTTTAATTCTGCATATCCTTGCCAAAACTTGTTATTTTCTGTTTTCTTCTTCTTTTTTTTTTTACGTTATAGCCATCTTAGTGTATGTGGAGTGATACTGTATTATGGTTTGATTTGTACTACCATAATTACTAATGACACTGAGCATTTTTTCAGGTGCTTTTGACCATGTGTCTATTTTCTTGGAGAAAAATGTATTCAAGTGCTTTGTTCATTTTTCTTACTTGAATTGTTTATCTTGGATTGTTGAGTGTTAGAATTTTTTATATATTCTAATTATTAGACTGCTATCAGATATATGGTTTGCAAATATGTCTTCCTTTCTGTGGGTTGTATTTCTACTTTCTCTTTTTTTTAAGATTTTTTTTAAAACTGATTTTTAGAGGAAAAGGGGAAGAGAAAACATTGATATAAGAGTGAAGCATCAATCACCCACCACCTGCACACCCTCTATGCAATCCAGGCGTGTACCCGGGCTGAGAACGGAACTGGTGCCTTTTTGGTACATGAGACGATGCCCAACCAAGCCAACTGACCAGGGTGTATTTCCACTCTCTCCCTGGGGTCTTTTGATGTACAAATTTTTCATTTTGATGAGATCTAATTTATCCATTTTTTCTTTTGTTACTTGTTTTTTTAATGTCATATCTAAGAAACCACTGAGAAATTTAGGTCATGAGGATTTACCTGTGTTTTCTCCTAAGAGTTTTATAGAGTTACCTCCTATATTTAGAACTTTGATTCACTTCAAGTCGACTTTTGTTGATGGCAAAAACTTTTCTTTTGTGAAGCTTGGTGATACTATTTTTCTTAAAGGCGTTGCTCAATATCAGCAAAAGGAAATTCCTTCACATCTTTATGATTCTTATTTGGAAGGAAATTATGTTGTTTCTGTTTTGTTTTTGTTTTTTATTGTGACTCTAGTTTGGGAAAAGAGAGACGTGAATGACTTATTAGAATTATGCACCTAGGAAGAGTAGGTTGTAAGTAATATAACTATATAGGTGATGCATCTGAAAGAAACTTAAGATAACTCTTTGTTTTTAAAAAACTTTTGTCTAGCAAATTACCTAAGAATTTTTAAGTATAGAAAAGGTTCATAAAATGCATTAGGGATAGAACAAAAAATAATATAGTTGAAATTTGTGGTGCTTGGGGTAAACAAAGGAATGGAAGAAACCATCTGTGTTAATATATATCTTTTTTAGGAATTAGGTCTCAGAAACAAGCAGGGGCAAGTCTCCTCTGTCCCATTGCAAATGGCAGCAAATTACGCAGTGGCATGTAGGAAAGAGAAACTAGAAATAGGCCTTAGTCAAAGGCGAAAAATTTTAAAAAATAAAAGAAGAAGAAGCAGGGATGCAAAACAGCAATTTACACCAGTCAGCCTCAACTCCATGTGTTGTTTTTTTTTTCTGTGTGTTTTTTTCCACTAAAGGCAAATGTTCAGTTATCAGTAACTCTTTGGAAGCCATTTTCATGACTTGAGTATACAGTGATTACTTCTTTGAGATTTTAAAAAAAAATTTTTTTTTACCCAGGTATAATTTTAGAGAGTGGAAAGAGGGGAGGGAGAGAGAGAGACACACTGATTGTTGCCTCCTGCAAGACCCCCAACTGGGGCCAGAGATGGAACCAGCAACCCAGGCATGTGCCCTTGACTGGGAATGGAAACTGAGACCCTTTGGTCTGCAGGTCAACACTCTAACTGCTGAGCCAAACTGGCCAGGGCTTCTTTGAGATTTTGAATTTACATGCCCTCATGTGTATAATTTTTAAACAAATTGTACATTTCTGTCTTAGAGATACTCCAATTACCTTCTCAAATTAAGCCTCAGCCTTGTCTACTGTTCCTAGAATTCCCTTCTGATTAATGCAGAACCAGCTTGCTCTTGTCTTTCAAGTCTCAGATTAAATTTTACCTCCTCAAACTTGCTTTTCCTATTTCTGTAAAGTGGCTCCCAGTTACTTCCTATCATAGCAACCATTTTCCTTTTTGTTTAAATAATTTTGATTAGCTATTATTTTATTTTATGCATTTTCAATTGTTTTTTTCTATCACTACAGTATGAACTCCATGAGAGTAATGATTATGCTTTAAATACATATATGTTTTGATGCCTAGGCTCATACCTGGCACATAGCAAATGCTCAGTAAATGTTTGATAAATGAATAAATGATAGTAAGATTTAAATTCATCATCATCACAATGTATTTACATTATACATGCTAATTCATAATGATAATTTAATATTTCATAAGAAAATTTATGATAATAGCCATAATATGTCATTTATTTATACTTGTATTTCTCATATTGGTGCTGTATATAAATATGTATTATATGTAAATAAAGCCACCCAGGATTCAAAAGTGACAGGTAAATTATTCAAATTTGATGTATTGAGTGTATGATTTGTCAGTAGATACTTTTAAGCTGCAGTATCCACTAACAATGATAACTCAAGAACACTGTGTTTGAGCCCCCACGCTGCTGTTTCTAGAAGAAAGTATAGCTAATCAATATTCTCGTCAACAGGACTGCACCAAAAACACAGTACACAGGATGTTCAGTTCATGAAAATAACAATGGCCAAGCAGCCTTTGAGAACCCCATGTATGACACCAACGCGAAGACGGTGGAAGGGAAGGCGGTCCGATTCGATCCCAACTTGAACACAGTCTGCACAATGGTATAACGAGGCAGCCGTCTGCCTTCTTCACAAGCCTGAAGGTCGACACACACAGCAGTGCACATCAGTTCACTGCTAAAAAAATTAAAGCACACTTTTCAGGACTTGCTGGGTCACCTTTTCCTGAGGAATGATAGAGAAGAGTGTTTTTTCATAAACTGGACCATAATTCTTCTTCATGTTTCCCATGGAGAGTTTTACAGAAATCCGCTGCACTCTGAGAGTGCTTACTCACAGTTTATTTGCTTTTTTAAAAAAGGAGATTATTCTAAAACATAAACTTATTTGCATATATTGGAGGAGCATCCATATCAGTATTTCTGTGCTTTATAAACTATATTAGAGGGACTGGGTTTAAAAAAAAAAAAAAGATATAGGGTAGACAATAAGAGCTATACTTACAAGAGTCAGTAGAATGCTGACTTCTCTTTAACCGTCATGTGCTACATCACACCCATAAATCTGTATTTCACAGTACTCCGTTGGCTATTTGTTCTTGTTCATTGAGTCATCATTTTCCTTCTTTCCGTGGTTATTTGAGATTTGAGTCAAGCCCTGAAATGTTTGCGAGTGAATTTATGCTACAGAAGAGATAAGACTGCCCACTCTGATTTTGACTCTTCCTAGTTTTCATTCTCCAGGATTCTGTTGCTACTCTTTTTAGATGGGTTGGCATAGTTTCTGCAAATGGCAAGGTCATCCTGCTGTCCTACTGATGTCCCCCACGATGTTGTGACCAGTAGTATTCCGTGAGCCATGGAGGTGGTGTTGAACTCCTTGCTCCAGTCACTGTGGTCACCCAAAACCACTGTAGCTGGCAAAAAAGTATCTATAATAATGATGATTTTGCAGTTATCTGAGACACCAAATTTACCTTCCTTTACCAAACTTGCCAATGTGTTTGAAAGACCAAATAAAATCTATTAATCTATTGTAATTAGTTTATAATACTTATACTGGTCTCCCCCATGGACTTTTTATATTAATTTAACATTGTTTGAAACTTTTAAGTAACAATAAGTTAGACATATAATTTGGACCAGCCCCTAAACATAATGACAAAAAAAAAAAAAAAAAAATTCTACTCTTTCAAATCACCAATATAATTTTTCTCCCTAAAGTGGTGGATTTACCAAATTTTCATATATTTAAATTTTTTATACTCTTATTTTTAAGAAGTAGGTTCAACTATGACAGGTTTGTTTCATTGTTAAATTATGACATGCATTTGCAAATTATTGGTGGCTCATCGGCAACTGTATCACAGGAATGCCAGCATCTTGATTTAATCAGTCATTGTCTTCCTTTTATAGCATGTTTTACTCCATCGAATAAATCACGTGCCCAGTGTGAACTTTGTTGTTGTCCCTTTCAAATATGGATAACTCTGTAAACGGTCTTGACTTTTTGTATCATGAGACAGAGTGCCTAAGAGAAATCACTGCACCCCGGAGCGCTGCTTGGATCTATCTCTACAACATTTAGTGAATTTCTTGTAAACCACTTTGAGATACTTTGTTTTGGAAATTCATACAATTTTCTCAACATTGTACTCTACTGACAGGATGCCGTTTTAAATTTTATGCCATCATTTATTTATTCTTGTTTATTCAAATGACTGCAATAACAATGATTCATTCATTAATGTTAAGGTTAATACATTTAAGATCTTGTTTAAACAATGTTTCTTCTGCAACTGGCTACTCCTCTTATATTAATGCATACACTTTTGTAAAGAAGTATATTTTTATGAAAAAAAAAAACTTTGTAAAAGTATGATGTAAATTTTCAGTGCAATGTAAACAAAATAAAAATGGATAATTGCTTTTGTAAAATGTGTCTTCTTTTAAAAAATTGTCCGACAGTGTACTGGTGAGTAAGAGGAAGGAACAATTCATATTTATTTGATGTTTTAAGGTTCAAAACTGCATATTATATATACTTAGCAACACAGCAATGAAATATAGGTGTTTTTCTTCTTTATATTCTGTTGTTCCCCAACTGTGACACTCTTAGAAAAGAATAGATTCCCAGTTAAAATAATAGTATCATAAGAACCTCATCTTTGAATTGTTCTTGAATGTAAACATTTTAATAATACCATCTGAATTTAGGTATTCCTGATGACTTCTAATATTTCTGTAGTATATTTTCTTAGAGATATTTATGTTTAGTATGCTTCATAAATATGAACACAGTAACCTTTGAATGGCTGCATTAAACTGATTCTCAAAAACAAATCTATCTTGTCAGGAGAGAACATGTAAAGTTTCACCCTCAAGAAAGTTATCAAGTTTCTATAAAGTGCAAATCACAAGTTATTTAAGTTCAGTTTTATTGTAGAACTCTTTTTTTTTTTTTTTTTCCACAAAATATAACCTTGTCTTTGTATTTCAAAACCTCAGACTCCAGCCTTTAAAATCTATCTCTGGTTATTAATTACATTTTCATTTTAGAAATACTTTTTTTCTTACTTTATTTTGTTAATTATATTACTTCCACCTTTCACTCATTTTATATCTTCTGTATTTTCCCTGTTGTTCTTTGTTCTTATTTTTTTCACCTGAGCATATGTTTTTATTGATTTTAGAGAGGAAGGAGAAAGAGAGAGAGAGAGAGATCCATGTGAGAGGGAAAAATGAATCGATTTCCTCTTATATGCACCCCAGGGATGGAACCTACAATCTAGGTATGTGCCCTGATCAGGAATCAAACCAGTAGCCTTTTGGTGCATAGGACTAGGTCCCAACCAACTAAGCCACCTAGCTAGGGCCTTTGTTCTTATTTTCATTCCTCTCTGTTTTTTCTTTTTTTCTTCCTTTTTTCTTTTCTACCTTTTGTTCTCTCTTCTGATGCTTTTATTAATATTCTTTCTTCGTTTTACATGGGTTTTTTTTTTAACCTTTTATTATCGCTTATCTTTTTCTATGCTCTTTATACTTAATGCTCTCAAGGTTAGGAATAAGGTTAGTAGAAGTAATTTTATTTTTAATTATTCCCAGCTTTATTGAAGTATAATTAACAAAATTATAAGATGCTTTAAAGTGTAAAACATGATGATTCAATAAATGTATCCTTAAGGAAGCGGTTTTAAAGAGTCTTTCTAATTCCCTTATATGTAAGACCATTAAAGCCATAGGTTCCCCCAGGATCGTCTGATACTGGAGCCTGATAGTAACTGTGGAAATAGACCAAAGGGTCAGATTTATTTTACCTGTTCTTTTCACTTACAAGTGAGGAGAAAAAAGGGAACAACACATTGGCTGAAAGAGTCAATAAAAATAACTAGGTGATTCTCTCTTAAAGAGAATAAGAATGCATTGAGTATCAAAGTATTAACCTGCCAATATCTATAAACTTAAAATAAGCATAAAGTAAGGTAAAAAAAAAATCTCGTATAGAATTACAGAAGCTTATGTGTCTAAGAAATAATTTAGAATTGGTTGTTTGAAATTTAGCTAAAGAAATATTGATTTACTGCTTTTTTTGTTTTTTAGGATGACTTTGGAGGAGAGGGAATATTGATCTCAGAAGATATACATGTCTTAAAAATCTGAGAAATATTTTTCTGTCATCACTTGCATGAGCTTGGTATTCTAAAGTAATTTAAGAGGAGATTTAAAAGCTACTGGGGAGTAGAAATGGCCACAGGACACCGGATTTCATCCTTTAGTATGCAAAGCAATAGACAGAGTGAGCACCTGCCCGATACTTTCCCAACTTTTAATAAGTTCCCATGTGTAATAATTTTAATAATAAGTGTATTCCATACATTCAAATTCATAGCTATAAATCATATTGCAAAATACAACATAAGAAATCTGTGTCTAAACTCTCTTAAAAATCCAAACTTGCTTGTAACTGTAAGCATAGCTATGAAACTAGGGGTGCACCTGTGTGCTTTGGCAGAGCCGATGAGATATATAGATGTAGAGAAAAATATAAAACCATCTACATGGTCTGAATTAAAACAGACCAAAAGGCTTTCTTTCTCAACAAGTATCTTTCTCACACCCTTGAGTTAAGATTTTTGCATCTCCTGAAGGAACTTGTTAGAATGAAATATGTTACCTAGAGAATATCACATGATAGCATTGTAATCCCAATAAAAAAATGTACACAGTTATTATAGCACAAGTCAATAGAGCATACATTCCTAATTTTATTTTTAAACAAGACGTTCCTGACAGTATGGCACTCTTTTAACTATGATATTTTTAAATGCATAAAATGAAATACAAAATAAATTAATCATAATAAAATAGTTACAAAAATATCTTTTAAAATATTTTAGCATATACTAGTATATATAAATATATAAAATATATATTAATACAGAATGTTTATTCTTTTGATGCATTAAATAGGCAGTGGAGCTAATACTTTCTGTAACTTTGAAAGTATGATAAGCAACATTTTGAGATAGTCATAACACTTGACATGTTATGTCTGTGTTTTGTATTGCTGATAAAAGCAGAGGTTATTTTTGCTCAATTTTTTACTAAAGGAAATACTGTATTTTAATTAGACAGGTAGTGAAGATAAAAGTATAATTTTTTCCCAGCCAAGTTCACAAACTCCGAATTCTATCTGCACACCAGGTTAAGAAGAACCTTGCTTCAGAGACTTGAATTTAGGAAAGAAAACATTATTTACTCTCTTGTGCTATTGGCAATGAAAATACAGTGATAGCCCTGAATGTAGACTTTGACTACCAAGTAACAGCATTAAGTCTAAGAAGAAATCCCCAATGTGAAGGAGTGAGTATAAATAGTATAATGACACTAATCTATTAATTTGTTAATGAAACTAATATTTCTTAACATTGAACATGTATATGCTATTATATATGAGGTACCGTGAATATTGGATGAATAAAAATATAAGAAATATATGGATCTTATCCTCAAGTAACCTAGTCTCATCAAGCTAAAAAAATATTCAAGTATATCTAGAAGATGCCACACATTCATTCTGTTATCTATTGTATGTCTATGTATGCTTTC